TCTTCACATATCGCACTTTTTTAAAATTATCAATAATTACATTTTATCTCTCCCATATAACACACACTGTACAATACACATATTCTCACAAAGTATCCAAAATAAATACAAAATATTCAGTATAAATAAATCTTTAGCTAGGAAAATAAATAAATAGAAAAAAATTTTTGAATATTTTTTTTTTTTTTATCATCTTACGAGATATGATTTAAAAATTTATCACCAAAAGATTTGATATTTAGATAATGAATTTTGTTTAATTAGAAAATTAATTTATAATTGGATATATATCTATCTCAATGCTTGGATAAGACTAAAAGTAATTAAATTAATTAAACTGGCTTCGTATTGATTAATTAATTATAATTAATATAAGCATAGAAAATAAAATATAATAAAACTAATTATAAAATAGCCTAAACATTGAGCTCAAGCGGCCAATTACTGGTATTTCCGTTAAATTGACATTTCCACTAGCCAATTATACACTTTCATAAATATTAATACATACATATAATATATAAATTTAAAAACAAAAAAAAAAAAAAATGAACAAGAGACTATGAATTATAGCTCCAACGTCGACAAAGCATTTTCCTCTTTTCCAAGTATTTTTTTTTTTTTACTTCTCTCCACTCTCACAAGTACATTTACTTGGTCACATACTTGCACGGTCTCCGTTTCCTAATCGCTTTTGGCAAGGTTTCAAATATATATCGCACCCGAGGATATACGTCGTGTGTAGGTAGGGCGACGATTTATTTCACTTTGGAGTGTACATCGACGAGCAAGAAGGAAGAAAAAGTCGAAGAAGAAGCAGTAAAAGAAGAAGAAGAGAATAATAAAAAGCGTGATGTTGAAGTTACGAAAAAAAAATAATCTATTAGTTTGCACGCGACGCAAATACTCGCGGTTAAATTTGTTCTAGATTTTCAATGTACACGATGACAAAGAAAAATCAACAAGATTCACAAAGCCACTGTGAATAGAAACACGCGACAATGTAAAGTGGAATCTAGTGCAAACGAGTGTCTAATAAGTCTTTGTATTTCTCGTCTCATGTCCGATTGGAATTTCCGTTCTGGGTGTCCAGCACCATGTTTGTAACTGTATTGTAACAAGCTTTCGCTCGTTCTCCTACACACTGTGACGACATTTTCCGCTTGTAAGCTCACGAATATAGAGAACATTGTTTAGCATTGACAAACCTCGTCTTTATGCTGTCTATCAGCTCCTAAAACCTTTTGTTCTTTCCCTACCTCTACTCATCTTTACTTTTCTTACGTTATTTAAATTTTTGGCATTGAGAGAATGAATTCATTTACGAGCTTTGGCTCTTTTTTTTCTTTTCTTTTTGTTGGGTTTTTTATCGACTAAATTCTTCCACTCGAGAGTCAGATAGTGTCATTGAGACAATGAAGCAATTTGGTGGAGTAATTTGGAACTGATAGACTGCAAAATAAATAAATGTTAATTGTCGGAATTTTATTCGCCTTCTGAGAAATATTTATAGACCACAGGTCAAGTAGAAATGGTCGATACATGGCAGACATAGAATAAAATTTAATTTCCCTGCTTTATTGGGCTTATTTGACGTTGACAACATTTCATTTATTCTATTTTAAATATTTTTTTTAGCAATAAATATTACGAGTACAATATTAAATAATGATTATGTTTATTGTTAAAAATACCATCAAGTGTGAAGATTGTTTTTTAAAAATGATTGAAACAGTCATTGAAATAAAAATGTCTGGATTTTAAAATTATTATTTTTTTTTTTTTGTTTTCAAATACTAACAAAATGTTGATTCAATTTATTTCGAATAATTCAGACTTTTTAGAAAAAACTGTAGAAAAATTGATAAAATTATTTATTTTCATTTGTCATGAAAAATAGAAAGTCACATCAATTATTTAAATAAAAATATTTTTATTGAACCGGATTATTTTTATTATAAATGTAAATATATACTCAAAGTGAATGTTTTAAATGAATAAAAAAAAATTATTATTTATAACAGACTGTAATATTAATTTATAAAAGTTCATTGACCTCAAAAATATTTGAAAATTATTAACAAAAATGATCACTGTTTCAACAACCTATTGAGTATTGTACAAAAAACATTTCAATACTCTCATCACGAAATAACACCAAATAATATTTAAAGTTAATTATTATTTAAAAGTCCAATTGACAAGATATTGATAAACCAATAACATTTATCAGATGTAATAAAAGTTAATATTCAGATGAATTTTGAAAATAACTTGAAAGTAATGAAACCTAATTACAGGTTACAATTTTAATTAATTAAAATTGAAAATTTATCCATAACTTGACTTATAAATTCTTGAAGTGAGAATCTATTAAATTCTGATAAGTTTGAAAAACCTTAAAATTCAAACAATTAATCTTTAAAGTTATAGAATTAATTTGAAAGTTTGATATGATGCCTTGTAAATCAGTGTAATTATCATCATTATTCACCGTTACGTAAGAGATATTTTTTGTCAGATAATATTCGTTAACCTTATTAGATATCAAGTTAATCAATTCAGCAAAGTGCAATCTCTAAAGATCTTTTTAAAAAAATAATAAATGATAAATTACGTAAAAGTAATAATTAAAATTTATTATAATAATAATGATTTCTTATTGCTCTTATTCTCTAAATCTATAAACCATTCGTTGTTTTACAATGATCAATAAACTTCTATGTACTCGTAGGTTATAGAAACAGATGTCTTCATTTGAGTTAAAAGTACAGTTGTCAACGTACATTTTACTACAAGTAAAATATTCTGACATTTTTTGCACCCTTCAAGAGAAGGGTGACTATGTATACCCAGTATGTCAGGGAAATTAATGAACGCATATAGTGACTCTACCACTCAGGTAGGTTTCAAGTTTCAACGAGTTTCAATGAGTTCTTTTCCTATTGTTTACATTATTCGTGATATTTTGCCAACTCTTGCTTTGAAGCCACATTATTTCAGATGGGACAAATGAAGAGAAAACTGAGAGCTATTGAATTTATTTGAGAAAAGATAACTCGACAAGTTTCAATAGGAAAATAGAATTTGAAAATCGATCATCATCATCATAATATTTATAATTGAGCAACGATTAGTATCATTTTAAAAAGTATCATATGAATAAAAATCGTTTATTCAACATGATGTTGAAGAAATAACCACTTATATGCATGATTGTATACGTCAAACTTTTGTCGATAGAAACGTCGACTCTACTTTCTCTGATGATTCTCCCTCCTCAACCAGTTCATTGGTCGCTCGGTGTACTTACTAGGAATATTTAGGCCAACGTAAATCGATTGTATAAAACATAAGTATAGGGCTTTAGTCTGCAAACCGATCACGAGAATAATTCGACTCTATGGCGCCAATGCTTATAATGTACCAACGATTCGTTTCATGACCTTATAACAATCAGTTACATACAAGGTATAATAGAAAAATCTATTTCATTTTCTTCATTCAACAAATTATTACTCAATTTTGTTTCTCTTAGTCTCGCAATCACCAACAATAAATTGACACGAAAAACAAAAACAACAAAATTTTATTACTTCTAATGATATTTATGAATAAATAGATATTTTAGCATTTATTAAACACTCAATATGTCGACAATTTAAAATGACTTTAGTCACGAGAGACTTTTTTATTTCTTTTTTTTACAGTGAGATTGTGATAAAAATAAAATGTTTTTGTATTGTAATGTAATTATAATTTGATTAAATAACTTTATAGGAAATGAAGTTACTACATATAGAGGTTGGCATCGACTCAACTGTATACTGACGTCGTTATCGTGATGGAACGATGTAACTTATTCCACGTTGGCCCATTCTCTCACCACCCTACCGAGCGATAAAATATCTCCCGTTAGTAAAGGCATAAAACATCTGAGTAGTAAAGAGACATTTTGCTCAGACAAGGGATAACTTCTTTCTTACTCGTCGTTTTTGTTGGCTTTATTAAACTAAATAAAGTGGATATGTCTGTAATTATCATTACCAATTTTCATTTTTAAATAATCTATTATCCTTTTTCTTTTTTTTTTTGTTTGTAAATTAATTCTTTCTCTTTGGTTTCACTTTTATCTTGTGATTGACTGTTTAACTTTTTAATCAATTATTACAAATATTTTTATAAAAAATGAATTTATTTTTTTCTTCTTCTTCTTCTTTCTTTCTGGTTTTTTTCTTTTAGTTACTTTTCAATGAACGACATTTATATATAACTCGTGATATTACTTCTGTTCCTGTATGATATTTTTATCGATATGATTTTTCCATTCTCTTAGATATGTTGAATACAAAAAGGTCATTTCTTTACACATGAGAGTTTCTCCTACACTTTAAACTTTTGTTTGCGACTAAAATTCCATTTTTATATACTAAAAAATTTCAAAAGATTGAATGTAAAAATTTTCATATACAAGATATAGTTGAGTAATTTTTTTTTCTTTTTTTTTCCTTTTTAAGAAAAATGCATGTGAGCATCGATCACTATTGATTAATCTAAAAATACATTCACATGTACAAGTACTAATGGAAAATACTAAAAGTAAAGTTAACTTATTTAAAAATCCTAAAGTAAAAAAATGAGAAAAAAATAAATAGATTTCAATAATTGGCAATCAACTTTGAATTGATACTGAATGAGCTTAAATATAGATCATATATAGTTGAATAGATGAAAGAGTCATCTTTTGATAATAGTAATTGAGAATATATTAATAAGACTTTTTCATTTATAATAATATCAAATAAAACTCTTTCATCAATTCATCTATATTATTAATATCAATTATTTCATTCATTCATATCACTTACGCATATTTATTATCAGACTGTTATTACTGAAAAATGCCATTCCGCAGGACAATGGAATGCACACGTTATGATCAAATCAGGCAACGAACAACGTTAAAACTTTTTTATCTTAATTATTTAGAACACGTTTCGTCATTTTATTCCATAAAACGTGGATAAATATTCAATACTCTCACACTTTCTCTCTCTCTCATTATATTCCTTTCTAGCCTAATTATTGAATTGACTAAAAAAATTCATGTGTTTTAATATAATATAATTTTCTTTTCTTTGTTTTATTTATTTTTTTATATATATAATATATTCATATATATGTATATATATATATATATATTCATCATACTCAACTTAACGGCATCTCAATAATTCCATCATTGCTATCTATACGATATCCGGAAACATGTACAGTCTTTACTCGAGGAAATTGGTAAATGTTTTCCAACCACAAACACATGATATATAAACTTGCTTGTTAATGATTTAACTGTGGCTTGGTATTGATATTATATTCAAAAGAAACGGGAATGAGTTTATTAAACTGATGAATAAGTCATGTTGTCTGTATAAAGTTGATTTCCCTTGTTCCGTGGTCACATGTACAACTTCTTGGAAATAATAGAACCCCCCAATAAACAGGAACACGTCTTTTCAGGTTACATCACCTGGGCCATATAAAGGAATAAACTTACAGATCTTTTTTATTGTTAAGTATCTATATTTTATTAGCCACGTATTCACTACCACGACCAGGTAAGCACGTGCACTTAGTCTGTGAGACACGACGACCTTATGTCATCCTGATGCCTCCTCATGAGCTCGAGATAACGGTGCCGTGGGTCGCAGTAATGAAGGAGCGGTACCTAGACATCTGTACCCGTGCCCTCTTGATATCCCTCATCTGGTGAGCTACGAGTTGATCCAAGTACTCGTTTAAGTGCAGAAACTGGTGGTAGGACAGGTACACCTTTCTGCCAGACCCTTAATTGTTTAGCTCCTGGTGGAAATTGTTCAATTGACGGCATCGACGACTGTATCACTTCTTTGGCAACATACGTACTTGCCGTCGCACTTGGCCGCTCACTCGAGTCCCAAATACTTGAATAGAGAAGTCTTGTATCTTCCATCATCAAACTTCCTAAATTGTTAGGAGTGTATGTACCAAGTTCTTCAATAGAAGTACGTGTGTCTCTAATCAAGTCAGGATTTTCAATAGGTACTAGAGAAGTTGTGGATGAGAAGCATGGACCATGTATCACTGGATGTGATTCTTCCAAAACGTATTCTCTACTTTCTGGAGGTCTTTGAACATAACTCAAACTCAATGAAGTTAAAGGTTTCCCTTCACTAAATGTAGTTTCAGCTTCTTCAGCTTTTCTGCGTGCACCTGGAGATCCATCAAAATTTTCTTGGTTGGATTCAGTTGGTAAAACTTCCAAAGTTGCTGTACTCTTGACGTCTTTTACTGGCATCCGTCGAAGACGTACAAATAAAACCAGGATTATAAGTAAGATAAAAAGAATCAAAACTACTAGAGCTGCGGATATTCCTGCTATTTGACCTGATCCAAGTGTTGACATTCCTGCGGTTCTTACAGATACATGAAGTGTAAAATTAGCCTCTACACTTCCAGCACGATTTTCAGCAACACAAAAAAAATCACTTGAATCTGATTCTTGGGCGTTGGTCAGTACTAATGTACTACGTTTACTAAATTGTCCTTCTTCATAAATAAATGTCTTTTGATAACTGCTAAATGCTGAATAATTAGTCAATAATTTACCATTCCAATACCATTTTATTTTAGCTGGTGGTACAGCGGATACTCGACACACAATACTCGCATTTTCCCCTATTGTTGCTTCAGCATAACGGCTGGCAATCATAAGGACTGGCCTACATGCGAAATCATCAATGGTCAGTTCAGTGAATGCTTTATTACGGAGTTGATCAGGACCTTGACAAACTGGTGCAATCAATGTTGGCAAATTGTGTTTAACCAACCACACTTTCATTTCCCGGAGATCACAATTACATATCCATGGATTGTCATGTAACTCAATGCTTGTGAGCTTATTGAGTGGTTCGAAGGTTCCTGGATGAAGCGTAGCAATCTGATTTCCATTGAGCTTGAGTGTCTCAAGAGATTCAAGGCCGCGAAATCCATTTGCTTCGAGTTCTGTTATTTGTGCATGAGATAGATCAAGTTTCACAAGATTTGGAGTTGTGTGAAATGCTTGAGCAACGACTCTCTGGAGTGGATTGTACGCCAACGAGAGATCTCGAAGAAACGGTGCTTTGGCCAAACTGGCACTTGGAATGGCTGTTAATCGGTTGTTGCTCAAGTCTAATTCTACAAGATTTGTGAGTCCTGCCAGAGCATCCTTATCGATTTGATGCATGCGACAGTCACGGAGATACAGGCGTTGTAGATTTGTCAGGCTGACCCGGATGAATATATTACTCGGAAGGACTCTTATGTCATTGCCACTAGCATCCAATACCTGCGTCTCCGGGTCAATTTGATCCGGTATACTGGTTAACGAGCGATTAACGCACTCGACTGTACGTTTACCACCCTTCCACTTACACGTACACTCTTCCGCACACTTATCACCAACGACGATACCAAGTATAATGACCGCTAGAACGCCAAGGGGCGTTAGAGAAACGCGTCGAGGCATTACGAACACTCAGGTTAGCTTGCTTCAATAAATCTTCAAGCGTCGCATTTCGTTGAAAAATAAAATAACTTACAAGTTACTTAAAAACCACTTATTTTCCTTGTCAAAATGGAGAGCGAGGTGTAATCACTGAACATGTCCACTGGGGCGAAACTCGATGCCACTGCCGCCACGAAGAGCAGTCGGAAGAAGTAAGAGAGAACAGAGGGTGGCCCTGGACCGCCTACTTTTCCACGATCTACTTCAGTCCTTCTCTTATTCGCGTGCTCAAAATCACGTTTGAATAACCGCATTCATGCTCGTTTTACACTGATTTATATGTTGCAAATAAGTCACTGAATTTACCTTTTATTTTTTTATTTACTTTTACTCCAAATAACTTTTAATCAAATAGTACTTTTTTTAAACTCACCCATATTTACACTTACTTCCTTGTTACTTCATTTAGTCTCGTTTACTTTTCCACCATCACTCAACGCACACGATAATCTATAGGCCACCACCAAGCTTCTCCAACTGCGTTAGCACTTTGATGATACGTGAAAACTGCCAAAGACGCTTGAAAGCGCTGCCGCTTGCTAAACACCAAGACTTGCCTTTTTTTCCCGCGCGCGCGCGAACGGAGAAATTATACAACGGAGACAGATAGATGGATAGACAACTAGACTAACTTCTCTCGTTCATTTCTCTCTCGTATATACCCCGGGTTCTGCACGCCGTGATTCCATTACCCATCCCCAATAGTATCCTCTCATGTACTCTCTATGCTAGGGACTGCTAGGAACCCCCAAGTCTCCCCTAACTGCTAGCTTTTCCCTCGACGTCACCCCTTACACTTTACCCTATCCATCTCGCTTACTCCTTTTCAACTACTAGCAACGATCCTTGCTAGAACGCAACCACATAGACATTACAATTCTCGGCGCATGCGCATGCAACGCCCCTTCCTTCTTTATTCCACACCACCCTACACAATACCACCCCAACCGTCCTAACGTATCGAATGCTGCGTCGCGGAGGGAAATGAACAACCGTTTCTCAAAACGCTTGCTAAATTATCGAAAAATTTTGAATATTTTATGTTTACGTATTACATCTGTGAAGTCTGGATTTTGTCAAGTATTGTTAAATAAATTACAACGCAATGTCAATGTCTTTTGACTTTTCGTCCCCTTGAACATTACAATGATGTAATCGTATTGCTTGATCAAATTGTACCAACAAACGACAATACATTGGAGATGATTACTACCTAGCAGATGTTTTTTATTCCATGCAAATGTATTTTTACATTTCATCATAATGAGCCATTGTCACAAGGGAAACACAACCTCGAAAACGACAGCCATCTTGTGAAAATTATTCGAGAAAAAAGATAAATAGAGAAAACAGTAGAACAAGTAGAGCAAGAGAAGCAGCCTGCGATAGTTGTAAAGGGAAGAAAGAGACAAAGAGCAGCAGACTGACGCGCGCCTCTGTGCACAAATTCTCGCTGAAGGGCCTTTTAGACCTAATTGGCTGTCTGAATCGATATTACTCTCAGCGGGCACTGAACGACAGGAATATTGATGTAGCAGCAGTATGAGTGAGATGACAAGTTATGAGAGCAGACGATCTGGATGAACAAGTGGATAGAATGGACAAAGACAATACGCAAGCCTAATGTGAAAAGAGAGAAATGGACAGACATGAATGACTCGGCAATTGCTTAAAGCACCATCGTATTTCATTTGCACCCAATAACAATCGAGATGAGAGCTATGCACTGATTGAGAGGATATACCTTGTGGTTCCAAAATTGAAAGCTATCGATTTATCATATCAGCAATTTATAAATGAAAATATGAAGTATTCCCCTTCTAGAGAATCATCAGTCCATCATTACAACTACCATTGATAAACAAACAAATACTCCCCTTCCTGACCCTTCAGATTTTCATTTAATCAATCTTTTTATTGATAATTCGATTATTAATCATAACTTTTTTTTTATCCGATTAAAAAAAAAATCTGATGAATAAATAATTGATTCAATGGCAATTCGATTGACGTATCTTGATAGTTATATAGACTCACATAATTGTTCAAATATGATTAGTAGCCCCCAGAGATCTTCATCAAATGCAATTAATTAGCTACCTACGTGGATTGTGTTTCTCAGGGAGATTGATGCCTTCGCAGCATTGGGCAGTCGGGTGTGCACTGTTTGTCTCTGTATATTGCATTCTCGGAGTTGTTGGAGAAACTCTGTTTGCTTGCAGCACTGTTGAAACTTAGAGAGATACAGCTTGCATCGTCAGAGAGAAATGTATCTGAGAATTTACGGGTTCACATCAGTTTACGATCTTCCTGATTAAATTATTATTTGTCCGGTTGACATATTCACATTAATTACCTTGTAAGATAGACTCTTCAGACAACTAATATTAAGTTGTTTGAGGGATTCATCTTAGATACAATTAAATGTCTATGTAGGTATATTTAATCACAAGATATCTAAAAGGTATAAATTACTGTCTAATGTAAATATAGTATCAATATGTAACAACTAATGTAGTGACACACGCGATTATTGTCAGATAAAATCTGTTAAATAAATGCACTCTGACGTTGGTAATATCGTTTAAATAGGTATATAAAAATGAATTACGAGAATCTATACATCTGATGTGTCTTAATTTGATATATTGTTTAATTGATATTAAATAATGTCCAATAAATGATGATGCTTTGAATTTAAATTACCAAATTAATAACATTCATTACCCAGTCTATCTATATTTATAATTGAATTAATTTAACGCTTGGATATTGGGATTCTAAAATATAATAATGTTGGGGTATTTAAAAAATCATTATTTCCGCTTGTATGCGTATCGAATTGAAATTTTATTGCAGAAGAAAAAATTTGTTTAATTGCTCGGTAAAAAATAAAAATTAAGTTTTGTTTTTTTTTTTAACAATATGGAATAATAGATGGACTTGGTATGTTTAAGAAAAATTATTATGAGGTACATTAAACAAAATATACTTCTTTTTTTTTAAATAGTCAAGTCCACCTTTACAATAAATGTTCTAAATTTCATTAATATAATAAAAATCTTGTTATTGAATCAAAAATTAATCTCAAGTTTTTGACAATTTGTTACGAATTTTATAATGAATTTCGTTTGTAAATCAACGGAAGTAAAATTTTTTTTCATCACCAGAATACAGATATTTTTTTTTTATTTCATTATTATTATTATTATCATTATTATTATTATTTTACTTTTTTATTTATTAACTTTTTTTTTTCATTCTTTTTTTTGTGAGACATATGCTGAAGTCGAGTCTGCGAAATTTCAGTATAGGTGTCCTGCTGTTTTTTTTAAAAGTTTTCTCTCTCACTCTTTGAATTTATCCAAAGCTATTCAGTTCAATAGGAAATCGATTAACTGTAATGTCAAAAAAATATGACAATATTTATCACAAAAATTGAATAGTTCTAAGTCAATTTCAGATAGAATATATTTATCATTTGTCACTGTAACCAGTCACATAATGACAATTAATCAAAATTTGTTATTATTAATATAATTAAAACAAAAGATGAGAAACGGTAACATTGATAATTTTTCATCTCACAAGAGTCACAAATCACGATTTTCAAATGTCATATTAATATACATGATTTATTTTGCAGAAGACACCTCATTATGAAACAAAAATTGCGCATATCTCGACGAAAGAAAAAGAAAATAAATAGACTCGACAAGTACAAAACTGTAGAGTTTGTTTTTTCGTACAGAATCGCAAAAATTTCTGGTATTTACGATGGACTATTTTTTTGTTTGTTTTTTTTTTTTTATCATTTTGCGGTTTTTTTTCTTTTTTTTTTTATCTTAAAAAACAATCATTATAATGATTCCGTGACCCCCGTGGTACGTGCTCTGCATGACAAATGATGGAACCAGATTGGGGAAAAGCCCCAGACACTGAATCAAACTTTTATATTGGTAACACGGTGTTATATAAGAATGTATAAAACGTACCACGATGAACGAAGGATCAACGCAATGTTGACAACGCCCTAAATGGCATTTTTTTTTGTTCATTCAACCATCATCATCATCTTCTTCATCATATCCATCATACCTTTTTTGCAAATCTTCACGAAAATGTTACAAAAGAGAAGCAATTAGCGCATACATTTTCAGTAATATTTTCGTAAGGATTTTTCTATTTTTCATCAAGACCCGTATCATTCCTCCATCTCAAACGATCGTCATTCTCTCATACATTGTTTATTTTGAGACTCTTTAAATCTCTAACAGATGTTATAAATTTATTCTTCCTCGCCATAGAACGTTAGCTCACCTCGCGAGCTACAATCTCTGCTTTTATAATAAACGAAAAAAAAAAAAAATTATAGAAAAAAATATATGCTTCATGAAACGAGCCCGAAAAAACCACTAATCCTGGTTAAATGTTTTCCGCCTTCGTTCACCGGACGGTACGAGTTGTAGAGACAGGAGAAAATGGAGAAAAAAACACAAGAATAAATAAATAAAGAAGCATTTGCTTGGTAAACCTCTGAAGAAAAATTTTCAGGCTTTTCACTTCTGCCTTCATTGAAAAGTATACTTGGTAGTTTTGTTCGTTCGTTCATTCGTTCATTCTCCTATTTTCTACTCTACAAATCGATCGTTTACATTTACCAGTGAACGAAAGAGCATGCGCGGATGATATTTCAGGCCTAATCTAGATGTTATTAATTGAGTAATTCTTTACTCTTCCACTGATTTTCACTCACTTCTCATTCTTCTTTTCGCGTCATTCATTACGCTTGAATCTTTAGCTTTTACGATCTTACACTCTTTAATCGTGCACTTACGAGCTTGCATATAATTACCTCTTTTATTTCGTCAAGTGCACTCAAGAGAACACAAACGAGAAAGTCAAAACTTGGAAAACGATTTACATTCCTGGTTTTATACACTCTATTTTATCGCGATTTAAAGTTTTATATCTTGACTATTCTCACTTGCAATCTCTTCGAAATTAATTAAATGCCAGTATAGTAAGGCATTTTTGAAATTCTTATATCATTTCATTTCATAAAAATACTACGAATGTGTCGAGTCAATTTCTCGACTGATTTTCAGTTATCGCAGATATTTTTAATAATATTATATAAACCAACTTAAAATGTAACTAATCAGACCAACATACACTCTAAACAAACATACATGTTTAATGATGGAAACAATAAGCTTATTATTTTCGTTCGCGGCTATTATTGCGCATTGTACGTTCTACTCTCAATATGAGATATTCATATCGTATCAATGTATTATCTAATTAAATTTTAGCCAGTAGAATAAATTGTACAGTCCTCTCCTTCCCCTACTTTTCATTTTATCTCTATCTTCTTCTCTCGTCGTACATTATAGTGGAAAATATTGTCAGTCGAGTCTACGCTTTTTTTTTATTCTTTTTGTTAGACTCTTTTGTCAGAGTAAGCTCAACTGAAAGTCGCATACGAAATTCCACTGCTAAAATTTTTCATAGTTACAACACTTGATGCTCTACACAAGAGAGAGAGAGACGTACATTAGTAGATGGTAGTACTTGAAAATCTTTTTTCTTTGAAGAACATAGATTAAAGTTAAATTTATCACTATAAAACCGAGACAATGTCAAACATACAATTCGTCGTCTGGACAGACAATGAATTGCTGACATTTATATTTATTATTTTTTATTCTCGCAATAGCAACGAATACTTTCCATAGAATGTACAATATTTTTGCACAACAATTTTTCAATCACTCTTTCATACAATGACTTTACAGCATGATCACACATTCATACTGAGATCATTCCATGAAATCATTCATGAAACGGTTTGTTTTTTTTTTCATTTTTTTTTTCAATATAGTTAAGATATTACAAAAATTAAATTGCATTCATAAAGCACAAATGATTGCAAACTTCATCACAATAATGATGTTTCAAATGCAAGGCACGCTTAACTTGCAAAAATAACATCATATTTGTTTTATTTTTAATTTATTTATCCGTATGTTCCTGAGACAACGGTTCACGTAATTAGATATTCAATCAAAGTGCACATGATAATATTAACAATTTCATCAAATGAAATCTGAGTTAAAAGATTCGTTGCTCATAAGATAAACCGTTTCTTTATAAATTTCATTCTCATATTTTTATCACGGCTGTAACACACCTCACATACGCTTCGACCGCGAAGCTAATTCGTTTTGTTGGCCCGCTATATTACAAATAATGGCTGAAGTCTGTCCAACTTTCAGACTTTATACACATTAAATTTACAATGGAACGGATTTTCCATCTGCGTTTCGCGATTTATTATACAAAAAAAATACGTGATGTTAATGCGATTCGTGATGACGTAGGATCGTATATGAAAATATCTTTTTTGTTACATTATTATGAACCAACTATCATGTTTTTATCACTTAAAAAGCGAACTATATCAGACGGTCAATGATACAGTATTTTTATAGTCCATGTTTAAACGTTTAATATAACTTTTGTTAAATCTTAGTAAATCTTAGCACCGTTTTTTTTCATTAAAGATATTAAATGTTCATATTGTTCTTCGTTTTTTTTTTTTGTTATTATATTTCATTATAATTTTAAGTACTTTTGTGTTATTTAAAAAACATTGACCTTTGTATTTTTGTTTTTTTTTTTGTTCTTTCGTCTAGTGAAATTGTTCGCGAATGTGTAGATCCCCAAGTCTCACGAAACTCATTAACCAAGTGGTTATAAAAATAATTGTATAAAACTAGTCAATTTTACAACCCCTGATTCTTAATCACAGTACTACAAACCAATTTAATCAATAAATTCATTTGATAAATAAGAAAAAAAAAATGGTACAATTCTTTGGATGAAAAATAAAAGAAAAAATTTCATTAAACAAAAAAAAAATTTTTTTTGAATGGTAAATTCTCAATAATACCTAAATTACTCGTTTGTTTATTTTATTTTTTGTTTTTTTTTTTTTTTGAAAAATGTGATTTGAATTTCAGAGTTGTTTAATGACAGAATTGAGATTGCAAAATCAAGCCACAATCAAACTATACATTATTCGCAAACGTTCGTAAATGTTGCGCGATATTTTTTTAAAAAAAAAAAAAAAAAGTTTGCATAATGTATATATATATAAATATATTTTTGGAACATCTTTGTGTTCGTTAATTACGAACGCGCAAAATGAACGAAGACTGTTTTTCTCTATAGAAGCTTTATTCCATTGGAAGTCAGCTTAATTCTTTGTATGTTTTATAATATATTTTTTTTTTTAAATAACAAAAAGTAGAAGGAACGTGAAAAGTATTGAGGCCTTTCGTATCAAAATTTACTAATAAAATGATATTTTTGTTTTCTCATGCTATATTTACACTCACGATAAAATGCAATGATGAACTAATCACGAGATGGTGTATTTGCATGTTTTTGTTTTTCCTTCTACATGTTGTGCACTTGATGATGGCTTGACTCTGATTATTATTAATAATAATTATATATTTACATTTAAACGTATCTATATACAAGAGATGACTCGCACCGGCACTGACGCTCACTTCAGTCAATGAGTTTTAAACCGACCGCGATGTATAATGATTTTTTTTTATGCTCGGTATACCTTATCTACAAGTAACACTTTTTCTCCTGACATAATAACTATGTGTTTTCCAAATATTCCTCCCTTTCGTTACTTGAACTTTAATAATATTAATCTTGATTTTTGTATTTAGCACTGTTACTGTTCATTTATTATATACTGCTTAATACGTGCAGTATCTTATTCTTCATTAGACTTATGTATTATTTTATTTATCACTATGTTTTACGTTCAATTTCAATGTGTTCGAAGTATAACCGGCAATATGCCACATATGTACGAGTCACAAATCACTTATTTTTGTTGATGATTGATAAAACTACTTCGACACATTACCTTCTTCCATACTGGTATTATCTTCTGGTCTAGCAACGTATAAACTGGGATCTATCACCTTGGGAATTGGCTTTATCTCTGTTCCAAGCTCTTGTTCGATACGGTGAAGATTAAAGCGATCTTCGTAAGTGATTAGATTGATAGCGATACCTAAATGGCCGAATCTACCGGAACGACCAATACGATGCAAATACGTTTCAGCCATTTTTGGAAAATCAAAGTTAATTACGACGTTTACTGCTTGAACGTCGATACCACGTGTAAACAAATCACTGCTTACCTGCAATTAAATGTTTATTTATTTGTAATTTTATGGTTATTAGAAAAGATATAATATTATTAACAATTTATTTTAATTATAGCATACCAAGTTTCGGCATAGCCCGGCGCGGAAATCATGGAACACGCGATTTCTGTGTGCTTGTGCCATTTTAGCATGAATATAGTAACAACAATATCCCAAATCTGTTATTTTTTTGGCCAACAATTCGACACGTTGCGTAGAGTTGCAGAAAATAATGCTCTGGTTTATTTGTAACTTGGAAAATAACGTGTTGAGACAATGCACTTTTTGCCGTTCTTGGACGAAAGCGTAATATTGTGTTACTCCTTTTAATGTTAGTTCTTCCATTAAATTAATCTCATAAGGGTCTCTTAAATGTTTTTCCATAAATTGTTTTACAGTCAGTGGAAACGTAGCTGAGTACAATAATATTTGTCGTTCTAGAGGTAATCTAGTAGAAATTAAATAAAGCTTGTTACAAAATTATCCTTAATATTGTTTTTCAAATACCCAATGAAAATAAAATAAAATTTTACCTAGAAATTACATGATCTAACATTCCTTTGAAATCTTGTGAAAGGAGCTTATCAGCTTCGTCCAAAACTAAAATTCTGCAGTGATCCATATTGGCAACATTTTTGTCCATAAGGTCAAGAATTCTTCCCGGTGTAGCGATGATTACTTGTACTAATCATTGATAAATACACAAATGAATTCATAAATAATCAATAATCAAAATATCGTATAAAACTCTACGATGACGTGAATAAAATCTAACCTTTTTGATAAATCCTCATGATATCTTCGCGCAAGTTTGTACCACCAGTGGTGACCATAACCCTAATGTCCATATGTTTGGCTAGTTCAATACAGATTTGTGATGTCTGCAATGCCAACTCTCTGGTTGGTACTATTACTAAAGCTTGAATAACGTCTTTTTTTGGATCAACCTAAAGACAATTTTGATCATATTATTGTAAAATTATATAAATAAAGAAAATCAGCAGATATTTTTTTAATTTCATAAAAATTACCTGTTCTAACACAGGAATTGAATATGCTCCAGTTTTGCCTGTTCCATTTTTGGCACGTGCCAAAATGTCTTTACCTGACAATGCAATAGGAATACTGGCTTCCTGAATTGGCGATGGTTTTTCCCATCCTTTTTCAAAGATACCCATCAAAAGTTCACGTTTTAAACAAAACTCTTCAAATTCATTACCACGTGTGTTTGTAACATCCTTTAAAAATACAATTAATAAATAATTTTTGTAAAAATATTCTTCTATAAATTCAAAAAAATCAGAAAAATCATAGACAACAAACTTACACTTGTTTTAATTCGTTTATCCTGTGGAGGAATTTTGAGTTTCGCTTTCCAACCAACATCATCCATTTTTTCGAGGTCAGGCTTAGAGCCTAAACCTGAATTTAACATGTGGTTGGAGTTTATATGCGTTTCGGTCATCATTTCGATAATGACACAGTGTGACTAATATCTGAAAAAATACATTAACTACTCTAAATATTTGTTTAATAATCATCCACATCATAGATACAACAAATTGTTGATAATTTATTGAGAAATAAAAATTGAAAAAAAAATTTAATTTATTCATCTGTAGAAATCATTCCTTTATCTAACATCACTATAAGTCAGTATGATTCTTATCCGATTTTCCCAGCATTAGCAAAAATAGAATGAGGATTAAGTATTAGTTACCTGAGTTGAAATATCAAGCAATGAAAACAAACAGTTGAGGTCATCAATTGAATAGACTATTCACCTATTATACTTAATTATTTGATTCTAATAGTTTTTCTATATTTTGAATATCTCTTATATTTAATTATATATGAAAAACTTGTAAATTCACCGATTAATTAACAATTTCAATATGATAATACTCTATATTAATAGCTATAGAGTTATACTGAATATTCTTTCATTTTAATGACTATAATTTAAATAAATGTATTTAATTCAAAAGTTAAACAATGTATTTTTTTATCAGATAAAACTTTCAATGCTGATAAAAGAAAATTAATCGTTGACATACGTTATAAAATAAATGAGTTAACTGCTGATGCTTGAATTCATATAGACGCTGGGTGTTTGCACAAAAGAAAGACAATAAGTACTGTTTGAAAAAATGAATTTTACTTAAAAAAAAAGAATAAAAGTTAAGAATATTCAATAAAAGAGATCAGTTTTATCTCAGATAACTGAATCATTCTTTAAGACTCCATTGGAGTCAGTAACAAGCCGGTAATATTGCAAAATGGGACTTGGAAATAAAACAGTATCGTCAACCTGAATTCTGCGAACTTTGCTCTCCCCTCAAATGAGATAAAAATAACTAAATAATATTAAAATCAAGACGATAACGTTTTAAAGTATAAATTAGTTTAATTTATAATAAAAAAAAATATATATAACTAATAAAAGAATAATTTACCTTGAAAAGGATGGACACCGATGTTGGAGAAGAGCACTTGAACAGTGAACACAAAACGCCAAAATGGCCGACTACCAATGTCAAGTTTCGATCTATGCCGTATACGCGACGACAAACAGTGCTCTCTTCGATTCACTCTCTCTTTCACCCAAGTGTTTTTGAGCGTCTAGACGCGTTTAATTAAAGTCTCACTGAGTAAATAACGTTTTTCTATTAATAATATTACAATTATATGATTCTGCAACTAACGCACTGCGTCAAATGCGGACGATAATTATTTTATACTTGTTTAACACACACGATTAGCACGATGTATCTCATGAAAGAATAAAAACATCCGTACAGTAACTGCTTTTCTGAGCATCTGAGATGACGCAAGATGGCGCACAAGATTTATTTTTTGCGCATGCGTGCAAAACTTGAGGTAAATTTTCAACAACCAATCATATGCCTCAAAGAACCGGCAAATTGACCTGACCTATCGTTTATGGAATTTCCCCTCAAGTGATAAACAATGTAAAAGTTACACAGAAAAAAGTAGAAAGAATCAATCTAGAAACTAGAAATTCAACAAAAATTTTCTAATAATAGACAAAAATACCGTAATATAAAATTAGGAAATTTCTCTTTAGATTTACAACAATTTCTTTCCCATAGATTTCGTGGTACTTGAATCACTACAAGTTTTTCATCCTTTGTTAAACTATTTTTAGAAATTAAGTAAAATATACCAACTATTTGTAATTAATTTTGAATTTCAACATACATTACGGCAATTTTCCAAATTACATTATAGACAATTGTTTGAAAGAACAATCATATTTCTTCATTAAACTTCCATACAAAATAGTTTGATTAACTTTACTTTTGACAATATACATGCTATGCACATTCCTTCTTTTGAGACATTCGATATTTTCTACAAGCTTCTGGACAATGACGTTCTAGATATCTTCTTTGTGAAAAAGCTTTAAAACAAACTTCACATCTCCATTGCCATTCATGATGATTTCTAGTTCTTTGATGAGCTCTTAAGTTTGATCTACAATCAATCATAGAATAAATTAATTACTAAATCATGTATACCCTTTCTACTTCCAACATGTTACTTTAATCAGAACACTTTTAGATATGTCAAAATAGAATTACCTATCAGCAAAAGATTTATGGCATACTGGACATTCAAAAGGTCTCTCTCCTGTATGCAGTCTAAGGTGACCTTTTAATACCCATGGACGATCAAAGCTTTTGTGACAGTAAGGGCAGTAATGTAGAACCTTATGTTTCTTCCAGTTCTATTAATTTCAGAAAAAATAAAATTATCTCCAACACTAATATTTTTACTAAATCAATTAATTACCTCATCAACATGGTTGGAGTTTTTCCTATATAATAAATCTTTCTTTTCCGGGCTTACTTCAAGATTGAGCGGATGATTAATGTCATTAGGGTATGCTTTATTCAATGTAATTAGTTCCGGATTAATTTTACAAGTCTGTAAATCCTGATGACGCTCATAAAAGTTTTTGCTGTTACATGTGGCCGTCATATTGTCTAATGGCGAGTTATGATAAACAGTTTCGGCATTAATGAAGTGTAAACCGTATCTTGAAGACATTATATCACTGTACTGACTGTTGTTTTTACTGAAATTATATCGTGTCATGATGGAAAGCTGTGAGTAATTATGATCCACATTACTTCTTTTGATAGATTTAGATTTATTTTCTTTTTTCAGAACACTCGGTGTTGATTGTGAAGATGTTGATGGTAAATTATGATCTACTTTGAACACTCCTAAAAGTTAATATCAATACTTACTGGTAATGAGAAACCTGTCATATTGTCATAAATTCATTGGAAAAGCTTACCTGCATGAAAACGATCATTTCGTCGGCATCTTATTATAGATTTCATTAAACAGTACGGCATAGTAATATCAAACCCATAAAAAGTACTACTTTTTTACTTCAATAATTATTGAAACCAGTTGCGGAACGACTCGGTTGTATGATGAAGTAAAACCACTGGAGTCCTATGAAAAGAGAAAACGACAGAACGTCTTTTGTTTTGTTTTTAAATCTGCTATGACCATATACATAACACAATACGTTCTTCAATCAAATCATCAGGGATATTGTTCATAATTCTTATAATTTATTCAATGTTAATTACGTAGAAAATTAGCAAGCATTCGTAATGAACACGGTATATTTTTTATTTAAAGATCTTTTTTAAAAAAAATTGATATTTATGACACCTTGACAAATTATTATCAAAGCATACATACACAGTATTTATCAAAAATGATTCACATACCTTGATGTGTTTGAGAAAATATTATTGTTGATTTTTTACATTAGTTTATTATGCTTTTCTAAAATAGTTGATTTTATTCAATAGTTTCTGATATTTAAATATAAAAATCAAAACATCAATGCTTTAATAACTATTCATTTAAATTTCAGTTAATATTATCTAATTATCATCAGCCAGTTTTCGCCATGTTTACTATTTTAATACTTCCAACATAAACAGATCTCTGTATGACTAAATTATGCAAACATAAGTACTGCTAATTCAGCTGAAAAGCATTCTAATAATACCTCTAACAAAGTAACTGCCAATAATTTTATGTTTTATCGTTAATGATTTTGTCACATAAGCTTAATATGAGTATATCGTACTGGTTCAAATCGGAAATTGTCATAAAAAGATATAGAACAATCGTGCAAATAGTTATTCAATAATAATCACTAGCTAAATGAATAGAGAATTTTACAATGTAGTTCACTATTAAATTCTATATTACCATGCTATTCTTTAGAATCTGAAAGCTTGTTAATAGCTTCAAGTTTGATGAATTAATATAATAGCTAAAGAAATAGAACAAATACTATTATAATAATTATTCTCATTACTTTACAAATGTTTATAGATAAATATTCATTGCCAGTTAAGCTAAATGTTCGCTTTATAATAGCTGGAACAGCGATTTGAAGAACATAGATGATAATTATGAATATTGTGTTGATGAAGCTTTATGATCATTACATTGCTGGTAATAAACTATTTTAGTTATTTCAAATGAGTCATTATTTAATAAAACTATGATAGATATTTTAAATTCCAAGATAAATGTTATATATAACATATGGAAAGTTTACTCAAGCAAGAAAGGCGATTCTAGAATCGACATAAAAATAAACGTTCAAGTTTGTATTTGTTCTTGGATTAATGTGAGCAACTTTGTCAAAGAAACCTCTTGAGGCTAGTATTCCTTTGTCAAGAAGATTTCTGTCCAAAGAAAAACAATTCCTATGAGAGTATATCGATGAATGATTCCCAAGAACTTCTTTTCCCAACTTTGTTTTAATAAATTGGTTGGATCAACTAAACTTGTTTTGATAAATTATTTTGCCAACGAAAAATATATCATAAAATAATCATATGAAAGAGATAAAAATCTTTTATAGATTATGATTATTGTAGGAAGGTATTAAATTCTTAACGTTTTTTTTTTTTTCATATAAATTAAATTCTTCTCGTCGAGAAAATCTATAGTTGGAATTTATAGAAACCGTATAACTCAATAATTCAATTATAGCAGTCTATAAAAATTCGAAAATCATCAATAGACAGTTTATGGTAGTTATTTCATTTAATGTCTATCGGATTTCTATTTTGTTGATAGTTTATGTATTTCGAGAGATTAAATTTGAACAGAAATAATAATCCAGAAGTAATTTTCAATAAATACATTCATCATTAAACGAATACAAAATATTTAAGAGTTTAATTCAAAAATAAATAACAAATTTACCATAATGAATAAAATATTTTTTATTTTATATCATATTTGTATCAGTAAAATGATTGGATAAGCTAAAAACCTTAATATATTATTTTCTTAAATATCTTCTTCCAACATTAAATATCCATTAGCTTGAGATTGTATCCTATCATAATTTTCCCCTACTGAATTTATCTTTCTTATGAAAATATAAGTTAATAGATCTCTTATTTACATAAAGTGATAGAAAATTATAATATCTCGCTTACAAGCTTGATGGTTCATGGAAAGCTCTGACGATCTAGTATGGAACTTTAACATTTCAACTGATGATAAATTAATTCATTTAACACATATTTCATTACGTTTCTAATTGCTCTTCATCAAAAGCCACTTGCGAGAGCAATTAGAAATAACTAAATTTATAAAATTCGAATAATTTAGTTAAATTATGTAAAGGTGCAAATTAAATTATTACTCTCTTTGTGGCTCTACATCTAGAACATTAATTTTAACATTATCCTCAATTTCAATAATTTGATTAATAATATAATTTATTAAATAAATATCATCACGTATAAATGAATTATCATAATATATGACATTGAACTGTTCACTTCTCATCAAATGCTATTATTTTCTCAAAATTTTTATCATAAAAATTATCAATAAACCTGACTATTTAGATGCTTTCATTCTTAGTTTTAAACAGGATTATTTACTACCAGTTATAATTGAATACACTTGAACGTGCTTTAAGTACAAGTCGTTCAATTATCACCATAGCTAGGAAGCTTCACATTTATTATACACCCGTGCGTGAGAAGCATTGACGATATGGTGAGTTTACTTTGAAAGAAACTTTTTAACTGAGTTTATAATAATAATTCATGAATAAAATTTCCATTCTTATGAATATGAACGATATTGTCTTTTTTTTCTACTTTCCAGTTGGTAACATACCTTCTTAATGTTTTTAATTGTAACAATGTTAATCAGTTTAAAAATCTGGTTTTTTTTTACACACTATTATAACATAAAATATACCCATAATAAAGAGTTGGCTTACTCTTTAAGTTTATCTTAGAAATATAATCATTGTAATAAAAGTAACAGACGAGTAACTTTTATTTTACATTCTTTCTTCTTTGCAAATCATTTTGACATATTGTTTCATTTGATTTTTACATTTTTTAAACTTTTGAAAAAAAAAACAGTCAAGCTTTGATTACATTCAGATTCCATTTTCATTATATGAGACCTTTGAAGATTAAAAAGAACATATCTAATTTTTTTAACGCCAACAAATGATATTATTCAAAAGAAGTGAAGTGAAATATGAAAATTCTGATTTTCTGGAAAGTTTTTGAAATGTAATAGAAACTTTTTGTCATTTTTTACGTCCTTTTCAATTCAATCCATATGTATCTATCACATTTTTGAGAAAGTTCTCTGATGTTTTTTTGATTAAAAAAATTTTATTATTTTAATTATACTAAGGCACTATTTTATAGTCAAATGTGTAAATATCGATCTGAGTTCTGACGAATATGTATCATTACAGTTTGACATAATAATTTTAGTAACTTCCTAAATGCACAACACTGCAGACACTTGGGATGATCCTCTTAAATTTAATCCTATCAGACTCTAACTTGGAGAATATGCTAACTATGATCTTCTACTTATTATTGACTTAATTTTTAGTTACTAAATTAAATAAAATTATAATCTATAAAAAAAGAATAAAATTTCACTCTTCAATGTATTTTTATAAATATATTTATCATTTAATAAGGTAAAAATATGAAAATTTCCTTTCAATTAAACATAAATTGACTGAATGTTAATTGATTTATAAAAAACCAAGAAAACATTTCAATATTAATCATATATTTTTAATGATTAAAAAAAATAAATATCCTTTTTAGGACATAGTCTACTTAACTAGATATGGGCTATCAAGAGCTCCTGCACCTGCAATAATGCCACCTTCATCTTCTCCAAATGGCTTAGATCGAATTACGTGACCCACTTGCTCATTAACACTTACATGATTTTGATCACTGTAAAATAATTTCAATTATTAATAAGTCGATTTAACCGACATTAGAACTATTTAAAAGAATAAAATACAATTTTCTTACCCAATAATTATCCCATAAATTCCTAATTCAGAAATTAGACTCTGTATTTGAGGTTCTTGATCATTAGGACCAAGTAAGTAATTATCTTGAAGTGGTGCATCAATATATTCCATAAGAATATATGCATCTCGATCTCGTGAATTCCTGATAGCTTCTAATTTAGATCTAATTTCATCACCATAAATATTATTACCTCCTCCTTCACGCTGTGGCTTCATTACAAATTTTTTTGGTTCCATTATTGCCATTTCTATCGCTTGCTCACCTAATTCATCCTATTAATAATCAGATAAAACTTTTAGCACAATTTAATATATTGAAGTTAATTAAGGATATTTATTGAGAAAACCAACTTACAAAGTCTAAAGAATAAAGACCAGTGAATACTTCACGTACTCTCGTAGCTTCATCTTCATTTAGGAATCGTCTCAAAACACCTGGTTGAGCAAGCACTTGTTGAACTTTTTTCGTTCCTGCTAACTGATATTGAATTGAAGGACATTTTAATGCCTTTGATTGTTCAATTAACAGCCTAACTGACCACACATCTTCTGAGGTATATGCTGCGGCTTCATATCCGGTACGATAATAAACAACAGCTACTAAATATTTTCCCCTAAAAAATAATATTTACTAAATTGAAAAAATAATTTTTCTTTATGTAGAAACATACTTATAAAAAAAACTACTTACACGATTAATTCTTTATTTGGTCTCAATTGTGCCTGCTTGATAATCTCTTTAAAAGTTCTTCTTATTATTTTAATCTGTGGATTTACTTCATGAATAACGTAGTCGAAAGCTCGTTGATCACATATGTTACTGGTATTTTCTTCAACAATAAATAATATCACAGCCCTAAAATTAAAAATATTGATAACATTGAAGAGCAGAATAATTGGTACCGTAAAGATAAATAAAATAAAAACTAACTCTTTATTTTTATATAATTTCCATGCTTCTATTAGTCCCTTGGCAAGCCCATTAATAGATTTATTTTCTGGAATCTAAAAATGTCATAAAATAGTTATTTCAAAAAACTTAAATTATCTAAATACACTTACGTTAATTGTCTTGTCTGAATGCCCTAATTCTGTCAAAATATATTTATGTAGTTTAGCTGTTATTGGAGCTAATCCACCGAAACTAGAAGAAATTGTATTAAACTCAACTTGTTTTATCTTCATATCACCGTTCAAGAGATAGTCAGATCGCATTAGACCTACACTGTTGGTCTATTAAAAATGATTATTAATTACTAACATGAATGTTTATTAGAATTTCAAACTAACTTAATTCTTCACCTGAGTGTATCCTTCTTTATGTACAGTTTTGTATATATTATAAAGCTTCCTGGTAAATTCATCAGCTTTAATTGTACTGAAATATAACAATTTACAATGTTTAAAAAAACTTGGAATTAATTTTAAGGTCGTGTTTTTGAAAAAAAAAACCTTGTTATTAAAATTAATTATACCTTTGCAAAGTGCTCGTAAGAAAGTCATGATCATATGCAACTTTGTGTATAAGATTGTTGAGTGTTATTTGAATGTTTTTAGCTTTGAGAAATTCTTTTTCCGGAAAACTTGTAGGAAGCAAAGTAAAACGAGAAATTCTTACGAAATTTCGATTAAATGGATTATTTGAATGCATCGTCATTCCTAAACATAATTTAGAAGTTATTTTTCAGAATTTATTAAAAGATATAATATAATTTTATCATACCATGCATTAAAGCGTAATCCTTGGCCTTGTCAATTATTTCACTTAAATCCTCATTATTTAATGGTAACTCTACACAATTTTTCAACTGTGTAACAGCCATTATGACAACAAACTAATTTTAGAAACAAATAGTAAATTTAATATTGGAGCACTGATAAAACTTTGGAGATTTTAACTTGGAAAATGTTATGACTAGAAGATGATGCAATGTAACTCATAGATAATCTACAAAGATTGTAGCAATCAACAGGTGTACACTTTGATTGACAATGATAATATGCTCAAACAACGTGTGTGATATATAATGATACATATTTTTCTTGATGAGTTTAATTAGAAATTATATTCATCCGGTAAGCTTGTCATTAAGACATGTTCACAAGATATTACAACAAATGTCAATTATTATTTCCAATTTCCAGACTTATCGTTGAATTTCAAATCTTACTGATAAATATAGTATTATTTTAACAGTATATTTGAATAAATAGACTTATCATTATTTTCCTTATTAAACCAAAGATCAAGAGATAAAACTGAAAATTGTGAAATTAATTAGTGTCATCAAATATTTAATCAAATGTTACATAATGTTAAATTTGCGAAATTAATTTTACATTAAATTATGACCTGCTGTACAATACACCAATTAAACAAATATTCATTTAAAAACAATTTTAATTCAATCGAATTACAAATTGAAAAAAAGCAAAATCTTGAATGGAATTACGGTTATGTTTACCGGCAATATTTAAGGTTAGTTTCTATAGTGGCGATTGAGAAGCTACTCATCGAAATTCGCTTGAATGTCGCCGTACATGAGAATGCAGTAAGTTCTTTCTCACTCCAGAGAGAAAACACCTCTCTGCTCCTGAAAATTTCAACTAAGAAGGATCGTTGTGGACAGCCGGAGAAAATGCCAATCTTCTAAAGTTCAGCATTCTCTTGCTTTTTAAGCTAAATTTCGAATTTATTGTGTGAAATTTTAGAAAGTTATTAAGTGTAAGGGGGAAACCACCCTCAACGCGTTTATTCGAATCTAGTTTTCTTTATTACTTGATACACTATAACTGACGCTTGCGCCGTTTTCATTAGTGTTCATCGGCCGCATTTACTAGCTCATTCTTTTTGCACGAAACGCAAGTTCAAGAAATTGCTCTAATACTCCAAACTTAATGTGTCGGTGAAATTTTTGGGTAGAATTTGGTGTTAAGTCGCTACAGGACCAACGCGTATAATTTTAGGTTAAACATAATCCAAAATTATAAATCAGTGTTGAGTCTTAGCTTTTAATGGTTAATAATGAGTGATTATTCAGCGGTAGCTCCGCCTCATCAAAATTTTAGCCAAAGTTCTGCCTTCGCAGCAGCTTTACAGCGTGCAAAACAGGTATATGATTCATGTTTCATTCTATTCTTATACTTCCCTCCTAATTATAACAATGTATAGACTGAAAATAGTCAAATATTTTTATTTCGAATTAATTCGAACAATTCCATATAAATACCTCATAAAGAAAGTTTCCTTTCTTTAATAATACAGTTACTCCAATACTTCCTAGTCTATCTATCTATCAGTAGAATTACTCTTATTTTAAATTTTTGAAATTCATTCATTCCATTTCGATTTTCTTATTTCCAAGATTTATAAAAAATAGTATATATCTTCATATATACATGCATGGAAATCAGTGCAACCAGAATCTCATTGAATGTTTATATAAAAGAATGAATCTATTGATCATGAAAGAACAATACTTTCATTCGTTCCCCATTCCCCTCCCAATAAACATCCTTGCGATATTTATTTTTCAAATCAATAAACTTAAATGAAAAATTTTCTTTCATAGATTGCAGCAAAGATAAATCCTGGAGGCAGCCAAAATAGTGCTGACACTAGTTTAAAGAGATCTTTGGATGATAGCACAGGTTCGTATGAATGATTAGAAAACTTTATCAAATAAGGAAATAAAATATTACAATTATTAATAAAATTATTTTTTCCATATGTAGGTGAACCTGAAACAAAAAAACTGGCGCCCGATCCATTAATTGGTCTTAGAACCGGTCCATTACCAGGACTTGGTGACTCAGTAGGTAGAGGAGTACCGTCCCAAGTATCATCGCCAACTTCTGTTGGAAGTCTGGGAGGTATTTGCAATGAAGATATCAGGGTTCCTGACAAAATGGTCGGATTGAGTAAGTAGTAAAATTTAGTTTTAAAAGATGATTAATATATTTTGAAATCGTGAATTGTAATTAAGGTCAACATTTTCTTCTTATATTTTGATGTGTAACAATAATCAATATCCTGGAGGATATTATTATAAATTATAAACATCTTCTTTTCATAATTAAATTTATGTGTATTTTTCCAGTAATTGGCCGAGGCGGTGAACAAATAACGAGATTGCAAAGTGAAACGGGGTGTAAAATACAAATGGCGCCCGAAAGTGGCGGTCTCTCAGAACGTGTTTGCACCCTAACGGGCTCAAGAGAAGCTGTCAAGTAACTTGTTTTCCCTTTTTCTTACTTTAATAATTTTTAATTTCTTCGTACGCAATACATATAAATATACGTATATTTATATGAATTCATAAACGTAGTCCATAATACTATTTGAATTAATTAAGCAAGTTAATTACTTATATGTATTCAAAGAAACCGTAATTATCATAAAAAAACATAGATACGTTTGAATTATAATATTTACATAACATAATGTAATGATTTTTTATATAATTCGCCTGAATTTCAATGTTTTCATACATGTTTCATGTATTTTTAAAATTGTTATATTTTTCATGATGATTTTATTCATTGATATGTCATGCACATGCATATAGATATCATTCACTTTTTCAGAATTTTATTGTAGATCCTGGGTACCCACCATGGACATAGATTCGACTCTTTCTTTTTTTGCTCCTTAAACATTTATATCTTTACTAATATTAATGCTAAATTGCAATAAGCAATGTTATCAATTTTGTTGATTTTTAATAGTTTTTGAAATTTACTAATAGTTTTTTACTTTTACCTATAGGGAATGAGAAGAGTGAGAAAGAGAGAGGAGGGATGGAAGATAGGCTTGTGCATGGGGGCGTATTATTCTCAACGAGACAACAATTTTTTGTCTTTAATGATTATATTATACACACTTAGAACTCGCTTGATATAAAACAATCCATTTGTAATTTTTGACATATCAATTTATTTTTTTCGGAATATTACAGCCATGTGATTGTGCTTTGCAAAAATTGTATTATTTGTCGCGTAAATTGCTTAATTTTGAATTTTATTATGTATAATTTATATCAAATATTTCATTTTATATTTCATTTTTTGCTGTTACAGTCGTGCAAAAGAGCTTGTATTGTCAATTGTGAATCAGAGATGCAGGACTGAAGGAATTGGTGAAGTAAGTATGAGTGGTAATGCAAATACTAATTCTGGAGGTGGAGGGGGACCACCAATGGTTGGAAGCCATCCAGGATCGGTTGAAATTATGATCCCTGGTCCAAAAGTTGGATTAATTATTGGAAAAGGAGGTGAGACAATCAAACAACTTCAAGAGAAATCAGGAGCAAAAATGGTTGTTATTCAAGATGGACCATCACAAGAGCAAGAAAAACCTCTAAGGTATATTATTTAAAAAAAGATCGTAATTTGTTTTTAACAATTGTTTCTCATAGTTAAATATATTGTGAATTTTTGGTTATAAAATTAATTAATTGAAGCAATAATTCTGAAATTTTTTTCAATTATTTCAGAATAACTGGAGATCCTCAAAAAGTAGAATATGCTAAACAATTAGTGTATGAATTAATAGCAGAAAAAGAAATGCAAATGTTCCATAGGGTTCCAAGAAACAATGAAAGAAGTTTTCCTAGTGATAATGGTTTTAATAATACTACTCCAAATGCAGATGGAGTAGAAGTTCTTGTACCAAGAGCGGCAGTCGGAGTAGTTATTGGTAAAGGAGGTGATATGATAAAAAAAATTCAATCAGAAACAGGGGCACGAGTTCAATTTCAGCAAGGAAGAGAAGATGGTCCTGGAGATCGGAAATGTCTATTGTCAGGGAAACCTCAAGCTGTAGAACAAGCACGACAAAGGATTCAAGAACTTATTGATAGTGTAACGACTTTAACTTAATCATAAAACTTTTTGCTCTTGCACATGAGTGCCTTGTGTTGACCTAAGACAATTTTAGAGAAGGGACGATAGAACTCCAGTGGGTAGAAGCGGCAATCCTCGAGGAAATGGATTCGGAGGAGGCCGTCCAAATGAATATGGTGGCTGGGATAGACGTCAAGGAGGTGGTTCGATGCAAGATAAAGTGGAAACTACTTATAATGTTCCTTCTACCAAATGTGGAATAATTATTGGAAAAGGTTACTACTTTCAAATTCAATTAAAAATCTTGTTGCATTATTCATTTTTGTTTAATACATATTTATATTATACTTTCTAGGAGGTGAAACAATTAAACAAATAAACCAACAAACTGGTGCACATTGTGAGCTTGATCGTAGAAATCAAGGCAACGAAAATGAAAAGATTTTTATTATTCGTGGAACACCAGAACAAGTAGAGCATGCCAAGAGAATATTTAGTGAAAAATTAGGAATGGTAAGTAGACTTTAAATTAGTTTAAGGATTATTTTACAATTCGATGTCTTTTCAGAATGATTCTATGCATGACTTCCAAGGAAATGCCAATAATGCTTACGCAAGCAGTCAAGGTGCAATCAGTTATAATCCTACTTGGAATACAGGTACTGGATATCAATCATGGCCCAATCAAACTCCGACAGCTGATCCAAGTAAGTATTCGATTTTTACATAAAAATAACATGAAACTTATTAATAACATTAATGAATAAATTTTTTTTTCAACAGATAATGTTCAGCAAGTTCAAGTTAATCCGCAAACGGGGCAACCAGATTATAGTGCTCAATGGGCGGAATATTATCGTTCCCTTGGAATGCATAGGGAAGCAGAAATGATTGAACAACAATCAAAACAAGCAAAATCAGATCATAATCAGCAGCAAGCAGCGACGCCAGGTGCTGCAGGCGCTGCTGCACAACAACAAGCACAGGCACCTCAGCAGGGTCAACAACAAGCCTCAGCTCAAAATGGAGGACAAGCAGATTACAGTGCTCAATGGGCTGAATATTATAGAAGTATCGGTAAAATAAAAGAAGCAGAAGCCATTGAAGCACAAATGAAAGCTGGAAAGGTATAGTTACTTGTTATTAAATCAAGAGCTGTCTAATTGAATAATTTGATTAATTATTGTAATACATTTCAGTTGGGAATACAAAACAATCAAATGGCTCAACCACAAATGCAACCTCAAGCTATGCAGAATCAATCAACAGGACCTGCTCCAGCAGCAGCAAATGCGTTCCCTCAAGCATATGGAGCTTATCCCGGTATGAATGCAGGAGCTACACCGGCTAATTATTATGCTGCAACTGCTGGAACACCGCAAGCCCAATCTGGTCAACAACAAAATTCATCATTTGCCGGTGGCTATCAGAACTATTCATACCCCCAGCCCAGCTCTGAAAATTAAATTTTTTCTTCACCAACAATAAGTAAGTATCATTTTTATCAATTTTTTGAATTACAATCAAAGAAAACTGCATTCAATTTTTTTTTCTATCAATGATTAAATTGATTATTAAATATTATAACTTAACGAAACTAAAAAAAATTGTTTCAAATAACTATTAATTAGCTATGTAGTTTTCTTTATCAGATTGTAATATTGTTTTAATAAGTTTGAAATTGTAAACTACAATTTCGAACATGAAAAATAAATATTATAAGTTTATCAATGGTGTAAGAATATGAAACCAGCATTTGCATATTTGTTATTTATTATATATATACATCTATTTTTTTTGCATTCGTGTTGGTTAAATTTTTCAGGGATATATGACGATAAGAAATTATGATTAAACATGTTTAATTATTGTTATTTACACCTTTGAAAATTTGTTAATATTAATTTAACAATGTATTTAGCAATATTTTTTCTACTGTAATCAATCATTTCCCACAGTTTTCAGATAGCTTTCCAATGGGATGCGGTTAATGCCTGCGCTGTTGTCTTCATATAATTAATTATATTAACATAAAAGAAAATATTGAAAGAACAAAATAAAATCATTATAATTGGCCATGTTATAAATAGCCATAAATAGCATTTTTCAAATTTAATGATAGTAACAAATTATATCAATTTTAATTATTATAATGTCCTCCGTAAATTTTTTTCCACATATTATTAATGAATTAACTTCATATATATATAGTTATAATTACTTATAATCACATGAATAATGTAGAATATTCATGATATTAATTCTAAAAATAATGAGGATAAAAGAAATGAAAAAATTGAGGAGTATAATGTAGAACAAATTAAACACAAAATTTGTATGTGTTCCATCAAAATTGTTTGTTATAAAAAAATATAGATACGTAAGACAAGCTTGAATATTAGCAGGTGATGCAGCAGAGTAGCGGACGTTTTGGACTTCATTTGTACGGCAAATACTACAGTAAAATATAATTTATTAACTCGTTAATACCCGTTTTAATTTATAAATCCAGCTTCTATTTGAAACATGTCATACCCCGTATCTAATACTGCTCCGTAAAATAAATTATCATTTCTATGCTTTTATGATTATACATTTTTCAATTAAATTGTTTAATCGATCATCATTTGATTAAGCCTTGTATGATGCAATATCAGTAGTTTAAATATGTTTACATATATATATTGTGTAATTTAATACTCAGTTCAATCAAAAAGCGCTTCATATTTACAGATATCATCATTTTATACTTGTTATTTAAGCCCTATGCCTATTACACTAGTTCCATTTTTAGATGCAGAAGCAGCTGACTAGAATCTACTCTACACAAAACGTATTATTTAGATATCATTTTAGAAATTGCTAAGCAGAGTAATTTTTTGTTCGCTTGTCATATGAATGCGTTCTCAGGAAATAGGAGGCCTAATACATAAGGTGATTATCAGTGGACCTTCCCATGTTCAACTTAATGATAATTTTGTCATATATTTTTTTTTTGTTTATCAATAGCTTCATTTATAGTTTTGTCATTTTAGGAATCATTATCATCGATGAAATATCATTGTTCATTATTATTGTTATTATTTACTCTATATATCGATTATCCGAAAACTGTTACTCTCGTATTCACTGCATATACTGCTCTCTATCATGAATTTATAATACATATAAAAATAATTTGTGAAATATTGTACGTATTAATGAACTAAATATGTAAACACGATGTTTCTTTTTTTTCTAAAACTGTTTTTTTTCTGAGAAAATTGATAATTATGTAATGAACTATCTTTGATAAAGAAATGAAAGTGCATAATAATGTAAATGTATCTGATAAAATTTTTTAATTAATTATGAAAAATATATGAAGAAATGGATTATAAACAACTTCAAGATATCTTCATCAAGTACTACATTTAGACTAAAAAAGAATGGTAAATAAATGAATAAGAATAAGGTACTAAATATGCTAAAAATAATTTACTCCAAGTGTTGCTATTATCTTATTTTCATATTCACACATAGGTTTGCTAATAGTGTTCACATTATGATCGCGATATCAATAATATATGTCATATTTTAGTTATTTTTAATTTAATTTGTTAGATAAACCACTTATTACATTGAAATACCATATAAAATTGGTATATGTTTAAAAATCATTTAGCACTCTTTTATTTAGACATGTATATCATGCACCGATTTCTATAAGTCTAGTTAAATTTGCTCTATATGTATGTGTCGAATATTATTTCTTATAATTATTTTCATTGATTATGTTTTTTTCTATTATTCCTCTTTATTGAAATATCAAATTATAAGTTGCATATCCTTTTCAGGGCGCACTTCATGTCGGGGATTGTCAACCAGAAGAAATCAATAATACGATGATATGCAAGGGAAATCATTTTATGTAAATACAATTCTGACCGTCCTTGTATTATAAACAGTGAGTCTGTGCGGAAACTGCCAAGTGAATAATTGATATAATATTGGACTCGAATGCATTATTAAACATTACATCTATTTGTTATAATTACTTTTTTACGACAAAAAGAAAATCGTATCAGTGACTTAGGAATTATTTAAAATTATCATGATGAATATTCTTTTTTATACTTTTTCATCGAATATCAATTTTCATTGTAAAATGTGATAATTATTATTCGATAAATGAAATTAACTACTATGTAGGCGCATTTTGATTTTATTCATTTTTTTTTTAATAACGAGACAACATATTCATTTATAATTCACCATTTTTACAATAAATAAATTCATCGTTAACAGCAATCTTTGGATATAATCGTACATTATTTATCACACCATACTATTACATCAAAACAATATATTAATTAATTTACTCAAATTATAAATACGTAACAGAATTGAAAATTACAAATATTACAGTCTTTTGGTCTATTTTAAAGCATAGCTTATATTCAATAAACTTAATTTCGATATCATCTTTTATAATTATCAATTTTTGAATAAGAATTATTTAGAAAATACGCTTTATTAATGACTCGATCAAATTCCTTTTCATATTAAATACTTAGTATCTTAATTATATCAATACTGTTACCGTAAAACGTCTAGACCAATAATTAAGTGTGCGTAGAAACTATTTCATATCATTAAAATTATCTGTTAATCGAATTTTGTAATATCATTTTTTCTTTCCAATGATAACACATACATAAAAATAATTAAAATAAAACCGAGTACATTGAAACTTTGATATGAATGTAAGCGAATAACAGTTCCGTCTTGTTTTACGATTTTTTCGAAGAAAAATATTGACACTGCAATGAATAATATAATTTATAAGCTGTTATCAACATTGTCATTGCATTACGACTTATTCATTTATCATGACAGTGTGTAATTCAATAGTTAATGCGAATTTCAAATATTTTGATTAAACTTCAATAACTAAAAAGCTTTGTTGCATGATTCAACGACTTAAATAATTGTCGAATAACTATTGATATTTCTTTAAGCAACTATTAATTTTTTTATCGTTTAAAATCAATTGGTCTAGTAAAATATAAAAACTTTTTACGCAACATTAAATTTCTGATGATCCATACATGTTATTAAGCTGTTGAGTGCATCGTATAAATGTTGCACGTCGAGGAAGTTCTCGTATTTTAGAGGCTCCTACATATGTGCATGCTGATCTAAGACCTCCCAGGATGTCCAAAACCGTTGTATCTACAGGTCCTCTGTAAGGCACTTCAACAGTCTTACCTTCCGAAGACCTAAAATTAAAATTGAATGTACAGAAAAATATTCCTAATATAAATGAACAAAAATAATCTTCACAAAAACCTGTATTCTGCAACACCTCCAGCATGTTTTGCCATTGCAGTATTGGAAGACATTCCATAAAATAACTTGACTTTTTTTCCATTTTTTTCAATAACTTCACCACCGCATTCATCATGGCCAGCAAACATACCACCAGCCATGACAAAATCTGCGCCTGCACCAAAAGCCTTAGCTAAATCTCCAGGACACGTACATCCTCCGTCCTATCAATAATAAAGAATAATTACAGTGAAATAGTTCTTAATAACTGTGACCTTTAAATACAAAATTGCAAAGTTTAAAAAATACTTACCGAAATAATGTGACCTTTTAATCCATGAGCTGCATCTGCGCATTCAATTACAGCACTTAATTGAGGGTAACCCACCCCAGTTTTCATTCTTGTGGTACAAACAGATCCAGGTCCAATGCCAACCTTAATAATATCTGCGCCTGAGAGGATCAATTCCTCAACCATTTCACCAGTAACAACATTTCCTGCCTTAATAGATGAAAAATTGATCGTTAATCAACATTAATGCTGTATTCATTCGTTATTTAATCGATAAAAGTAATAAACCGTTCAAGTTGATAAAGAATGCTTTCTCAGAATAATAACTCATACTCACAATTATTGTATGGCTCGGGAATTCTGTACGGACTTTTCTTACATACTCAACAAAATGTTGTGAATATCCATTGGCAACGTCTAAACAGATGAAAGAAATACCTGGCACAACTGCAATAATACTCTTCAAACGTTCAAAGTCATTATCACTCGTTCCTGAGCATACTGCCATGTGTTGAAGATAGTCAACATTTTCAGCAGCAAATGCTTTCCATTCTTCTGGAGTATAATACTTATGAACTACTGTAAAAACACCATGCTAAAAAGTAAAATACATGTATACATGTAGAAGAGCCCGATACAAATGTTTGAAATTTATTATTCCTAGATTAGATTATATCGTTAATAATCAGATTTTAATTACCTTGGCTAATGCTTTAGCCATTTCAAAAGTTCCTACAGTATCCATATTCGAGGCCATTACTGGTATACCTCGGTATGTACGTTTTGAATTACGAAACGTTATTTCTCTAAAGAGGTCCACCTAAAAAAAGCACATCTATCACTCAAATTATTTTATTTCTAAACTCAAAAATATTCTTCATAGGAAACGGTATCATTACTTTTATGAGAATAAAAAAAGTTACTATAATTAAAGGGAAATTATTTCTACCAAAATCCTTTTAAATAAAAATAAATATAAATAAACTAAAATGTTAATATTTATTTTAAAATTTTAATCAAGTTGACAGTACATTAAAAAATAAAAATAGATCCAAAAATATGAAAGCTTCTAAAATAAATCAATACAAAAATACTTACATCAGATCGACTCCTTAGGGTACTTCTTTTTGGTCTTAATAAAACATCTTTGAAGTCTAACTTAATGTCATTGATGATGTTCGGCATTTTTGTAATTTGTAAGTAACGCGAAAATCTGCGAATCTTCTAACAGACTAATTGTGACTACTGTGTGTTTGTTGTCAAGGCACTGGTAAGCAAGGTCTGAGGAGTTGCCTTGATATGAATGCCAACGTGAGTGTCACAAACCGCTTGCTTTCTTTGTCTTTGAGGTAAATTATTTTTTTTTCCCCAAGTAACGTTAAGTTACCATTAGAAACTATTCAATTCTTCTCTACCTACTACTGATGAGCTTCTACTTTCCGCCGCACAAAGTAAAGGCGTAAAGTCAACCGTGGGAAACTTTCTAACTTTAGCCAAGCTTTAACATTTTCTCTATAAAATCCATTAAAAACTGAAAATTTATTCATGATTATTAATTTTAAAATAAGTTATAAATTATATTTATTATTTAAATGATAAATACTTTATAAGTTTTTTACTTTCATTCATAAAAGAAGCCGGTTGCTATTAAACAAAGCGACTGCAGCGCCATTTCCGTTAGTGAATCAATTTCATCGTTACTTTACATAAAGTTCAGCAACGATCTCTCCAAAGTGGCTTTATATTGGTAAAATTGGCGGACGGACGATACTCTTTTCGAGACTATAAACATGTATTGTGCATAAGCTCCAATATCTCTAGTGAGTGGCAGTGACCCTCAGTAATCCCCTCGCTTGAAGATTGTATTGAAAACGCTTGAAAAATATTGAATATTTTTTTTTTTGTGCTACTCCAAAATTGATATTTAAAAGATAGTTATTTTCTACAATTAATACTTATTTATACGTTTAGTGAAAAAATAACCGGCTAGTAGAGTAAAAAAAAAAGAAATACTATTACTACCTACTCTGAATTGATTGTGTCGTCATTCAATACAGTTCAAGGTTCGCCGCCATTTTGTGAAAAAGCAGGGAGAAATAATTGGAGTACAAACGTACTTATTCTACCATTGAATAAGCGTCAAAAAAGTGATTGATGCAGTTCTAATTAATATTTTTCAATTAATGATTCAATTTATTTAATTTTAAAACGTGACTGAGTTAATTTAACCGAAGATGAGTCAGGTAAGTGGTTTGGAGAATGAAATATTGAGCCATGTACAAACTAACTGCATGTAATTAATTTTCTTGTTGTACCGTTTACATTAACATATGTTTTTTCCTTTTTTTTTTATAGATGTCACGCTACCCTTCAGATTGTAAAGTATACGTGGGCGACTTGGGCAACAGTGCGACAAAACAAGATTTAGAAAATGCTTTTTCATATTATGGGCCTCTAAAAAATGTTTGGGTAGCTAGAAACCCTCCAGGATTTGCATTTGTTGAATTCGAGGATGCTCGAGATGCTGATGATGCCGTCAGAGCTTTAGATGGACGCACGATCTGTGGTCGTAAAGCAAGAGTTGAACGTTCCAATGGAAAACGATTGAGAGATCGAGGACGACGTGGTGGAGGTGGTGGTGGTGGAAGACAATTTCATCCTGAGGATCGATGTTACGAATGTGGAGAACGAGGCCATTACGCCAGAGACTGTTATAAGCACAGAGGTGGTCGTAAGCGCAAGTATGTATGAATATGCATTAAAATATATTTGATAATTCGTAAACACAGTGAATTTACTTTAGTTAGCCAACATTCTTTCTTGCGTTTTATCTTTAATTACTTTTTATGTTTATTACTTTTGGGCGGTAAGTTTAAGATTGAAAATATTTGCAATAAATATGTAAATTGTAGTAATCGTGGTATATAAAAGTTTGAAGAAAAGAAAAAATTATTTGCTGTAATGATTGCCGATGTAATCCTCCGAATTATTTATAGGAGATGCGGCTGAACAGGCATACGGATGTGTGTTATACGATCGCAACCGAGATTCTCGCGAGATTCGCCTTCAGGTTCACTTTGTGACACACAGACACTGCGTAGTTACAGCGTAGAGAAAACTATCTACTTCGGGGTTTACTACTGAATGTCTCCAGGGTTGAAAGAGGGCCAAAATAAAAACAATCATGATGGGGGTGATTAGTGTGTTTTTCGAACGCACTGTACTTCCTCTGAACCACTGAACACCATCTCTAATGACTGAGAGTTCGCGGCACATCGGCACCTCCGAGTTACTCACGGCATTCCTCCTCTTTTGCTCGAACCAAAGGAAACCGAAAAAAAAGATATTCTTCTTGTCATCGTCATCGTCGTTCCATCTAGCCACTCTACTTCCATTCATCTGACCCTCGCGTGATTTCACCTGCATAAGTGCTCGTCTTCAATCTCCCCATTCTGGCCATTGCCATCGCGTGTACTTCTGCTGCCTGCCATTAGGCTGCCATCAATAATGGTATATGAAATCAAATTTACGAGGAAAATGAGGGTTGATTCTTCTATCATAACTTTTTTTTTACTAAACATTTTCATTGCTCTTCTAATTGGTGAGCAATGTCTACTACTACCACCAGAAGAGTTTGAAAAAAAAATAAACAGTAGATAATAATCTCGATCTTACTGAAAAAAAAAACCTGTCTACAATCATCATCTTCATTTTTATTTATTAATATTTCATTCCTTTTAGATCTTACTCTCGATCGCGTTCACGATCAAGAAGTAAACGCTCTCGATCCCGATCATCATCTCACAGTCGTTCTCGCAGCAGGAGCAACAGACGTGGCAAGTCACGCAGCAAAACTAGATCAGATTCCAAAGATCGCAGCCCGATAGAACGATCACGATCAAGATCTCCATCTAACCGATCCCGCAGCAGGTAAAAATGGTAAATATTCCTTTATGGTTCATTAAATGCTATTACGATCATTCAAGAACCATTCAATCTTACTAATTGACTACTAATTGCTTATACTAAATACTTGTTTCAGGAAGGCAGTAAACGATGATCATAACGATAAGTTTTAAGTAATTCTGATTTGTATCACTAAGATCTCAAGCATTTACAAAAACTGGCTGATCACTTTTATGTGTTTTATGATTTAACATAATAAATAAAGCCTTACTTTACCATAAATTGCAACGGTTAATACCATTTATTTACACCAATCCTGACTAAGTATAATAATGATCATTAGTTTTAATTTTTATAAACATTAAATTCTTCATCAACTTAATTACTTTCTTTATCTTTTAGTTCATGCTGTGTTTCATTATTATAAATCAATAAATTAAGTTATTTTTTTTTTATTCAAATGATTAAGAAAGAATTTTTTTTCTTGTCTTACTTCAAGAATTTAAAAAATAAAATTATCATTCAGTTAAAAGTATTCATAAAATATTCAATGCTGATAATTGGAACGAAATCTTTAGTAAATATTCATTCCAAAGCAAATGATGTGAGAACATGGCATATTCCGAGTGAACGTATCAAAACTTGGTGTGATATCTTTGAATTTAGAATGCTTTATTTCAATGGGAATGTAATGAGTCAACCATTTGAAAGGTCGTCAAAAATTTAGCTGTTCACTATCTCTACATATATGTATATTATGTAAAATATAAATACTTATAAATGTTTTGGAGTTTCATATACATACGAAGTTCTCACTTTCGTGAGTATATTTTTTCGCACTCGTTCTCAGTATGTAGAAAACGTAGACATTCCAAAGCTGGCGGCGCCAATGCTTTTTCTGCATGGTGATATGGTCGTGGAGGAGGGGAATTGACAAGATGACGAAGAAAAAAAAAACTAAGTCGAGTGAGTCTTGGAGAAAGAAAGAGAAGAAGAAGAGGAAGTAGAAGAAGTAAAGCCAGCTAATGCAGTGCAGGCGAGCCCTCATTCGCTTTTCAAGCACGTTCGCCTGTTGCTCCGTTTACATACACTCGTTAAACTCCGAAGGGGCCATTGATTTCTTGTAAATTTCTAGAATTATTGTTTACAATCTGTAGTTTGTAATGATATTAACACGTAAAAAGTCAATGTTGTGAAGATTAAAATCGGAAATAAAGGTTCAAGTGAATTACTAAAAGTGCAAATCTCCGTTTTATTAAGTGGCAATTTGGTGTGAAGTTGAGAGGAGGAAATAGGGCATTGGGCTATTCGAGAGGATCAAGTGCTGGATAAGTTTTTTCACAGAAGTGAGAGCTTTTACTTATAAATAATTAAGTATATCAATAAATAATGACTGCTGCATGTGCTGGCGAAGTGTTTTTACGTGAACAAAAAGTATTTACAAGCTCTGATACAAATTCAATGTCTTACGAAGAACAACAGGATGTATTGGAAGCTCTTGCGATCGATAATGATTCATCATCAAGTAACGAAAGAGGTGAAACTCTTCCGATTTCGGAGAAATATTCCAGACAACTAGAAATATACCTTGAATCTCGTGGGATTCGGACGTGGGATGAACATGAGTACTTAAGTATTGGAGAATCAGCATCTTCCAGTAGTTTAGAGAGTCATGAATTTATCAGCGAAGAGAACTCATCTGGTTACAATTCATTAGGTGTTGATGGATCAACAAAGAATAAAGTTGACTCAGACTTGCTTTCAGCTTCTAGTAGGAGTAATTCTGGAGAATTAGATTGCGTAGCTCCCCCACGGGGTTCTGATATTTCTAATTCCTTTGATTCTACATTGTTGAAAGACAGTTTGAATGAAATAGAGAACTCAATGAATGAAGAAATTTCATTAAATGTATTTGAATCACCATCTTCAAAGTCTAAAGCTAGTGTGCAAAATATTAAAAATGAAATTCATCCAGATGACATTGCCAAGTTTTACAAAGCAGTTAGAATGGGCGATGCTGAAAAAATTGAAGAATTAATAGCTTTTGGATTTGTTAATAATTTAAATGAGCCTGATTGGAATGTGTCTGGAGATCCACCACTATTGGTAGCTGCAACCAACCACTGTTTACCGGTACTTAGGTAAATATTATCATCTACTTAGAAAAAAAAATACTTTGTAGTATTCACTTGATACAATTCCCATTAATCTTCTTCTCTAGTGTTTTATTATCGAGCGGATGTGACCCTGGAGTTCGTTCACCACGAGGAGAAACGGCTTTACATCGAATAATTCTCAGTGGAGGATTTAATAATATCAAGCCATTTATACAAAAATTATTAGAATATGGATGTTCACCAAATGTAAAAGAAGCTGGTGGTGGATTAACAGCTTTGCACATTCTTACACGTCAATTATCTCATATGCATTTTTCTAAAAGTACTCAAAATAATTTAGATGAAGCGCTAGAATCACTTGCTCTTCTTGCAAATGCAGGTGCTATTAATGACAAAGATCATCAAGGACGCAGTGCATTACATATTCTGGCATCTTCTATAGCCTTTGGTAAGATAATAATGAGTTTATTGATGATAAGATGTAAATATAAATAATTCAGCCGAAGAATGTTATTATCACAAATCTTTTTCAGATAATAATCACAAAACAGAAATAGAATCGGTGGTTAAAATATTTCTGGACGCTGGAGCTGATACAACCTTGAAAAATGATCGTGGCGAGACACCATTACATGAATCACTTGAATGCGGTGCGTTGAATACTGCAAACTGCTTGATACGTTATACTCCAACAGGAATAACTTCTCGTTATGGCGAGACTCCACTTCATATTGCTGCGAGGAAGAATTACATTGATATAATCGGAAAGTTACTAGAGAACGGTGAAAATCCTAGTGTCCGAAATATGGAAGGCAATACATGTTTGCACTTGGCATCAGCTCGAGGATTCCATCAAATAGTTTCGCAGTTAGTTACTTCACCTTTAGTGCAATTAGAGAAAGTTAATCATCAAGGATTAACGGCACTTCAAGTAGCAGCAGAGAGTGGCTTCGTAAATGCTGTAAAAGTGCTACTCAAAGCTGGAGCTGATCCAATACTTGTTGCTAATTGTACTACTCTTCGTCGTCACCCAGATATTCCTGAACTTATCAACCATGAATTAACGAAACGTCGTGAGCTAATTACTTAATTCATAAATTTTTTAAATTCCAATAAATAAAAAATATTTGTTTATAAGATTTTACTTAATTAAGAGAAAATTTTATATTGTGATATTAAAATTTCAAGAGCGTGCGTTTGTAATTAAGAATAAAAAATAATAAAACATATGCACTTGGAGAAAAAATATGAAAGTTTTAATAAATAAAACATTAATTATATTTAGTTTATATAACATTTCCATATATTTTATTATGCATGGGTTGAAAGGATATACAAATGAACAAAGTGATATTTTTAGTTGATTATATACAGTTATGTATAAAATAATTTTATACGATATTTGTATTATTAAAATATTATATGGCATTGTCTATGATATTCTCCAGAATAATCGTTGCATAATAGTATCATCTAATTGATACATATAATTTTTGTGTTTTTTAATGCTTATAATTGTTTTCTTACTTAACTACATTATATATAATATTAGTACGTATGACAAATAACTATTGAATTATAATTTTTGTTTTATTTGCATTTTTTCTATTAACTGTGAGAAAATTTCTTTTCATAGAAAAATAAAACTTGTCCTTCGTATTCTAACTATGTAAATATATAGAAATTTTCTTTACATAATCACTGTTATTTGATCCATATTTGTTTTTTTTTTTATCTTTATAATTTATCGATGATGTCATATTTTTTTTTTGTCATTTTTGTGTTTTTACAATACGCATTATATATTTCACAATAACAATAATTCAATTAAAACCTCAATTCAAGTAAAAATATTTATAATGATAATTTGAATAAACGTTGCAATTTTTTTCTGATGAATCAACTTAATAAAAACTTACATATTTTTATTATCAATATAATTAATTTGAGAATAATATAAATTTGTAAATTTAAAACAATCAACTATTAATTAATTTGTTCATTGAACTGCAAAAAGAATTAAATATATCATTTATACATCTATATCTCGTATATTTTTACAATAATGATGTATTATTGTTATCATTATTATTATATTACTTGTGGCAAATGACATTTCACAGCCATTGGATACAGTTACTGCATATTCTGCAGATTTGTTCAATAAAAAATATATTACGCCACACATATTTACAAATTCTTAAAATTACTGTACGATAATGTACTCAAAGTCATTTTTATTATTCTTTAAGTTTTTTGTTTATTCAATTATCTTCGCTTTTTTTCCAATAAAGCTGACTATTGTATGTAACTCTACTTCCTAAAACACTTTAGAGACAAGTCCTTTTAATCCAATTTATAATCATATTGTGCATTTAAAATTTTAAGTTGAATAGGTCGTTAGTTCAGTTGTTTCTAATTAATTACTGAAATCTATTACATACCTATATCATAATCTTACAATTCAAAAGGCAGCCAGACTAGTATTTATTATGATGTCATAATAATACTGCCATTCCTGTGAAATGCTTCACATTCAAGTGTTATTTTTTCTTTTTTTTTTTTGTATGATTCATCAATATAATAGATTAATATAAATGTCTTTCCTGTGTGTTATTTTTAAACTTTGATAAAAATTTTTGTTTCTATAACCTGATAGTATTCTAGCTTTTATATCAATCTAAATTTGAAGTAATTCATTATTTACGATATCATTTTTATTTAATTATTTATTTCAACACTTGGCTTCTAGATGTATGAGACAGATGACACATTTATTAACAAAATCATTTGTTAAGTGTAGCTGAATCATCGTTTCCTATTTTTTTGACACAATGGAATTATTTTTAATTATTTCAACCAAAAGAGATTTGAATAACAATTTATAAATCCAAATGATACAATATCATATATATGATATCATTGGAATTTTAAATAATTAATTTTTCAATACATTAAATATTTAATTAAAATTTAAGAAAATTAAAAATAATTGTTTTAAATAACATAGTAACTCGAATTCAGTAATGTCATGGAAATTTGTGCTCGTAAATATTGTTTTGACTTAATTATCTTCAGCTGATTATAAATCTCAATTTGTAGGCTTTCTACTTTTCATCATCTTAATACTTCAAAATAAAAAATATTCTACCAAATTAGAATATTTGGAATTTGTATGTCAATTTTCTAAATTTAGAATTCACTTAAAAAAAAATTCACATATTAAATTAAGATGATAAAAAGTTTCAAGTAACATATATTCCATAGTAATATGAAATACAGGCTAAACTCTAGTATATAATTTTATACGAGAAAACTTTTTTCACATTCTCTGATTAACAATAAATATTTCCTGTGTAAGACATATCAAATTTCATATGGAATCATTTATTTTCAGTTCAAAATTTGGCATTCTTTGCATATCAAATCTAAAAGTTTTACTCTATTATTTTTTAATTTATTTGTTCGAATGTTATATTAATGTGCTTAGCATCAAGCTTAAGAGCAAAAACAAATGAATTATCAAGATTGATGCTATTCACGATAAAGCTCTTAAAAAGGTGTATTTTTTTACATATTCTTAAAAATCTTACAACCTTCATTCTAATATCTACTTAAATATATCAATTAAACTGTAATGAATTTCTCTAATTTCTCCATGATTACAAACATATCTAATATAGAAGCTATCAATTATTGAGTAGGTATAAATACTCATTTAAATCCAGAGTGTGACTCAATTTGTCATTTTTAATTACACACTATAAACTTCATAAACAGGCCTTATGGATATATTGTAACTTTTCCATTCTCAATGAGATAAACAAGTTTTATGTAAGGTTTTATAAACAATTTTAAAATTCTATTTTCATTCTACCTACTTTATCACTTTACTTTGTGAAAGTTGAAGAAAATGCCATCAGTTTTCATTATTTCAAAATTTCTACTTATTTGCAAATAAATGTATCATTAAAAATCATTTACCTATTGATATATTAATAATCTTTGGTTTTTTGTGTTTATTAACATAAATTTTTATTTTGATAACATCTCTTCAACTTATTTTGTACAAGATATCTTCAAAAGACCCATAAAATTGAAAGAAAAATTAAATAATCGTTAAAAGTTTGCTTTATAAGCATGAAAATTAAATTTTCAAATCACATTAATTAATAAATATAATTTAAAATATATTCTTTTATGATAAGATCAATTTTTAACTATCATTAAATATTTAAATATTTTTATAACTGAGTTAAACTCTAAGAACATAATCAGTATTATACCCATCAACGAATTCCATTCCAATAAATTTAACTTCTAGCTATCTATTTTTTGGCATTTTTTCATACAAATGTAATGAATATAGTGAAGAGTCAAAATTAGAAAGCATCGTGATTTTCGATCTAGGCTTTTGTACAGAGATTCTTATTTACTTATGTGATCTCTATCACATTTACTAGAAACATAACTTTCATAAAGTGAGATCTTTTTTACATTATTTAATATTATAATGTGTTTTACAATAATACCTCTCAATAAGATCATTATGTTATCATTGAAATTTTATAAATCTCATGAAAGAATGGATGTATATAAAAAACATAATGTTATAGAAAATGTGCGTTAATTATATAAAAAAATGGTATATAAAACATGAAATTACTCACTTATGGAAGAGCTCTGCCTCGAAGGGGTACTTAAATCGTTGATAGTTGAATTATGTCTCGTTTTTCTCGATCCTTCATTGTCGTTAACGACATTTGGATTGGCGGAATGAGACAGTGCAGCCGTTTTATTAAAATCTATTGTTGCATAACCTTTTTGGGGTTTATCAGGTGAATCCGGAGGAGACGGCAATGAATTAGCATTATCAGGTGTTAACGTCACTGAAATGTTATTTTTGTCTAGATCCAGCACAGCGTAATTGACTTCTCTTGTAACTTCTGCAGGTAGAGCTACTGGCAGTACTACTGGCTTTTCAGTACTTGCGGAAGTTGCTGCAATTTTCGTACGCAAATTATCAAGTTCTTTTGGTTCAAGGTTAGCGTAACAATGTCGAGAACTATCATCCCAGTCTGGTGGAAGAGATGGTGATACAATTGGTAATGTCGACACTCGTGTGCGTATATTATTTGAGCATTCTAATAAATTTTCTTGACTGAGGTTAACGTTCACATAGGCATGTCCTGAATTGTCTGTCTCATATTTATCTTCTTTTAATGGTGTAGACACAGAAATACTATGGGAAGGCGAAAGTGGACTAGGATCATTACTCAAATCCACATTCATGTATGGAGTCATCGTTAAAGGCGATGGTTTATTGTGATTGTGGATGTCTTGGTTGTTCAGCATACCAATTGTTTCAGATGCAAATCCACTACTCGATGTTGTACTACTTATTGTATAAGATCTGAGTATAAACAAGTTAATTTTAATCATAAATGATAAATAATAAATTTTGCGAATAATTAATCAAATAAAGTACCTTTGGATTGTTCTCCGCAAGCTCTTGTTATTATTGTGCTCCATTTCTGTAGCCATAGTTGACAAAATATCTTCGTTGACATATAATGCGGACGGATGGGGCTGTGGAGCGGGTGGTGGCGGTGGCAGCATCACAGGTGGTGGAGATGGTGAACTTATAGTACCTTGTGGTGATATAGGTCCACTGCTACTACCTACACTACCTAATCTACTGGTTCCATTTTGCTGACTATGAGAAAATCTAGCATTAACTCGACTATTAGCCCAAAGTGGTGTTGGATCAAGGTAATTCGGTTCACTCTGTATTGTTGTTAATCGCGTGATTGTTGGACCAGAATGTGATGGTATTGAAAGATCTCGTGATATTGCATCTTCTCCACTATTGTTGCATTCCTAATAAAAAGCAGAATAAATCAATATCGCATTATATCATCTATTTCAAGGTTGAATAAAATAACAATAATCTATTACTTGAATATTTGTTTGCACGAGATTGAAAAGTTGGTCAGCTCTTCGACATTTAAAAGCAAAAATTCCTGGACCAGTGGAGCATCTTCTTCCTGACTCGAAACTAAAAATTTCAGAATCATATCCATATCTTCTTAAACATCTAAGTGGCCATTTGACTGGTTGCTTGCTTCTTGGATAAAGTACAATGTCTGACTCAGTTACTTCTAGTCTACCAGGGGTAATAAGATTACCCAAGTCATCAACATTCATTACTTGGAATATATTTGGATGGAGATCATTAATATCTGCCCGACTATTAACGCAACCCATTCTTCTTTAATCTAAAAGAGAAAAAACACAATGGAACATGTTTAAAGAACTTGGAATACACTTAATTTAAATAAATTAGATGATTTAATTGAAAATATCACTTATACATACCAAATACGACATATCCAAAATATGATAATCAATCGAAGATAAAAATATCTTTTGAGACAATCAATGTATACTACATTGTCCAAAATCTATTAATAAAATTAACAGTATTGTTTTTAAAGGACGTTTTTGCTATTCTTCTTCTAAATTAGGCCGTTAATATGACGTATTACAATCAGTAACACATTATACGATGATCATTGCACATCACAAAAAATCTTGAAATTATTAAAATATTAAAACAACATTAGAATTCTAATGTTGTAAATTTGTGTTTTAAATTATTTTTAAATTTGTTTAATTTAATTTCCAAATTTTACTAACATCTGACCAATTTAAGCTCTTCAGTTACCTGAATAAGAAAACAAACTACTTCTTCAGTCGTAGAATTAATTTATGGAGTAATAATAGAAGAAAAGACAGAGTAACACATAAATTTAGTATTTAACGTTCACTGGCATCTGTGATATGCATTTTATACAATATTCAGAGTAGCATGTAATAATTGAACACACATACATATATGCTTACAATCTAATTTATTCTTTATATACATAGATCAGAGAGAAAAGCCACCCTTTCTATATCTATAGACAAACAAACACTAAAATATATGTTATGGACCACACACAGGCTACTGGTATTTACATGCATTCATTTGTTTCTCTATCTTTGTTTTGAAGGGCTTTCTTTCTTTATCTGTACAGTTTAAGCTAAAATTCACTTGAATTGGAGTAATTGGTTCGAATATTACTCTTATCAGTTTGTAACACACATAAAAACAAGAAATTTATCAGTAAAATTTTTCTCTCATAAACCAAAATAAACTCACGAAATAACGTTACTTTAGTTATATGAATTTTTAAATTATTATATTGACAAAATTTTTTACCATTACTGTACACTCAGCTACATTAATATGCCTTTCCTATACCATAAGAGCAATTACCGACCGCGGTAATGATTCTTTTTTACATCAAGTTTCCAATCTTGAATTTTCTACAGTACCGGTCATAAATGCTGTTTAATTTTTTAAAGGTTATACATGTGATTTTCCTATACCGTCTTATAGAAAATCACACAGCATTTATGTCCGGTACTGTAAGCTTAGACGGAATTGAAAAGATTATAAAATTTAATAATCACGGTTTGATCGATAGCATTATATTAATATTAAATGATCCAGCAATTGCATCTGTCAGAGATAATTACATAAAATGTAGCGAAATGAGATGCAATGAGTCGATAAAAGATGATGAATATAAATTTCTCGATCAAGTAATAAAGGAGATATAGATGTCTAGCGAAGAGAAAAAAAATTAAAGCAAATAATAGACATTTGGGAAGATTTTATCAAGGAAAATCAATTCTATCTGGCTGATAAATTATTAGACCAGCAATCCTATAATTCTAAAGAACGACATTATCTTAAGAGTCTCATAAATCATAAAAGAATTTATGAATTTTTTGAACAAGAAAAAAAATATGATTTAATATATAAATATTGGAATTGGCAAGATGACATATAGGGAGAGAAAAAAAATCTAAGAACAAACTTAACAATAACAATTTTTCAATCAAAATAAACTTCCCATTATTAATTGTTTATAACAAATTGACATTGCTTTAAACAATATGTAATTATTAAAAGTCCTATCTCTTCATAAACAACATTGTTTTGTCGATAATATCCAAGTCCATGTGATGTGGAATTCAAGGCATTAATGAACACGAGTGTACTGATCCATTTTTATAAATTTTCATTTGCAATTTCTACTTAATCGCGAATTTCATTCACCTGTGTTCCTATATCCAAAATACTTAGAATTTAATTCTACACCTTGGTTAATCGGACAGGGAATAAGTTCAGAATCACCCTATATATCCGGCTTCGCTATAAATTACCGGACACCCTGTACATTCAGAAAATATCACTAGTGCCCTCTAGATTAAAATGTTGTCAGTGCTGCCAAACATAATTTGAACTTGAAAGACGTTACTTGTCAGCCATTAAAGTGCAGATGTTGTATTTATCTAAGTTTCAGGTCTCAACAAGTTCAGCGCGCATTTTTTTTTATTTTTTTCATTATACTAAATAATTTCTTTAGCCACCTCGTTTGTTTAATTATTAAGTTTTTTTTATTCTGAAAAAGTGCTAACTTTGTAAGTGTTAATAGGTATTTAAAATTATTAATTATTTTACATACTTTTTAAAGTCATAGTGAGAGGTTAAAAATGTGTATGGTGGTATAGCGTCTAATGTATATAATTAATTGTTTCAAAAGTGCTTTATTATCGATAAATCTTTAATACTGATATTAATAAACTAATAATATCTAATTTTTTTAGTAAATGTAAGTTTTTTTCATAATTATTCAAAGTTGCTTGTAAGCTGGTTATTTTGGAGGCATTTAAGTAATTTTTTGAAAACTTAATCTAATAAATTCGTATAATTTTGTAGAAATATTAATCATGGATTCTGCGACTAAAAAAGCAGTTAAAGATATGGTTCTGACAAATCTAACAAGTTTTGAAGAATTGTACAAAAAAGAAATTGAATTGGCAAACGAACGTTATGAGAAAAAAACTGAAATATTAAAAAATTTATTCCAACAAATATATACTCCCAAATCAGGATGTTTGATGCCAAAAACTCCAAAAGTTACACGAAAGCGTATTCAAACTATTCCGGAAGATGAAATCGTTACTGAATCAATTGTTAAAAATATACAGAATAGTAGTAATGATGCAGAGTCAGAGGACGAACTACCTACTCGATCTAAACGAGGGGCTTCTATAAAAGCATCACAAAAGATAAAAAGTCAACAGACTTTAACATTAAATTCAAAATTACGTAGGCCAAAAAATTCTGAAGAGATTGCAACGGTAAGTATGTTTATATAAATATTCATAAATTTATAATTGAGATAGTTATTCACTGTTCTGATAATTAATTTACAGTCTCAGACATCTCGAACTCGTCCAATGAAACGAATTAAAACGTCTTCGAGTGAATCAGACGAGGATATTGGTCGAAAACCTGCAAAGCAAAATAAAACAGGAGAGAGTTTAATACGTACTTCGAAAGTGGTTATAAAAGAAGAACCAATGTCATGTACAGAACACGAAGATGAAGTGGAGCCAGTTGTTACAAAAAAGAGTAGTTTAACAAAAGAAACAAGTTTACCAAGACAATTAAGTCTTAGATCGTCTAAACAATTATCTAATCAGAAAAATACGCCAGAAGAGTCGAATGTAATTGAAGAAACACTTATTGAAAATGATACTATGATCACAGAACCATCTATGTATGAAGATGCACTTGGTAAACCAAATATTGCGAATTCAACAATGATTCCCAATACAACTGTTACAATTGATAAGAAAATAATGAATGCTACGGTAGTATTAAGTAAGATGAATGAAACAGTAACGATAAGTAGAAATTCATCTCAAAATCATAAGAAATTATCTAATGAAGCAATTCCCTCGGTATTACAATCTAAAGCACAGCTACACCATAAAATGTCGGCTTTGAAAACAACTTTGGTTACTCCACAATTTAATGAACTTATAACAGATGATGAATCATCTGACTCAACTGATGAATTTGGTAGATTGAAACAATCAATAATAAAATCGTCACATGATAAAACTCCAGTAAATCAAAAACCCAAACACAACTTCACTAGTGACACAGATGATGAAGCAATTTCATCGCCTGAAGAACCCCGTTCGAAGTTACAACTTAAATACACAAAACATTTAAAGCCTAAACAAAATGCATTATTTAGCCCTTATGCAAAAGAATCAGTGAAAAAACGAGTTGAAGCTTTTGAGAAAGCTGTAATTGATACTCCAAATGATAAGAATGAAACAGTACGACTTACAAGAACCAAAACTCGAGCAATGGCAAAAAATAATACAGATGCACCAAAAACACCTAGTGTTTCTACCATATTAGCAAGAAAATCATTAAGTAAAGCTAAAAAAATAATTAGAGAAAAGGAACAAAGAGATCATGATGCCGAAAAAGAAAATAATTTAATGAATACAGCACAAAAACTTAAAGTTCTTAAGAACGATAAAGTAGCACAAAAGCAACAGCTGCGGACTACTCCAATAAGTAAATCTCGTCTTAAAACACCTATGTCCGTAAATCGTATTCCTCAAACGCCGTCTAACAATCACTTACTTCCACCATCTAAAGCTGCTACTACATCCCGAACTCACAATAATATTTCATCCACTGAAGTGATGAGTGCATCTAAACCTATTAGTAAATCAAGTTCAACGGACTCTTTGGTTGAAAAACGCCATAAAGTTTCAATGGAAGAAGATGCACGAAGGAAAAAAGAAGAAGCCTTGAAAGCACAAACAGAAGAAAAACGACGAAAACGAGAAGAAAAGGAACAAAAAATAAAATTAGCTCGAGAGGCAAGAGAAAAATTGGAGCAAGAGAAAAGACTCAAACTAGAGAGAGAAAAGGAAGAGAAAGCTCGCCAGGCCCTGATTATGCAGGAGAAAATGCGTGAGGAGGTAGAAAAGAAGAAAATTGCTCAGAATCAAAGAGCTATGGAGAAAGAGGAAAGGAGGAAACGAGAAGAACAATTGAAATTACAGCGTATTCAAGAACAAGAGGAGCTAGAACGAAGATTGGCTGAACAAAAACGACGAGAACAAGAAACGGAACGGCGTCGGCAAGCTGAAGCACGAGCTCAACAGTTGGCTGCTGCTGAGGCAGCTAAGCTTAAACTACAATTCCAAGCTAAAGTCAAACAAATGCAATTGAAACAACAGGAGGCTGAAATGCAGGGTCCATTATCTTATAAAATTGATAGTGAACCTGATGATGAATCAGACAGTGAAAGTAGACCGAAATATACCATTCCATTTTGGGCAAAAGGTAAGTTCATTATTTATTAATGTTTCTATTTCATTATTATGATATTATTAATGTTTCAATATTTATTCGATATAGCGGAATGTCGCAAAGCTCAATTGGAAATGCAACCTTATATACCATCCAATGTTATAATGAAATTTTTCGGTGTCAAGAAAACTACACCGAATTTAGCTGAAATATTTGTTGGGATTGAAAAAAAACGGCTAGTAAGAACATCAAGCGCTGTATGGAAAACTCCACCACGTTTTTCCATGATGGAGGATTAATTAAATATATTTTAATCATTTGATCGTTGAGAGTACTTTTATCTGTTATAATTATTTATTAAATTTAAACAAATGTCATATTAATTCATTTGTCACATTAATTCAACAAAGTAAATTGTATTTTCATGGATTATCTTGCTTACCATACTCTGATTAGATTGTATTTTAATAAGAGAATTTATACCTTAATAATAAGATTATCAATAATTATATCGATAACAATTTGAAAGATGCATGTGGGAATATTTTAGTGTGAATTGTTGTAAACTTTATGTTTAAAATAAGTATAATTTTTTTTAGTATAATCCAAATATTTTTTTTATCATTATTTGAAATGTTTATTAAAAAAAAATAATGAGAATTAATTGACATGTTTATATTCATATGTGTATTCAGCTGATAAACATGAAAAGTTATATTAGTTGAAGTTTTAATCTAATTTTTTTTAAAGATTTTAGAATAAAATCATCATTATTCGAAATGTTGTTACTTTATAATTTTTTATTAAAACGATTCATTAGAATTCCTTTTTACCTGTTAATGTAACATTTAAATCAAACTTTAAATTCAATTAGTCATTAGATTTCCGTTCTCTTTTCTTAGAATAAGCTGATATGCTTTATCTATCTAACAATACACCCGCATACATACATACCTATGTATACATTTAGTTACTTTGTTCACCAAGCACATAGTTTTGGTGCGACATCTGGATATCCCTACCATGAAATATCATCATAGACAAACACGAGTGAATAGTTCACTGTTCTAAACGCGTTTTGTGGATGTTCATTGTTCATCGATCATTGTCAGGGTTATCATTATCAATTTTTATGTTGCCAAACCAATAAATTTTTATTGTTGTTATTATTGATAATAAAAAATCGGTGATTATGTAGTGCTGGTACATTATCAGTAAATATTATTATCGCTTGTATTTCAACGAAAGTTAAACATTCACTATTCAACATTTCTAAATAAATAGCACGTACCTAAAGATCTTTGTTAGTCTTCACGATCAGTGAGGTGAGTTATTTGTTGTTGTCCATCATTCACAGTCCCATTAATATTTATTACATTACACTAAATAATGCCGTAATAAATTGAATTTTTTCATTTAAAGTATAAATAATTGGCAATTTTTTTAATTGTGAAGTGTATACATAAGTTTAGTTATTGACATACTCCACAATTTATCATACAATGATGGTCTAATAATGTTTGTTTCAAGTATTTAAATGTTGTTTTTGTTATTTTTGAATAATATAATTAATTTATGAACAATATAAAATTATTATTATTGGTTGATACTTGTTGAGTATAAAAATAATATAATATAAATAAAAGTAATTATTCATGTGAGTAACTTGAGAAAGAAAATGAAGATAAAACATTCTACGTCTTACATTTGAGATTTTACATCTAAAATATTTTTAGCTGTGTAATCATTTCTGGCTAGAACTTATAACTATAAACAAGCGGTCAAGCATGCAGAATATCGCGGTTAAGCACATTATTATCTGTCATTGTGATAGTCTATAAATATTTAATAATACTACGTGATTTTCCACAGAAAAAACTATCATGTTTTACTCTGCAATAATACTTAGTGTTTTATTCGTGGGTATGTATTCAAAGTTCTTTAATATTTAATTTTATGATCAATGGGAAAAATGCAATATCTGTGAATTTTATGAATTTTTATTTAGGAATTTCTGGAGGTCCTTCTCTTAAAGCTCCTACATTCAGTAAACATTATGTTGCCAAAGGAACTTTGATTATTCCTTATGCTGAAATTAAAGAACCTTTTTATGTTTATTATGATGAAGAAGCTGGATCCAGTCGAATTGATTACTACGGAGGTATTTATTATATTGAATTTTACCTGATAAATTGATAATATAATTGGAAAATATTTATTTTAGATATGGTGAAGACTTTTCAACTTGGCTCTAATGGAAGATATGGTTCTAGTATAAAAATTGCTCCAATTACAACTGAATCTGAAACAAATAAACTCACATGTTTGAAAGTTGATGGAGATGGGGAAATGCAAGTAAAACCTCAATCGATTCTCCCGGATACACATGAAATGGAGGTTGTTATTATGATCAATATTTTGTTTTTTATAGTTTAAATGATATTTTTAATTTTTATTGACATTAATGATATTTATAGTGTATTGGAGAAGAAATGATAAATGGAAACTTATGTGAAAAATGGCGCCTTGTTGATAAAATTGGAGAAAAAACCAATAAATACACTTTATGGATTAGATATGAGAAATCTGCAGTTTCAGATGCCAAAGTGCCTATACCAGTAAGATATGAAATGAAAGGATTTAACTCACTTTTAGGATCTCACTATGATCATTATTATCTAGAATACGACTGGTATTCTGATGAAAAACCAAGTGCAGATGTTTTCGCTGTTGTCGATAGTAAGTATAAGAATTAATAATATTATGTTAACAAATATTAACACAATAAATTTTTTCAGATATGACATGTACTAGTTTCCCTGGACCTGGTATTAAACATCTTATCACCTTTAACCCAATGCGCGAATTTATCAACAATGATGATAGACACGTTGAAGTAGAGTTTGATCACTTCAAAAAAAATCACAATGTAAAATATCCTGTGGGTAAAGAAGAACATGCTCGAAAAGAAATATTTAGACAGAATTTAAGGTAAGAGTCAAAGAGAGAAATACGATTATTCATGGTTTTTACAAATAATCAATTTTTCACGATATGGTTAGGTACATTCACTCGACAAATCGTGCAAATCGTGGTTATACACTAGCTGTAAATCACCTTGCTGATCGTAAAGACGAAGAACTCCAATATCTCCGTGGAAAAAAATACTCGCATGTATCTTACAATGGTGGTGATGCTTTTCCTTATGATTCTGATGAAGAAGTAAAAAAAGTTCCAGATAGTATGGACTGGAGACTTTTTGGAGCAGTGACTCCAGTAAAAGGTAATTTACTGCTCCAAAAAAAAATTCATACAATAAATAATATTCACTAATACAATAATAAAAAATAAATATAATTATTTAGATCAATCTGTTTGTGGATCTTGTTGGAGTTTTGGAACAACAGGAGCAGTAGAGGGTGCTTATTTTATGAAATATCATACACTGGTTCGATTATCTCAGCAAGCGCTCATTGATTGCTCCTGGGGATACGGTAATAACGGATGCGATGGTGGAGAAGATTTCCGATCATATCAATGGATTATGAAACATGGGGGACTACCCACTGAAGAAGATTATGGTGGTTATCTTGGACAAGATGGATATTGTCATGCTGACAATGTGACACTAACTGCAAAAATGTCAGGCTTTGTTAATGTTACTTCGAATGATCCCAATGCACTGAAGGTTGCTATTGCCAAACACGGACCGGTCTCTGTCGCAATAGATGCGTCCCACAAAACATTTTCCTTCTACGCTAATGGCGTTTATTATGATTCCTCATGTGGTAAGTCTTTACGAGAGTAAAAATATAACAAGAAAGAATGTAAAAAAGATCTTCAGATGATCAACTAAATTTATGGTATCAATTTTCAGGTAATAGGATAGATCAACTAGATCATGCTGTCTTAGCAGTTGGATATGGTAAATTAAATGGTCAAGATTACTGGCTAGTTAAAAATTCATGGTCAAACTATTGGGGAAATGATGGTTATATTCTAATGGCTCAGAAGAACAATAATTGTGGTGTTATGACTACACCAACATATGTCATAGCTGCTTAAAAAACTGTGATGAATAAAAAAGTATAAATCGTCTCTCTATATTTTTAAAAATGTAGATAAGTGTTGATAATAATTATAAAATAATTTTTTTATTCGACGATTAATTTAAATATACTTTTCTAGCCTACACACAACTCGTTGTTTACGATACAGTGTCAATAATCAAGCTCTGTATAAGAATAATAATAAAAATTGGAATAAAATTAATTTTTAAGATTTATTATTATTTTCTTCTTTTAATTGTACTGTAGCCACAATTAAAATTTAATTTTGCACTTAAATTTTATTGATAAATTCTTTCTTGATAAAATACTTATAACATAATTAACAATATAATTTTTTTCTAAATTTTGCAATTTAAATGTACGATTTATTTAATCTAATTTTATGATGTTTAAAAAAAATATATATAATTAAAAAAAATCTTTTATATATGAAAAGTTATGATAAAAATGTCATAAAAAAATTCGATAAGTTTTAATTTTTTAAGTATTCGGAAAATAATTTTTTAAGTCATATAATTTATTATTTCTCTATACACATAAAAGCTCGTTATATCTCACTTGATTTTTCTTTTTTTCACAGTAGATAAATTTTTAAATTACTTTCAAATATTCTCTTTTCATCACTTATAGACCCTGGATAAGTCAATCATTCACTAGAAAATTTCATCAACTCCATTCTTCAATATAATAATTTATAAAAATTTCTAGGTAAATAAATAATAATTACGATTAATTCAAGTGCAAAAAGGTTTGGATAGTTCTCCATTATTGTAATTTTCCAATCAACAAATTGTCAAGAAAAGAAAAATAGAGGAAGTGCAAGAAAGATAAAAGAATAAAGGGGTGAATTTTTATTAACGTACAATAATTGTTATTTGTACGTTAAAGAAAACCCATTTCTAGGGCATTATAAAGAGCCTGAGTATCTGAATGACTATTTATTCTCCAAAAGGGAAAATTGTGCGCCCGTGCAGCTGTTTCCTCATCAGAACCGTCGCCGATAACGACATAGGTACAACGACGTCCAAATTTTGCTACTACACGTCCAAAGCAACTTTCTTTGCCTAAAATAATTTAAAAGAATAAATTCAATAGTCATCGTAGATGATAATTTGAAAAACGTAGTCTATTTACCAATTTTAGTTGCAGAATAAATATTTTCAATAGGAAAAAGTCCTCCTAAACCAAAGAGTAAAACTTTGGAAAGTGCTGGCACAAGTTGAGTAGTCGTAACAAGTATATTGACACAGTGGGTTCGATTACTGATGAGAGTTAGGCATTTAACAGCAGATGTAAGCCAATTATCAGTTAAAAGTTCAATTTCTGATCTCAATTGAAGCCACTGCTCTCGTTTGGCACCCAACAATCCACCAACATTGTTCCTATAATTGCAGTAAATTTCTTTGATTTTTCTGTAGCGAAAGGCCAGCTTTCGCATCCAATCTACACCACCACGAACACCAGAAGCCAAACAAATTCCATTATTAGCTGAAGCGCATTGAAATCCATCAGCTGCGAAATTGTAAGATGATAAATCTTGACCATTATCATCTGACGATACATCATCAATGTGTACTTGATCACAATCCTATAATTGATCAAAACCGAATTCCAATTTGTTAAACTATGAATCAGGAAATGTTGAAAGTGATGCAATGAAACATAGAATATACCTCAACGTCATTGAAGAAGAAATGAGTGTCCGCTAAATTAAATATCATTTCTTCCATCCTGTAGGCCAGCTGTGCTAACAGCGCAGGATCCTTGCCATGCTTCGTTGCAAACTGTCCAGTAATGAGGGAATGAAACACAACTATGGTTTCATCTAGATCCCAAATGAATATTCGATCTGTACCGCTTTCCGTTGTGTCGGCTGAACCAATACTATTTCCACTTCCGCTTTGACGTCTACCGCGCCTGCAGGGTTTCGCTGACGTACCTAAAATAATTTTTTTTTGTTTCGTTCAATCAACAATCCCTGTTATTTTTAACTTTAAACTTACTTTTTTTATATATCTTTCTCTTTTTACCTTCTATTGTTGCTGTTTCTCGAGCTGAAAGATCACTGGCCACATCGCGTGGCGTCGTATCTAACGCAAGGCTGGTTTTGTTTGTGCTTTCTACATCATAAAAGAATAAAGTCCATGAAAAACAACATTCATAAAGAATAGAATTTATCTTTAATTAAAATTACTTTTTACTTTACCAGTAAAATTGAGGTTTCCAATGTTAAATGAAGTTGGAGTGGTATGATATCCTGGCATTGAGTAGTATCCAGAGTATTGCAGAGGCATCCGATCATTGCCATAGAGACAAGTACTACCATATGCACTATAATCTAGTTTTTGTGTTGCTGAAGTAATATTTTGGCTAACAGGAGAAAAAGTTGATCCACCAGTATTGTAGGCAGGATAAGAAGCGTATTGAGCCATGGGACTTGGCGTCGTATAAGAACTCAGGTAGGATGTTTGCAAACTTGATGGATTTTTTGATACTGATCCGTATGTGGGAGAATTGTAAAGACTGCAATAACTATAATCTTTTAGCTAATAATAATGAATATAACTAAATATGAATAAATATAATAATATAACAAAGAGCTCTATCAAATCTACTCTAGATGATATTTGAACTATTGTACCAGTTTCAGCCTTGATTTGATTTTTCTTTTTGATCATGTCTATTTCTTACTAGACCCTAAATCACTACATCTATTCAGAAGAGAATATCAAGCAAAATAGGGAGTACCTGGGCAAGACAAGGGAACATCATTTTGAAAGAACTATTCGTACTTTTGTTGAATCCCATGCGATTTAATTCATTTTTATTCTATTTTGTTTTAATGTCTATGATTTTATTTGAATGTAATACAGTTTGATGATGAAATCGATGCATAAATCTTCGAAATTTATTACCTGTTATAATACTGATTGGCTCCATAAAAAGTACTGTAATCCGTTTTCTCCATTGAATCATGGTATTCATGACCTTTGTCATTTATGTTTTCATCAACGTAAAGTTCACCACCGGTCACATTATCGGTATCCGAGCAGTCTTGCACTTCGTTCTTGACCTCTGTTTCTACATGAAACCAGTAATATATAAATATATATGTATATATATAAGAATAGTGTGAAAATGATCTAGCAATGAATTATTATTAATAAAGATGTTAAAAAATGTATACCAGTGTTGACACTTTGAGGGTGTTGCACTGAAGTTTCCGTCGACGATGAAACATTGCTAGTATTATCTAACACCCCTCCTGGTTTCGTCGGGTCATTATCCTCGGTTAACATATCACTCAACCTGTAGAACAAGCATCACATGATATTATATATCACCCTAAGTTATAATATACAAAGTACAGTTGCAAAACATAGAGAAAAATTGTATTCTAAATTCTTTCTGCTGCAAGTACATCAACGTAAGAAGGTAATTCGAGTCACTGAAAACCGGATTCTCAGTCCTTGGAATGGGTGTCTACATCGAAGTAGAAACTTCTAGAGATACCCGAGACGTAGCAACAAATTGTTGCAGATCCCTAGAAATAATCCAGAGGAATGATGTACGTATTTATTCTTTGTCTCTAGATATCAAGCAAAATTGATAAATACTAATCAATTCACTGGAAAGCATGATTCTGCGAAATTGCAAGTGATTATGAAGGTTGATAGGAATTAGCAGTCTAAGAATTGGTTGGATTGTTATGACATCAGATAGTTCAGAAGGGAAATGAAGTGTTGATTAGGGTTGTATTATTTCTTGACCACATGTGGATGGATACAATGAGTACAAAGTCTCAGGATGGGTAGGCGTGCACCGTGATTCTTGGGGCGGCAACCAATCGGACTCCCTTGCCAACTACAGCGCACGCTACAGTATTCTTTTTTATGTTACCAAGTCACTGTCCATATCGTAACCATCGCGCTCCGCCCTTTTAAAGCGTACCTATAATGCTCTCTTTAAGGTGTTAATGATATCTTTGATGACTCCTAGTAAAAGGTTATTTAATTTTCACAAATACGTTATAATTACAAATGCAAATCGATTGATCAAAACAACAGCTCAAGTTTCGCGGTTGCTTGTTCTAGACTTTTTTTTTAGCAAATATCATGCATCAACAAGTTTAATTATAAAGCAATCCTTTTGAATTAAACAACATTTAGATTATATTGCAATCTACGTTATTTTCATTGGTACTAATTATTGAATTCAATTTCCATTTGAATTTGCTGATTAAATTATTTTATCATCCGTCAAAAAGTCATATGCTGAATTAATTTTGAAATATTATTTTCATCTCTATTTGTATAGGTAAATTAATCATGAATAAATAGTAATCAAATTAAATTATAATGAGATTAAATACATGGAGGTTTTACATTCTAGATGAGCATAGTTTAAAATGTATAAAAAAAGTTAATTTGATGTAAAAGTGATATAAAATTAACGAAAAGTAGTTTAACATTTGCAGAGAAATAAAATTTTGTATGAAAAGAATATGTTAATAAATATTTACGAAATTAAAACATTGTGAAATAATATAATAATTTAGTAATTGAATCATATTTCTTTAGAGCTAATAAAACAATTTCTTTGTCATTTAGAGTAAATAAAAAGGATTTTTAGCAAAAACTAAATTTCAGTTTGTTGAATTTAAAATTAATGAATAATAGTGATTGTAAGAGCTTCAATTGGCATCAGATTTTTATACAAACTCGTCTATCAGTCATAAATAATTGAAGAAAAAAAATCATATCTTTCCAAGTCATATCAGAGAAGTGATTGAATTCTAATAAACCTAATTTTTTTCTATTTAAAAATAGCTGATATTTTTTAATACTTATTCTTCAAACTTATTCAAAAAATGTATAAAACTCAGCAATAACATAAAAATTTTTTCGAAGGATGTTATTTTCATCAACTTCATCAAAATTATGATGCTTTTGTTATCGCAAGGAAGTTGCTTCGTTAGCAAAGCAACGAGAGTATGGCTACTTAAGAATATTTAAGATAGAAAATGAGTGTGAGAAATAAAAACTTTCAAGGCTTGAGAAACATAAAAAACAACAAAAAAAAAATTTACAATTAAAGATATAAATACGTCAAATTAGTTAAAGATATAGAAAAACCTTCAGAATGTAAACTCCTACACTTTGACCCGAGTCTCGCGCCAATGCCAATTAGAACACATGACTTTTAACGAGCCGAATTAGATGCATGGCCTAATAAAAGGTAGAGCGGATGCATTATTTCTGCATAAAATATTCCATTTACTAGTCTTCCGTATCTACTAATTGGCCATAACGTAATCGAATATTATATCAAGTATGTAATGTATTTCTTTGTATTGCTTCACATTCATACCCTACAGGCATCAAATCAAACTGAAAAATAAAAATGCTATCAATCAAAAATATTTATGTAATATGATGCAGAAAGTTGATGTTGATAAATGTATGAAAAATTTTTATTACACGTTGGTGGTTGTGATTATTAGCGTTTAATCAGTAACGATAATCATCAACTATATGGAGATATACACGTTAGTATCGATTCAGAAGTTTGCAGTCGTATTTGACATCGAATATCTTGCGTCGACGCGCCTGTGCGAACAATGGAATGCGTTGACAGTTGTACGGAAAATATATAATAATTAATATCATAATTAACGACTATCTCTATTGTAAAACGTCAATTGTCTAAAAACAAAGCGATAATTAATTACGATGTAAGTGATGAAGTATTAAATTAAATAATTATATAAATTTTAATCAATGAATACTTACGTATCAATTGAGATTTAATAAATATAATTCATTGTCTAAACAAACTGACTCATAAATATTTTAGTAGAAAAGAAAATTCAAAATATCTTTCCAAGTGTGTGCATGGGAACCAGATGTGGATGACATTTAGTTACAACTGATGGTCAATATGTCTTTTATTAAAAAGAAAACAAAGAAGAAGTGGCAAGAAATAATAACAAATCTCCAACATGATCTAACCTGAGCATACGTAATTCTGAAAATTGAAATCAAAGTAAATAAAAAGGAATAAGAAGTGTTGATGTAAGGTTATATTTTGAAAAAATGTTTATGTTAGAAAGTGTGAATAGTTTTATTGTAAATTACTGTTATATTATTGCAATGATCTTTGTTTAAAGTAATTACAATAAAACACATGAAATAATGAAGGAAATAAAATAATAAAAAGTAAAAACAAGCAAACACTATGGATTTACGAAGTAAATTTAAAGTTGTAGACAAGCAAATAGATTTTATGACTTAAATTCTAAAAAAACAATAGAGTTATGCTAATTTATGTAAGTTTATCATACTGATCTTAATCATTAAATTACATGTTTGTTTATTTATTTAATACTTACTTAGTTTGTGTGATACTCGTCTCTGTTTCACTTCTCTCTCACTTTTCTCAGCTTGTAAAACATGATGTAGTCCACGTTAATATTTTACAAATATTTAATAACAATGTAATAGTGTTTTTTTAATTGATTTATTCACTAAAATATTCCACAATCCCAATAAAAAAAGATGATGATGAAAGACAGGAATAATCAATCTGCTTCAAAAATGTAAGTTTTATGAAAAAATAATGAATAATAAGTTATGAATGATGTTTTAGCTTTGTCAATGAACAATATCAAAATATGTAGTGCACTAAATAATGTCAAGAGCATGTACTTTTAATTCATATAATCACTTTGACCAACTGTCTATGTTTTTCCAGTGAAAATACATGCACACGATGGAACGACAAATCGGTCTGAAACGTTGATCAGCCCGGCTCGTTGTGTGATGCTGTAGCCTGTGGAGTTCTGAGCATGCGAATTGTTGGTAGCCACCCCCGCCCAATAGTCACGTGGTTCCCCTCTCTGTTTTCAGTGCTTCTTTATTTTTTTTCTCCCTCTTGCCTGTTGAACACTCACAAAAGCAACCGAGTGGGAGTAGAATTGATAGAGATGGAATACAAGCAAAGCAAGAGATGAAAGGGATGATGCATAAGAGAACACTGGAGAAGAACGAAGAGGGGATTAACCCCTTGTTGAAATAATTGTCACTAGCTGTCAGCGTTCATTTAGTTGAATAACATGCCGCTCACTACCCTTATGTCATTCTAATGCGTGCCTTTTTTTCTTTTATTACCGTAAAAATGATGTGCTATAGAATTCAAGTGGGCCCTGTGTGGAGTTCTTTGAAAATTACTTAATCAATTGTTCATATTTATAAAGGTAAGTTTTATATATAAATAACAAATATGCTAATGTTACATTGCCGAATATGACAGCAAATAATGTACATGTATGCCTTAGGTTGTGATAATACAGTGTGAGATTTTTGCGAATGATAAGGTTTGCAGAGACAGCATAGACAGAAATAGATAGCAGGAAGATATGCATCCATTACTCGTTTTTCAAAGAAGAAATAAAAAACAGTAATGTATTAGCGAAGGAAAATCAACTAAATATCCTTGTAGATCTTGATGATTTTTAAAGCAATATATATATATATATATATATATATATATATAGGTATACTCTATCATTTATTTTTAAAATAAAAATTTAATTCAAATGAAAACTCAATTATTTTTCCAACAAAGGATCTACGACAGCTGATGGAGATGATGAATAAATGATTGAATTTTTTGGTCGATTTTAGAAGATTAAAATGAATTTTTCGACTTGTTCATATCAGGATTACGTAGCCCCTTTCGATTCTCTAATGATGGATAAGTACAAAAGGATCTTTTCTAAGTAGGACTAATCCAGGATACACCTTTACGCTACATTGGACTTGGATTATTTCATGCGGTAAAATCGAATGAGACTAACGAAAATTTTGATGATGTGTATGTGGATATATACATCCACGCATACAAAAAAGCCTTCAACCTGGCTATAAATAAAAAATCAAATAACAAACCTTCTCGTAGGATCTCTCTTAATTTACTCAAACAGAAGACCTACCTCGAGGTGGACACACTACTTCGAAAGCAGTGAGAAGAAAAGAGCATTAAAAAAAACGATGAGGGAGGATAAGCAAAAAAAAAGTTGTAGTTTCAGGATATAATGCCACCAAGGATCATATAATGTACTCACTCACGCTCACCAGCATCCTTTTTTGCCGAGTGGAGTAGCTAAGCGCAAAAATTAAGAAGGGTGCAAGTACGATGAACGACTCTGTATACATATATTTTCGCCCACCCGCGTACAATTTTATAGCTTGTGTGCTAAGTATGTGAGTTACTCAAAGGGCAAAGAGAATGAAGAATATATGAGCCAACACAGTTATTAGGAAGCTTATCAAGTGTGTGTTAGTGTGCGGCATGCTCCCTCGTACTGTTTCACACAAGTATTTCTCTACCTCTACCCTCTTCAACTTCTACTAAATTTTTACATGTATTTTTGACGAAATGTATGTGTATATCCATACTAAGCTGACATTTTGGTGTGTGTTACTCACACATCTGTGAATACATTACGTTATATCATGTTATACATGCACACGCAGGCGCAGGCAGCTGTCACCTTACACCCATGGAGAAGGCATGGGGCTGGAGCGGCCATTCTCAACTTATCTCTAGGATCTTTGTAAACATGTCGTGAAATCCGAGTACCTTGCCAGTGGCGTAGACTGTAGGGTGGTAAGAGAAAAGAGAAGAAAATATAAGGATACGTTGGATGAGGGATATAAGAAAACACATCTCAACAAATATGTGAAGTTTACCCCTCTCAGTTAAGTACATCCCTACTTAGCTCTGCTCTCCAGGAATATTCTCTTGCATCCCTATGTTTCAATGATACAAAAAACACAACAGAAGGTACTAGCGTTACCCTAGCAACTAAAAACATCCCTCTTTTAGTTGTAGAGTTGAGTGTACTTTTTACCCTTCTGATAATAAAGTTACTCTTAAAAGCTTTCAAAAACCGCATGTAAGTACCTGCGTTATTGTGTTTTTTTCTTCCTGACTTTAGAACAGTCTAGAGGAATTTTTTTATGTTGGTTATAAACATCAAAAACATTGCAAAGATTCAACAACAAACTTATACGATACATACACTGTTAAAACGAATGTTGGTGGTTTTGCAATGGTCGAAGGTAGTCCATAGACCGGACGGGACTAACCAGACAAGACCGCAGCATCGTGAAACATAATACAAGTTGCACCAGTCTCAGGGCCTTGTTCGATCAACCATATGAAGTAGCTAGCGACCAGCGAAGGTGACGCACGAATCAGATTACATCTTGAGCCTCCTGTTTATCTTTATTCTTTACGTCATCTCACATCAATTCACTTCATTTCGCTCGAATGATGTTCATGTGTACGACAATATCGAAAAATAGTTTGAGAAGAACCATTATTTCTGGACATTCAAAAGACAACATTTCTTCAAATTCTCAGAACTTGGGACAGTTACCAGTTATCTTCTCCAGTCTTGATAATAATTTAAAAAACTTTTTATTTCTTACAATCCTTATTAAGTTTATATTTATTTGTTAGTTTTTATTATTATATTTTAAGATTTAAAAATTGATAATTAGATAATTGCTTTAAAAATAGAGGTTATTCGTTTTCAGTACCGTTAGTTTGTAGGTATACAGGAGCTTGACCGCTTGGTGTTACTTGAATGAGCTGTGGTTGAGCAGCGATTGGTGCCGTTTGGATTATTATCGGTTGATTACTTCCACCTTGCACTTGCATCCTTATCATCTGCAGTTGTTGAGGAGTTAGTTGAATCTGTAAAAATCAAATTTTCTATTCATTTAATACCTTTTCTATTTATTATTCCAATTATATTTATTAATTAGTTCATGTACTTACAGGTATTTGTTGGATATCTCCATTAGCTGTGACAATTTGTTGTACTATTTGAATTCCACCACTTTGTGATGAAGGTGATTGCGTTTGCTGTAGTTGAATCACTTGTTGTCCTGCCGATTGTTGAGGATTCTGAACAGTTACAGTTTGAGCAGTAGAAGAATTAGGTGAATTCTACTCAATAATTAAAATAAGAAATACCACAAAGTACACATAAAAAATAAATACAAAAATAGTGACAAATAAAGAATAATTACTTGATCAACAGGACTTCCTAAATTAATTGTTTGTATTTGACCCGTAGAAGGTTGAATTATTTGTATTGGTTGTGCTGTCGCTCCATTGTTTTGAACAGTTTGATTAGAAGCTTGTTGTTGTGCTAATTGGAAATAATAATGAACTTGATCTGAATTCATCGACGTACGGACAACATTTTCACTTTGAGCTTTACTTTGTTTTAATTCATCTCTAGGTACTATATCTATAAGGAAATCAAATTGGTCATATTTTGATATAGCCATTGCAATATCATTTCTTTGGAGCGTTCGCCTTTTATTATCTTCCGTGTGTATCCAAGCTCTCAAAGTGAGCTCATGAATAAAAATTTCTGCAGCTTTTGAAAATAATAACGGAGCTTCTGCACTAATCATTTTTACATCACCATCTAATTTCATTATTTTTTTTATCCTTGCTAATGGCAAAGATTGTGTTTTCAAGTCAACCTATAATAAGAATTTTTTATTTTTAATAATCCCAACTGTTATAATAATTGTTTTAAATTAAATAAATTTTAAAAATATTACATTGGTGATTTTTTTTATTTCTTCTGTTACTTTTGGCCAAAATGATGTTAAAGCTTGTTGAGCTTCAGAATTTCCTGGTGATGTGATTTGCAGATCTCCATTGGAATCACCTTCAACTTCACTGTCTTGATTTCTGCAATATAAACGATTCTTTCACTTGTTGTGTAAAATAAATAATCTTCACTGACAATTAAAAAACTGAAAAGCATAACAAATGAACGTACATAATAACTTGATATTCAGACATTCTAATGAATAATACAAGTTTCACTTCTTCATTTGATCAGATGCAAAATAAAGTAACTGAAATAAAATATCAATTGACAATATAACCTAAAAGCTTGCTAAATTGACATTGTTACTTACGCATTAACAAAGAATACGGACATCTTTAAGGTTTATTATTTAATTAAGTACATTAAGTCTAGTAAATTATAAAAAATAACAAGTTAATAAGTGGATAAGCTTGGGCCAAATGTTTGCGCCGAAATTTCGCCAATCGTCTTCTTTCAATAATTCTGATTGTAAATCCGTAAAGTCCCGTTGGCTCGTGGATCGCGCGCATCACTCAAGATGTCGCACCAATGGTCACTCAAAATCAACATACACATTCAAAACTACCTAACCTTCATGTACACATTGAAACCGTTTATACAAAACAAATTAAATAAGTAATTATTTTAATTACCACGAGATAAATTTTAATTTGATATGAGAATTATACTAATAATATATTCAGTGATTATTTTTGAACGATAAAGCTATCTAAAGAACAACCTTCCTTCATTAAAAGAGCACTTGACTTTTCTGCTATTTTAATTTTTTAGCTTTTTGCCAACAAAACTTATTTCTTTTTTTTCTTTTTCAAGGTAATAACTGTTATATTTAAATAATATAAAAATATTTGCAGCCTTATTTTTGAATGAATCTTCAGTTGAATTAAAGTTGAAAAAAAATTGAGTATATTTGTAAACATTACCAGTGGCACACTTCTTGATTCAGATTTTTATCATCATAAAATAGTTCAGGCGTTAAATTACAACATATGTCATTTAATATGGCAAAGGCAACATGAAACTTCAGAAATAAAAAAAAATTCACCACACTCAGATCTTTAATAATGAATTATAATGACCACTAAGTATGCAAATGTTGTAATAATCTGTATCTGATTAAAATTATGGAACGAAAAATATGAATATTAGTTTAAAAACCAGAAGATTTCACATACTTTGATCTTCTTAATTTACACAAAATGTTCATTACTAAATATAAAATGCAATTTCTAAAGTAATTTCGTCAATATTATAAACCATTCTTCTTTGGAAATTCATCAAAAACATTTACATTAAATAAGTGCAACAAATGTTCCAATTGAAGAAATGCAAAAATAGTATTTTATGTAATATATGTAATAATTATTGGACTTTTTATTAATTTTTTTACGTGCATCTAGGATCATTTGAATGAGTAAAATTACGCGCAAGCGCAATTTAATGCTGCTTTTTATCCGATTTTCACTTTGAACTTTTTTACTATACACTTGGTCAGTACCTCAGCACATGTACCTAAATATAAGTTTCCTTTTAGGTTATTCCACAATAATAATAATTTTTATCTTTTTGGATACGTAAAAAATTGTATTAAAAGTGATCAAAATAGTTGACACATTCATTTAATATACACCTGAAATGGTTAATTAGTATGAATTCAACTGAAAAAAGATTTCAATTAGATGTGTGGAAAGGTGATTGGGGATTGCCGTCAGTTGACATTCACTGCTTACAAATTTTGGTAAAAATTATTTTTCCTTATAATTGCTTTAATAATTAATAAAATCATTATACATATCTATAGCTCATATTAAATCTCTAATTAATTATAATTAACACTTTGCATGATAATAATTATTACTTATTTGTACAGGCCTATGCAAGATTCTGTAATGTGCCATTGAGAATAAACCCAACATGCAATCCTTTCAGAACACCAAATGGTTCTTTACCAGTTCTTCACACTGGTACAAACATATTAAATTCAGTTGAAGGTATATTAAATTTTTTTCAAGAGGAGAATTATTCTCCAGATCGTCATTTAAGTCCCCGACAATCTGCTGAAATCATATCATATAACTACATGCTGAAAGAGAGTTTTTATCCAGCATTACAATTTATATGGTAAATGTATATGATTATTAAATTTCTCTTAATCACATTATAAATAAACATATGACTCAGAAATAAATTATTTCAGGTGGTTAGATCAAAGGAATTTTACCAATTTAATAAGACCATGGTATGCTAAAGCAATTCCTTTTCCATTAAATTTTTATTATCCATCAAAATATGAAAAACAAGCAAGATCAATGATGGAATCATTTTATCCTAATGAAGAAGCAATGACTGTGATAGAAAACAAAATATATTCAGAAGCACAACAATGCATGACAATGCTATCAACAAGATTAGGAGATTCAGATTACTTTTTTGGAGCAAATCCAACGTCATTGGATGCAATGATATATTCATACCTTGCGCCTCTGTTAAAGGCGCCACTGCCAAATCCAGCATTACAAAATCATCTGAAGGCCTGTACTAATTTAGTTAAATTCGTATCTCGTATATCTCAACGGTATTTCGAAAATGATTATCAAGAATATGAAAAAATTCAAGCGAAAGAAAATGAAAAGCGAATGAAAAAAGAAGATAATGAATTTCCAAATAAACGAAGAAATCAGATATTAGCAGGAATTTTTGCAACGTTAGCAATGATCTCATATGCCTTCCTCGCTGGGATTGTAGAGGTAATTTTTATCAATCGCTTATAATATTTTTGAATAGTTCCACCTGCTTCTATGATTCATCTATATTAAAATCAATTGTACGTAAAATAAATACAAAGGCGGAACTTATCAAATTCGTTCAAGTTTGTGACATAAATTGAATGAAGCAAAAGATATTATTTATAGGTTCTAATATATGTTGTAAGACAAAAGAAGTTTATTAGAGTTTCTAAAAAAAAGAAAAAAAAACGTAAGTACTAAAATACTGGAGAATAAAATGAAGACCCCTAAAATTTTGCTTCTTTGTTCTTGATGATATTTAATAAATCTCCATACGTCTTATCATTAATGATAAAAATACTTGTTAATTAATGTGGACTTATAATTTGTTAAAGATCCCAGTGAACAGCGACGGAGAGGATGAGGATTTTGAAGATCCAGAAGACTATTATACCGAAGCAGAATTAGAAGATGATTAAAAATCGGATTTCCAAAAATGTGTTTCATTTAGATGATTAATTAAATAAAATATCAAAAGTATATTCGATGATATTATATTAATATATCATATTTTTTATTCGTGCCGCATTTAATAACTATATATACATACAAACATATAAATATTTCAAGTATCCAATTGATAATGATAAATATTTTAGTTATCAACAAATAGGTTTGTTTTTAATGATTTCTAGATTTATAACTTGTTACAATTCCATTTGTTGCGGACTCTATTTCTTTGGAAAAACTTTGAAAGTTATGTATTGTTGTTCCACCCAAAATAATCTTTACATTTGGGTTTTGTTTATTCAAATTATAAACAGCTAAACTTTCTTCGTAGGTTGTACCACCGATAATAAATATTATAACATCTTGAATTCTATAAAAATAATTATTGTTAGACAGAATAAAGAATATTATTTCATATAAAATCAGTACTTACTTTTTTGTCATAACCATCTGTCCTAAATAAGGAAAATTTTGAGTGCTCAATTTTCCTTTAAGAAGATCCTCCATTGTTTCACATAACAGTGGATTATGTTGAGTATATATGTTATCTACACCACTTAAGCCTTTAAATAATTTTTTTGTAATTTTGGCAACAGCTTCTCTATCAAATAAATTACTTTGCCTTTGATTTATTCCACTATATGCTAGGACGCTATGAACAAGCTAAAATTTATTAATAAGATTATTATCATTATAGTTAAAAAAATTAATAGACTAAATAAATGAATTTTTTATACTTTGGTATATTTTTCAGGAACATCTCGTTTCTTCAGCATCTCCACTAAAGTACTGATTTCATTATTCGTATGTTTTTCATAGTGTAAGGCATATAGCATCACTAAGCGAGTTGCATCAACATCTCTAACTTTTGGATTATTTAGGAGTCTTTTTATTTTTTGTAACTGAAACAAATTTTTAATGAAACTACTACACTTTTACGAAATATTAACTAATAAAATAAATAAATAATTTCTACTTGATGGGAATGTTCATTTTGACAGCACAATTCTTGTTCTGTTTCTGATACTTCTAATAAATTATAGGTCCCAACTAAATTAGATAATTCACCAACAACGGTGACATGTTTAGAGACAGTTCCAGACATTTTTTTAAACAACGGATAAGCTTCAACAAAATTTTTCATATCAGCAATACTCTCGACTTTTTGGTGTTTTTTAGCTTTCTTTTGAAATTCCTCCATCAATTCTTTGATTGTCTGTCCGATTTCACCAAAATTAAGATATAAATTCTGTATGAAACAAATAAAAAAAATGATCAAAATTTTATAAAAGAATTAATTAATAAATTAGTAAATCTTCATAACATACTTCAGCATAAAATTCATCATGTTCAGCACTAAGTACTACTTCTTTTAATTCTTTGGAAATGCCTTTTATATGAGATAAATCAACACGATTATTATTTATGGTTAACAGTTCATGAACCATAGCTTGATAAGTCCATTGGTTTAATAACGGAGTAACGGGATCATCTCTCCGATCAAGTATTAGTAATAGCGGATCTGATTCTTGTCTGAATTTAAATGAATTCGATTCCTTTATTAATACTTCTCTAATTTTTTCTGCGAGCCTTTTTGCCATATCTGAACTACCTTGATATCGAATGTAAGGGCATTTTTTCAGAGAAAGCAGAACTGATATGATTGCTTCGCATGATCTATGTAAAGCTTCAGGATTCCACATTAAGCCTAGAACCCAAGATTATGATCAAAAAATGTAACAGATGTTTACGAGTATTAGAATAGATACCTTCGGCACATGCATTTATTCCTACTGAAAATAAATGTGGATTTACTGCCAAATAATCAGCATAATATTCATGAACTTCTTTGACCACTTCTTGTTCATCACTGTCAGCTAATAATTTAATTTCAGCCTTGGCAATGATATTGCTAAAATCTAATAAAGATGGTTATCATATTGATTCCATATTTATGATTGAATAAATATTGAATAAATAAATGAACTCACAAATATAATATGATCCATATTTGGGATTTCTTAACTCATTACAGAGTAAATGAACGTTTTCTTTAGTAGGTCTTATAAAAACAATGCATTTTAAATGTTTCAGAGCTTCACTTCGTATTGGAGTATCGATTTTTTCAAATAAATAAACTTCTTTCATTAGAATTTCAGAATGACTATAAATTAAACTAACAATACTTGTCTAAAACAAACAAAAATTAAATTATATGCGATTTTAAATTGACATGAAACATATTTTGACAGTTGACATATAACCTATAAATATTCTTCTTACCGTTTGTTTGTCCATCAAAAGCACTTTCATACCCGGACCACTTTCTTCAGTCATCCGGGTGATATAAAACTTTAAAGCTGTCACGACATTCATTCTGTTAGAATTTTTATTACAGACAATTATATATTATTTACATAAAATGAACTGGAACAATTTCTACTATCAAGTCATCCCCCCACACATAACATGGTTATGTTATATATGTAGATTATGAGGCTCCGTTCACACAAGTTGATATCGATTAATTTTACGTACAACAATGATGTATTTTTAAAAAGTTTATTCTAAAAAATTCTCAAGTAATAATTACAGCAAAGGTAGTTGTGGGATGGATATTAATATAAACATCAATATAATAATTAACAAAATAAATTGTTTATTTCCCTGACACTCATTTTGTATACTATGAATAACAACGTTGATTGTTAGCATTATGTATAAAAAATATACAGTCATGTTTTTCTTCAACTTTAAATTGAGCTAGAACTAAATTATTAATGATCGTTCATAGAATCTAAAAAAAATTATGGAATTTAACTAAAAATATTCAGCTTTATTTATTTAAAATTGTAATCGTTTAGCTAAACATGCACCATCTGTAGACTCTAATAATTTTCGTTTAAGGCTCGGCCTTTGTTCTGCAGTCTTTTTAATACATGAAGGAAGAGGCAGCTTGGATCCAGGTGTAGGCGGAGGTTTATTACTAAAATATGGCATTTGAAGAGCTTGACTACATGTACATCTTTCCAATGGATTAATATTCAACAGACAAGCTATCAAGTCCAGCAGATCATCACCAGCAGCCGTGAAAATGTGTTTTAAAGGAGTACCAGGGAAAGGTTTGAATTGTATAAAATCCGTCAACTCAGTCATTCCTGGCCACGTTTCTTCCGTGGGTGTACCTAATGTCTGTAATAAAAATTAATTATCACTTTAGCTATCTGAATAATTTCGATAAAATATCGATGCTGATTTTAAAATACCTGAAATATTTTAGTTAATTGATCTAGATCTGATTCTCCTGGTAAAAATGGAACTCGAAGTAGTAATTCAGCTAAAATACAGCCTATTGCCCACATATCAATTCCAGTTCCATATAATCTCGCTCCATAAAGCAATTCAGGAGCTCGATACCACCTAGTGACTACTTGATGAGTATTTATTCTATTGGGAGATCCAAAGAATTTAGCTAGACCAAAATCACCAATTTTTAAAACTCCTTGATTATTAACTAACAAATTGTTAGGCTTTAAATCTCGATGTAGAATCCAATTATAATGTAGATAGTCCAATCCTTGTAAAGTCTGGATCATATACGCTTTGATATTAGCAGAAGTCAGTACAATATTACTATCTTTTATGATGACTTCTAAATCTGTATCCATAAAGTCAAAAACTAAAGATACATTCGACTTGTGTCCAAAAACATCTAATAACAGAAACCATAGTAATATTAGATAATTATTTTACAATTAATATATAATTATAATACGAAAAGGATAATTTAATTATACCGAGCAAGCCAATAATATTCTCATGTTTCAAATCTTGTAATAATTTTATTTCCCTAAGTGCCGTTCTATTGATGCCATCTTTTGCTTCATCTCTGCTTGTAACTTTGATCTAAAAATCAAAAAATTATATTAATTTTTCACTGCATTTTTTGTAAGGTCTTTGAACATGGGATGTACAGAATAATAAGATGACAAACCTTCTTAACAGCAACGATTTGATCACATTCTGTATCTCTGGCTTTATATACCGTTGCAAACTGTAAAATAAGTATAAATGTTATTTGCATTGTAAATATTGAAATATTTTTAATTAATGATATTAAATTAAAAAATGTAAAAAGTATTATTAATAAGATGTAAAGTAGTAAACAAAGATTAAAAAAGTAAATAATACTATGATTACCTGTCCTTCTCCTAAAAAATCTATTTTTTCATATCTCCGTAATTTATCTACCATTTTAAAAGATAAAATATAGCACAATTAATCACACTACACGTTAAATTACATTAAACACATCAAATAAAATATCATACACTTTACACTACTCTAACCTATGTGCTCAAATGCATTGCTTCAAAAAAAAATTAAATTAATTTCAACGAATCAACGCCTGTTGATGCAATTCAATTGTGTATAGTCAATTGTTACAACTATAGTGTAATTAGGCGAATTTTACAACAAACGATATTATTGATTATGTATTTTTGTCACTACTCCGGTTTCATGAGAACTGTCTTAAATCTTTAACCTCTTACATCGGGGTTCAATTTTGATTGTCTTGAATTATTGATAAAATTTTTGAATAAAAATATTAACGACAATGTCTAAATTAGTTCCCAAAATGATGGGCTTAGCCAAAGGTTTGTGAAATAAATTATTAAAATTAAATTAAAATTAAAAAAGAATTATAATTATTCATTGGAAATTGTTTTTAGTAAAATAATTTAGATAGTTCTTACATAATACTTATAATATAATACTTGAATATGATGACCATTTTGATAGTTTATTAGATATTGTTAAATAGGATTAGATAACTGATGATATAATTTTTGCTTTTTTACATTCATAGGTTTTGTTGTTTATTCCAAACCACACGTTACTACAGCATTACGTTATGCAAAAGTCGAATTGACACCACCTACGCTAGGAGATATAGGAGCAGCCCGACATGGACTTGGCAAGCTCATTCATTCTGCCAAATCTGGAGCTTATAAACAATTAACTGTTAGAGAAGCTTGGATTAATACACTTGTTGGTATTGAAATTTGGTGTTGGTTCTTCATTGGTGAGTGCATTGGAAAACGGCATCTTGTTGGTTACAAAGTTTAAATAATTGGATATTAAGAATATTTAGAATTTAAATAGACATTATACATAATTCATCAGATAATTCTTCAATAATGTAAAAATATTCTAAGGAATAAAAAATGATAAAGTAATCAAGGACTTATATTAAAAATACAAATCGTCCAAAAATAGTTATTTTAATTATTTTAGTATGGAAAATGTTACAGAACAAATGTATTTATATTAAAAGAATATTCAAAATATATGTTGTTGAGCATATTGCCACATGCAGATAGCTCCAGTAATATGTACATTCAAAGAACGAATGACTCCAGTTTGAGGAATTTCCACACAAACGTCTAACAGTGGAATCAGATCTGAAGGTATCCCTTTTTTTTCATTGCTAAAATTAAACAAAAACATTTGAGCTTTCATTGTTTTCAAATTTGATTAATATCAAAATTTAATAATCACCCTAAGATAAGAATAGTTTTTTTTTTGAATTCCATTTCATGAAGATTAACACTGTTGTTTGTTTGTTCAGCTCCAACTAAGGCCCAGCCCATCGAGCTTTTTTCTGATAGAAAATTCTTTAAATTATGAACTTTCACCTCCGTTATTTTAATCCATTTATCAGCGGATACACTTAAAGTTTGAAATTCTTTATTTTCAACATAGTTGAGACTTTCAATGATTATTTCTCTTATACCAAAAATCTCTGCAGTTCTTGCAAGTCCTCCTAAATTGGGCATCCCATCAATTAAACTGGCAACTACTATCATGCCATCGTCATTTGCCAATTTTTCCTGTCTCATGGTTGAAAATCTAAATGAATCATCATCTATAGGAATTATTGATTTCCACGGCATAGGTTTCTTTTGTATCGTTGTTGTATCACAAATATCAATCTCTATAGTATCATTTTGGATTAAATCTTCGAATCCTTCATTTTGATTTTTCAATGAATACACTGTAGGTTCCAATGATGATAATTTATTATCAACATTTCTCATGGGTATTGTAATATATTTTAAATCAACGCTTCTCAAAATTTCTTGCTTAATGCATTCATCTGTAGCCATACGTAGTAATCTTGGTACTTCATAAAAGATTGTCTGTAAAATAACCAAATATTAAGTTTTATTAATTGATAAATTCATAATAATCGTAGATTACCTCGATCGTAAAATTTTTTATTGGATCGAATGATGTAAAATAGAAATCATCAGATAATTTTAAAGAATTTTTCTTTAAATTTCCATGAAGCATACTATCTTTGATTCCTTTTTTGATAAGTTTATAATCATTTGATAATAAATGTGAAGGAATCATGTCTAAAATTTTATCCAATATGACCTAAAGAAGAAAATAATTAATTAAAATGAATCTAAATGATATTTTTGAGAATATATTACCTGACAGTACAATCGAACGACAAACTTTTGGCTTAGACAACTGGAGAAGAGGGTTGAAATTGCAACTTCAATATAAACAATTTGTTTATCAAAAGAAAGGCCACGACTTACGTGATATATAATGGAAGCAATTGAAACAATACTTCCAGGTCTTTCACATTTACTTCTTTCAAGTAATTCCCACACTAATGGTTGCATTTCAAAATTATTTAAATATATTTTAATAAGTAACCACTCTTGCATCATTCGCACAGTTAGTTGATTACTTTCTGATATAATAAGATTGCCAATGAAATCGTGCAACATTTTAGTTTCTTCTTGTCGTAGATACCGAAGTAATAATAATAATAATTGCATTACTCTGTGTTTTATTTTATGAATACTTGAATTTTCAAAATATCTTTTATTTTCATATTTTTTTAATTTTGAAATTAAAAAGAGTAAAATGTTCTTAATATCATTATAATTTGTTATGTTGTGTAAAATTTTCATATATATTGTGATTGATTTTGCTCTGAATTGTAAATCAACATAATCATTCTGGAATAGACACTGACGTTGATTTAAAATATAATTGTATATCTGCATTCTTATTTTATTGTCATTCTCTCCTAAATTGGCATCAAGATAATTAGAAATTAAAATATCATGAAAATAAGTTGATGTGTCTAGATTATTTTTTAAATTTTCTATCAATAAATCTTTTATTCTTAAAACATTCTGACTTTGCGATGTGACAATTTTCATGTGTTTCAGAGTTATTATTTGACATTCTGGAATTTTAAAGAAGTTATCATCAAGAATTAATTGCAAAAGACTGTTAAGGCTTGACCAGTATAATTCATCTCGTTTCAAATCCCATAAATAATTAAAAGCTGTATCAATGATTGAATTTATCGTATCTGATTTCAATATCAACGTACACATAAAGGAGTAGTTTTTTTTCAATAAAAGATGTAAAGCTTTCATAATTGGTGATATAACGAATTCTTTACCAATTTCGATGAATTTTTCTAGATCACATTCTAGTAAACTTGATACATTGTCGACCCCTAAATAATTGGATGCTATCATTTTATTCATAAGTTGCTCAAACAATTGACCAGTTAATTCGTAACAATCTGATATTATTTTACCATTATCACAATCACTGTTAGATTTCTCTGAAGTGTCTAGTTTTCTATGGATCATCTTTTTTAAAAATTCTTGATAATTTTTTGAAGAAAATTCATAATCAATATTTTCTTTCATATCTAAATAGAGAACTGCTATTTTTAATTGAAACCAATATTTTATATTTTTCATATTTTCAAATTTGTCATACGAGCTATCAAGATACTGAATAGCTTCACGACCAATTGTTGTACACAAAGTACATTCAGTTTTCATTGATTTATAGAATTTTGATATGGTGTCGAAACATTCAACATATATTTTAACTTCTGTAAAAGATTGTATATAAGCACTATGTCGTAAATTTTTTGAAATTAACTTTTTGATAAATTCAAAATATGGTATTATCAAACTAGAAAGCTTATGAGGATCATTTTCCAGATTTCTTTGGTTTGTTTTAAATAAAACATTAATAAATTGTGTTACGTTTAAACATTGATTTTTATCAATGTATGGTCTGACATCAGCATCAATAATTAATTGAAAAACTTCATTTACCATTTTTCGTGTTTCGTATGAATTGAAAATCAATTGTGCATTTTGAAGAATAATCAACATCGTGCTAATTTGCCAAATGTCTGCTTCATTTACCAGTTCAGTTGATGATATTTTTTTACAATGCTCAGATAAATACTGGGTAGCATGATCTTTCGTTATGTTTTTACTGAAATAATTTACAACGTCATTCGAATAAATCTTTGGATTTTCAGTATAAAACATAAAAAATGAAGCTAGTGATTTTAAATTTAATGGTTTCCTTGCAAAAGTAAGAAAGATAGTGAGAACATTATCCAACAGTAATTGTCTAAAGTTATAACTAAAAATTTTGAAGGATTTTTGGATTATATCAGTGAAGAGATTCAATTCTTTATCAGTAAAAATATTATATTTAACTTCTTCTATTTGTTTTGCTGCATTTTGCAATGAAAAAATATTGTAGTATAAAGGAATTGGTGTCCACGAAATCTCTGATGCAGTAAATATAAATCTATTAATTAGATCGATTCCATTATATTCTGACAGTACAAATAACTTAGATAATTCTTCTACAACAATTGGTAGGCTGTTCAGAGTTGGATTACTGTATAAAAATGTGTTATTTAATCCTTTCAAGAGAAGTATCAGTAATTCTTCAGTAAAAAAATTTGGGTTTATTTTTAACAAACTCAAAACTCCAGATTTGATTATTAAACTTGTTTTATGATCTAGAAGTCGTTTTATTATACAAGCAATCCATTTACTGTCCAAACAGTTGTTACATGATACATGATCAATGCTAAATTGAATAAGATCTTCAAGGTTTTTCAAGATAGGTGTAATGAGATGAGCTTGCTTTTCTTCTAAACTTTCTAGTATTAAAAAAAAATTGTCTCTCAATCTCTTGAGTGATGATTGCTGGTCATATTGAGGACAGTAAACAAAAGGAACAATTTTTGGTTCAAAAGGTATCATCCTATGTTCCTCAATAAAATTAAGAATGATTTTAAAAATGTATAATGCTTGTTTACAATTTTGTTCTTTTTTAGAAGTGATTCCCCATTTTATTAGCTGCCAAAGTTTATTCTGGTTATTACAGTAGCTAATATTTAAATGAATTATTGCATCAGATGGCAAAGATAGCATATTATCAATCATGGTGCATAAAAGTGTTAATGGCTTTTCCCAATCATCATGTTTGGAATCTAAAATCATTTCCCATATATGTGTTAATGTTGATGCACTATCAAATATAATCATTAATTTATTTAATATTTGAACAAAATGTTTCCAGTTTAAACATTCTGTTTTAAAAAACCAGATATTCATTTGTTCTATAAGTAAGGTGTAAGTATTTTTCATTATTTCTTCATCTTTAAAATTCGGATTTAAACATAGTGAATCTAATACACAATCAACAAGTTCAGAAAAAAGATTATGATTGGGATTCTTGTCGCTAATCGATTCTGTAGAAGATAATAAAGCTTTCAAAATTATATTAACACTCTCAATATTCCCATAAAGAATTATCTGCAGAACTATTATGTCTAGAATAAGTTTTTTATGTTTTTCATTTAGATCTTCATTATTTTCTATTAAGATTTTTATGATATTAGAAATAGCTTCTGAAATATTCTGTGCTCCAATATTAATTTCGTGTGATGAATTACTGAGTTGATATTTGATAAATAATTGATATTCATAACATAAAACCGTGTAGAATATATGTAACGTTTCATAGTCATTGTAGTTTGATATTATTTCTTCATTATAATTTCTGACAATTTTATGGAGCAACGGTACAGGATCCTCTTTGAATGTTTTATCCACCATACAAAGAATATTTATTGGAGATGTAATAGCAGATAAATATCTAGAATTCTGAGTATTATACCTTTCCATAATAGAATAATTACTGATATATTTAAATATTGATGATATAAAAAGAAAAGAATATTTCTGAACTAAATAGACTGATCTTACATGTTTTTATGGTATCGTTTTGTGTATGACACATGATTTCATAACCTAAAAAATACAATTTGTTTATAAAGAGCTCATATTCAATAACAAAAGTAATTTATTTTGTAAAATTTTTAATTTTATTCAATATAAAAGTGAAGAAACATTTTCAGTAAGAACAGTATTTTATAAAAAGTTACGTCTTTAGAGGTTAAATAATCCCTGTATACTTACAGAATATATTATTGTCGCCATGTCTATCGATGATTTTTGTGAAAGGTTTGTAGCTCCAATTACACTCGCAACAAAATTATTCCTTCAAGATCTTTCGAATAAAAAATTAAAGTAGAATGATAAAATATCTGAAAACAATGTTAAGAAATAGAAAGATATAGCGGTCTAATTTAATGAAATAAGATCAGTTTTAATTTCAAAATTCTGCTTTTGAGTTAAAGACAATAATTAAAGAAAAAAATATAGAAGAAATGGATCTAGAATTACATTGTTTTACAGATACGTCAAAAAGAACATATTCCAAAATAATCATATCATATCGATTTTTTACATTCATAAATTTTCTGGTTTACTTATTAAATTTTTTCTTCACTTATAATTGCGTTGATTTCAGCATATTCAATCAGTGTGTGCAGATTTTGTTATTTATTACAACAAAAATTCATTTTTTTTTAGATTATTTTTGTTTTTTTATTTAGAAAATTAAAAAATCAAGCATTTTTAATAATTTTACACATGTCGAACGTGAAAACTAACAATATATTCTGCATTTGTTCGTTGAACTGAAATTGCAAAAGGATCAGTAGGATGAAAAGTAAAAGCAACTAGTCTTCTTGCAACAACTGGTGTCGTTCTACCAAGCATGCCTGCATGCATTCTGAATTTCAATAATCCAGAATCTCTTGCATAAAATCTGAAATACGAATATTAAATATTGCAAAAGTTGAAAAGTAATAACAGTTTAAAAAATTAAAAAATACTAACCGGATTGGATGTTCGGCACATGCCTTTGGTCGTTCCATCATCGAAACCCATTTATCATCATAACAAAATAACGAAAGATCAAGATAAGGCGAACTCGAGTAAGATTGAGCACAAATAGGCAATTGTGAAAGCAATCTTTTAGTTGCTTCAGTAACTCCACCATATCTCGCACTCACTATTGTCTGTTTAAATCTCTGCTGCATTAGTCTTGCATAAATATTATTTGAAGGAGAACAAATATATTGAGTGTCTGCATTTCTAAAAAAATCACTAAAGTTTTCAAACTGTGTCAATAAATGGGAAGATGCATTATCGTAGACAGCTATTACTTTAGCTGCTACCATGTCATAAACAACTAAAAGAGCTGGATGAGCATTTGGATCACTCGCTTGAAGCGTTGCAACTTCTTCACTTGCATATCTCACCAATATGTGGTTCGTATCCAACAATTGCATTTTCCACATTCTTAAAGCGTTCAACTGAAATATAAATAAAATAAAAATTTTTATGAATTAGTTTTATAAACTTTTTCTATAGAATAAAATTTTTTTTATTACTTGATCAAAATACTGATAAAATCGTCTTAATTCATAAGGATCTTTCGTAGTTTTACTAATGTATGCAGCTCTTTTGTACAAATGCACTAATAATTTATGTTTAAGTGTATTGATTATCACATCCCTGAAAGGTCTTGAATTTACTCCAGACCCAAGTGTAGAAACCAAGTAAGCCTCATCTTCTAAACAAAACCTATATATATTCTTCGATTATTTAGAGAATAAAATATTTAATAATGAACAAGAATTTTCGTTCCCTACCTTCCAATATTTCTAATATTTATAAACATTCCATCTAATATTTGAAAAATATGAATTGTTTGATGTTGCACTGATAATACTGCCAAAATATCTTTATATAAATAAAGTCCTAAAGAAAAATTTCAAAAACACTGATAAAATAAGAAAAACATTTGAGTTAATTATTAAAACTATTAATGAAATGCATACCTTGGTTGTGAGATAAGTAAATTTTATCAATATGAAATCGTCTAGTATCACAGAGTTTACCACCTTTTAAATCAACCAAGTGAAGACAATAGTCTTCAAGAGGAGATCTTGGATTTGGTGTAAGCGCTTCATTGTTAGAATATATCTAAAACAAAAATATTAAACAAACATATTCTCTTATAAACTGATAAATTAAGCAATTAAAATCTTACTTGATAAAAATGAGGCCTTAAGTCATCAGGAATATGCCTAGCTGAACCGACTATAACATATCTTCCATCCTCAGTAAATAGACTACATTCTCTATTTAGTTGTTCATTGCTATCCACCACATTAATAATCCATTTCGGCTGAAAAAAAATATAATTTCTCTTGAATAAATAATTTTATAATTGCTAAAAATGATAAATAAATAATTTTTTAATTTGAAATACCTTAAAGAATTGATCGAAAATTCTGTTCCTTATATGAAATGTTCTGTCATCATTTCTGTGCCCAACATATTCACCTTTACAGTCTGCCAATAATTTAGCTGCAGCAGATGCACCTTCATACTTATAAACCTCGATGGAAGTTTGATCAGCACTGAATGCAACCAAGTATCTTCCATCAGGGCTAAATTTTCTAAGAAAACATGGTGGTTTTTCAACGTTAACTACAGTGAAATTAGGAAAAACGTTTTGATAAAATTGTCGAACTGTTAAAACTTGGGTTCCTGGATATGGACAACCTACAAGCTCTCGACGTCTCAAACGTAACACAATATTTTGTGGTGAAAACTTGCGAGGTTTTATTGTCGATGGTTCTGACACAAATTCTATTTTGGCTTGTTTCTCAGCCATAGTTTTCGTCTCTTTTTCATTAAAATAATTTTTTATCGCCTTTTTTGTTCTATTTACAAAGAATATTATTCATTATATCAAATATAATTCACTTAACCTCAAAAATTTCATTTATTGTTATTATAAAATAATTCAACGTTTTTTTATAAATTTCTTATCACATTTTAAATTATAAAGTATTTTTATTATGTCACACATCTTGTTTAATAAAAATAATTTATGCGATCAAGTTGAATAACTAATTGCACAGTAATTATAAACATCTCAAACATCTGACTTCAAGGTCAATACAAAAATGTGAGTACATCAGCTGTTTGTAAGTGCTATGAAACTGTACGACATTGATACAGCACTGAATAGAATATTATTGAAGAGTACGGTACTGCCGGCTTTCAGTTTTCACTCTGTTATCATCAAGTATCATATGGTTTAAAATGACGAATCAAACATAATAACGTGTCGATCAGTTTCGGCTTTTATTTACAATTGTTCACATAATTTATCGATAAATAATGGAGTAACAGACATTATTATCTGTGTGTTTTTTACATCAATAATAGTTTCAATTTTTTTTCTTACTCGATAAAATACCTGTGTGTGCAACGAGCTGAGCTTTTTGATACGAAAAATTTTTCCATTAAAATGATTGATATAAATTTATCACATTTCAATTTTTCTATTATAGTAAATATGATTCTATCTATAATATCATATTTTTTAACTGTTAATTTGATACCAAATATCAAAGAAACTTTTATAAAAGCTAACCTATACGGAATTGATATGAACAAAAGAAATGGAGGTAAAATGTACGTAAAAATTTTAAATAAATAAATTTATAAATTTTTACTTTTGTTTTTTTGTTACTAAATTTAAAGAAAACTTCAAAAATTAATAATAATAATAATAAAATATATCACTGTATTAATTTTTATTGTAATTAATTTATGTAATTCCTTTACTTTATTAAAATTGTTGATAGCATCAATAAGTTTGATGGTTAATATTGTTTGTTTTCTTTCAGACCTGAAGCTCTTGGAGTAGTTAGTGGGTGTATATTTCTTATTACTCTCGTTCTTTTTATTCCTATACCATTTACCAATTATATCTTCGATAATGCAAGTTTTCCTCATCATGAGGTAATGCAATACTTGAAATTATTGCTTTTTGATATTTTTAACTATCGATATTAACTTATCTGCTACTTATTAATAAGTGATATAATTTTTATAGTTTGTCGAATACCTGGCAGCTCTTCTTTCAATATGTTGTATGCTCCTACTCGGTTTTGCTGATGATGTCCTTGATCTTCGATGGAGACATAAACTCTTGTTGCCTACAATAGCTTCATTACCGTTGTTAATGGTTTATTACGTTAATTTTAATTCAACAATTATCATTGTCCCAAGACCGTTAAGAGACTGGTTAGGATTATCAGTCGATTTAGGAATTTTTTATTACGTTTACATGGGAATGTTGGCAGTGTTTTGTACAAACGCGATTAACATTCTAGCTGGCGTTAACGGCCTTGAAGTTGGACAAAGTTTAGTGATAGCCATTAGTATAATGATATTTAATATCATTGAATTGAGCGGATCTTTGTGGAAATCACATCAGTTTTCATTATACTTCATACTTCCATACATAACAACATCGCTAGCACTCATCAAATATAATTGGTAAGTAATAAAATATTGAAATCACAATAAAAATATTAGAAATTCTGAATTGAAGTAAAAAAAGTTTCTGTATAAATTCAAAAATAATTATCTTTCTAACTATTAATCATTCATATTGCAGCACCTGTTTCAAATTTTATTTATTTAATATTATAAATATTATTTAAATTATGTTTGATGATATCTTGAGGATATTATTTATAAATAATCAGTGATTTTTTAAACGGACTCTTACTTCAAATCAGAATTTTAAATGATTATATAATAACTAGTCTTTTCTGTTTGTATGTTTCTTTCTTTTATAATCTAAATATGTATAAATTATTCAACATTGATACTTCGTAATAAACATATGAATTCTGTTATATAAATTTGATATATAAGAATCAATTTACATGAAAAATTTGAGTATGAAGATTAATATCACAGATCTTAAGGTATCGCTAATGTTTTAATAGTAATCAAGTTTGGCATAAAAATTTTCTGCCAACCAATCATACTTAAATGCATTAGCAAATACGGTTTCTGGTGCAAAATATGTATCCCGTGATTTATAAGCTCTTTGAAGACTTGTTTTGCCATCTATCCATACTCCAGATCCAATAAGATCTTCTATGAACAAAACATCTATAATTTTATTTTTTCCGGGCACTTCAGTCTTTTTCTCCTGCTGTAATAAATGTAAAACATGCGCAGGAGATTGACAGTAATGACAATACCATCCTCCGTAATGATTCAAATCACCAATAACTAAGCCTAAATTTTCTCTTTCACTTGATTCTCCATCCAATTCTTGTTGTAATATTTGAGAGTTTGTACGAAATGCATTATAAATCAATCCTACTGTACATGCACCAATATTAATTGCTGTTTTTGAAGGGTGTTGCCAAAAAAATCCAAAAACTGACCACCTTAGTCGAAATCCAATTGGTTGTGGCCATCCATCATAAACTTTAAGAAACATAAGAGCTCGCCAATTTAAAATCTGTTCACTTTTAGTTGTTACATATATATCATCCTCTTTGATATTCTTAACAGTTTCACCTATTTTATCCCAAATATATTTCGATATTACTCTTTTAGGTTTTTTTATTTTTAAAGCTGCATTAATGTATAGAATTTTATTCTGCTGTGATTTTAATAATCCTTTGCTTAATTTATGTTTAAAATTATCTTCACTGTTGCTAAAATCACATATTACAAAAAGATCTACCACGTGGTAAAGTTCCTCCACTATCACTTCAGCTATTGCTGAATTATAGTCGTGTACTGAGAACATATAAATAAGTCTTCGAGTTGCCCTGCGTCGTTTCAATTTAATATTTTGTTTAGATGCCATTATTGCTCGCCAAACTACTTCCGGTTGACCGCAATCTGATCCATGCCATCCTTGCTTACAGATGCATTTATCAGAATCTGAAAAAGCTTCTTTACTTTTCATGTCCATTCCTTCTTTCCAACAAAGTGTATTATTTTGAGGAACAAAAAAATCCAGTGTTTTAAAATCTTTTAATCTAAATTCTTCTATAATTGTTTTGTAAGTAGGTTGAATATTTACTTCAACATGAGAATGAACCTGAAACAATTACAATTCATTTAATAATATTCATTTTAAACCATTTAAATTATAAATAAATATCACAACATATTATAACTTACTTTTGATGTTTCCATGTTAACGAAACTAACCGGATTTTTTGTAGTTGATGTTTCATATTCAGCCGGTGGCGTTGAGACAACATAGATCATTACAATAAATACTTGCAGAACCAAAAGAGTATAGAGTAAAATAAGCTTTGCATCTAAACGATTCTGCATGGCATTGAATTTTTTATTTTTTATTTATAATTATTTTTTTCTCTTACATGTTATCTGATTCTCAGTTTCATCACCATTATTCAGATGAATTTTCCTAAAATTTTAATAATTAATTTATCAAAATGATATCAATTGAAAAATTATATTAGATTATTTTCTATTTCTAATCAATTGATTTATTAATTTTTTTTTTCCTCATATTGAGAAAATTTTTTTAGGTATTTAGGTGAATGACTTCACAGACAGAATTATCGATTTTGAAGTAAAGTACGAAGTTGCCATGCTCCGAAGTTGAAGTTGAAGTGATAAAAATTATCTCATCTATAAATACTTCATTTTATGAGCCAATTTTTTAACATATATTTAAGTATTAATTTAAATTTTTCATACATAGTTTGACACTGTCGTTAGATTTCATTATCAACTAAATTTGTTATAAGCAACCTATGACGTCATCGGATCACAAGTCACCGACTGTGCGAATGACCTCAATCCCTGCTATATAGACATGTATATAAATACTGTATATTATTACTCACCCATGAATTTGTAGTTTCTACACATCGTTGTGTCTGTTTCATATAACCCTTTTAATTTCATTTTGTAGATTACTCATAAAATCAACATTAACACTATAGTAACAATAATCTTCATTAATTTTTTTAAAAATAATTTCCCTTTTTTATTCTTTTAATTTGTCTAATCAATGTACTTGAGATTGTGTCTTCACTGCTCCACGTCTTCTTGGCTAGTAACAGATATGGAAGAATTAAAACCACACCCGGAGCAGCCGCCTTGGCGTGTTTTCGTCGCGTCGAAGCACGACCAGAATGTCGCGAGGACGACTAGCGCTTTTACAGCCTTTTATCAAGCGCATGCGTTTCTTTAAAATATCGTGTACTCCTCTATCCTCTTGAAAAATGGGATAAAATAATCTAACCGGACACGTGGTGAAGACTGATGAATCAGACAGTCAACTTGAAGTTGAAAGGATGGATCTCTTTTTTAAATATTTCATCCAATTATTTCAACTGACTCATAACAATTTAAAGAATATTTTTTATTTCTATTCGTATTTTGCAATTGTCTTTTCTTTTATCTTTAAAATAAAAATAATTTTTAATTTCTGCTTTTGATGTAACGTTTTTAATGTTGAGATTTTGATCACTGAATGACGACTATTCCCCTTCAATATGAAGTATTGAAACCTTTTCCCTTCTACTTCGACTTCTTTTTGTTGATCTCATCTCAAAAGGAACCATCTGCTATAAGCTTAATATAATAGATGATTCAAAAAGATAGCAGGTGTGGTAGTTAAAGAAGTATTGACCTGGAGATTGGATAATTTTTTGCGTGCTTTTAGAACATTTTTAAATAAATTTACTGAATAACATTTTATAGAATTCAATTAGATATTGTTGTCAAATGGATTTGAAAATTTAATAAATAACATTTGAAGACAAGTTAATTAAATTTTTATTCCTATTACAGGTATCCTGCACAGGTTTTTGTTGGAGATACTTTTTGTTATTTATCTGGAATGACATTTGCGGTCGTAGGCATTTTTGGACACTTCAGTAAAACTACTTTGTTATTTTTTATTCCTCAAATTATCAACTTTTTATACAGTGGTCCTCAACTATTCCGATTAATTCCTTGCCCAAGGCATCGACTTCCAAGGTAGATAATCAATTTGGATAAATCATTCATTTGGTGTTCAATGTTTATTGATTGCAATTTCTTTCCTTTAGATTCAATAAAGACACCGGCAAATTAGACCCGAGTGTTGTAATTTTTAATAAATCCGAGCTCAATAAACTAGGTATTAATTTAATATATTTATTTTTATGTAATATAACGTAACTTATGCAAATCACAAATAATTTTAATTTCACTTTTCAGCAAGACTGATTATGAATTTATTTAAGACACTAAAACTAGTCAAATGGGAAGAAGATAAAGATGGCACTGTAACATGTAATAATTTGACGTTAATTAATTTCCTTTTAATTTCTATTGGACCTACTAAGGAAGTAAAAGTAACTAAAATGTTATTATTGATTCAGGTCAGCACACTAATTTATCTTTTGCTTTTTTAATTTAAAATTTAATTTAATATTCAAATTTTCCAATATAATGGAGTTGTTTTTTTTCAGGTTGCCAGTACGATTTTAACATTTTTAATAAGATATCCTTTTGCTTCACTATTTTACGATGTATAGTTTTGATAGAATAGTTATATACTTAAAGGCTGTTGATTTTTTAAAATAATTAAAAAAAAAAAAAAAAACCAAATAATGCTCTTTTATGAAATCATAGAAATAAAAACAAAATATAGAAAAATATTTCATGATATTTTTATTTAATTAATCAATAATTAATACTTAACTAACAATATATTAATAAAAATACAAACGCGATTTGTACAAGGCGACAAAACTCAATAATCATATAAGCATTTAATTATTAATACTTAACATTATAATTATCATAGACTATTCGACTTTACATCTCACAAAAATTATTTCACATTTATGATATTTAACAGATATCATACTTCATTTAGCACAAAAGGATATAGTGAATTACTAAAAAAAATTTATTGATTATAATACATGTAATCAATTTTAACGTTACCTTCATGAAATTTTTGTTGCCTAGAATAGAATGCATAGGCACTTATAGACGTTGAATTTTAAGTCATCCAAAAATTTCAATTATAAATGCAATTATTTTACATGCTCTCAAATCAGTCATGACCAGACTCACAGCTGCTCCATTTGTAATTTTTCATTATTCATTATGCCATTCCTGGTAAACCAAAAAGTGACTCGGATCCTAATCTTTCACTGACTTTCAACTGAGCTTTTGCTGCATCTTGTAAACTGAATATGTGAGTAAATTCTAATGATGTTCGAGCTAATTTTAATGCTGTGTCAAAAAGTTCTATGGCTTTTTTAAGATTCCCTCTGCAATAAATTATACAATTAAATAATTTATGTGAGCAAAAATTTTTATAATAACTAAATCAAGTATTCTGTATATCTATATAATTTTTTCACCTTTGGACTTCTATCGTGCCAAGAGTTTCATATCCAAATTCACATTTATCATCTAACTCAAGTGCTTTATTAATATATTCGACAGCTTTTTCTACGTTTCCAGTCCACTGAAGTTGTAGCAATCCTCGGTGGACACGAATATTAGCATTTGTTGGATCTTTTTCAATCGCTTTTGCAAAATATGTGTCAGCTTTATCGTAAGATTGTGAATCGCATAGCATCTACAATAAATAAATAATTAGTCAATACTTAATTACATAAACTGATATCGACATTTTATTATAAATTAAAAAATGTACCTGAGCAAATAATGTATAACACTCGCAACAGTCAGGGAACAATTCAAACGCTTTTTCAAATTCTTTCATTACATTATCTATCGTTGACAGTGACCTAGTCATTGCAGCATAACGATAATCCATGTAAGATTTTTGAGCAAATGCGATTCCTGAGTTTGGATTCATTTTTAAAGCTTTTTCAGAATCATTTTTAGCCTCTTCGACTTTATCTAAAAGTAAGTTAACTTGTCCACGATGATGATAAATATCTCCACACTCGGAATCAATTTTGGTTGCCATATCAAAGTCAGCAAAACATTGGTCAGGGTTTTCTAATTGCATATTCATTGTTGCTCTCTTTATAAGAGCATTTACTTTTACACCATTGCTGGCTTTATCATTATTTATGATAGCTTCAATATCTTCGATAGCTTTATTATGTTCTCCAAGTAGAAGATAGAACGTACCACGAAGAAGCATTAATTTCATTTTCTCTGAAGTTTGCTCTTCAGTACATTTTTCTATTTCCTCTGTACATAAATCCATCATAGTATCATATTTCTCTTCTTTAAAGGCTTCAATAACCTTTTGTAAACCTCTAAAGATATGAATTTAAAATTAATATAAAAATATAAATTGTTATAAATGATGTAAATATAATCAAAAACTTACTGATTGACATTCTGATCGTCCACCACATTCTCAGAAAATATAGGATCACTTTTGAAGGAACTAAAGTATGCTTTAATAAAATATTTACTAGGCATTATGAGCTTTCTAGTCTTCATATGTTCTTGAGCGTGTTGTTTGCCTATAAATTATTCATTTTTTAACGATTAAAATATTCTAATTTTTAAATCTATAAACTAATTCAATTCTTATTAATACCTAGTTCCTTTAAGACCCTATCAGCCATAGAAAGTGTTGATTGACTCATAAATTTTTCTAAAATACAAGCAGCAGTAACATCTTCTAAAGCTAATTCTAGTTGATTAGTTTTTTCCAAAACTCGTGCTCTTCTCAACAATGCTTTTGTATATTTTGGATTGAGTTCCAATGCCTTTGTACAGTCATCAATTACAGCATCGTATTTTTCCTATTAATGATGGGCACATCATTAGATAAACATAATTTTTAAAACTTCCAGTTAGCCATTTTTAAATGAATACAAACCAAAGCCTCATAAGCAGCAGCCCTATTTTGATAATTTTTAGCTAATTCTATATTTTGATCACTAGGACAAGTTTCAATTGCTTTATTGTAGTAAGAAATAGCCTCTTCATATTTTTTAGCACCAAAAGCTTGATTCCCTAAATTTTTGTATCTTTCAGCCTTCGCAGCTAGAGTCTAAACAAATTATTGAATTAGATACCACGTGTAAAAGTGGTAAAACATTTATCGATAAATTAGACATTGAAATATAACCTCAGGTTGTTTTGTAAGATGTTTTCCTGAATCTCCATCTATGGATATTTGTTTTTCAGTTGCTGTACCATTGGTTTTATCTGATCCTTTACTTTTTCCTTGATTTATATTTTTATAATACATATATCCTAATCCAAGTGCCACTGGTGCACCAACTGCCAAGGCAAGTTGCCATTTTGGCAATGAACCACTTATTGAACTCGTTGCACTATTTGCTACCGGCATTTTGTAATTTAAAATAATTTTATTTTTTTTAACACTCCGTCACGTCGTAATAAATAAATTTATTGAACTTCAGTCTTTCTTCACTTTCCCACCCAACTTACAAACGAACCTTTACGTTAAAGCTCAGTTGCTGCTGAAAGAGCATGTGAGATCTCAATAATTTTCCAGATAATTTCTGAAGGCCAAAAGATAACGTTCCAATTCCAGATGTTTCTTATTTTAAATTTAAATAAATTTTGAAAGCAATCTTTTAATATTTTGAACCATTTTTCTTTAATTCATTTCCAAATATATTAAACCGAACTTAATATTATTGAAATATCGTAAAATAATTAATTTTACAAATAATACTTGATTCAGTGTTAGATATTTCTTAAGATACAATATTTATCTGAATCTCGACTGATAGTGAATATTGCATAGAACAAATAAATTTTCCATGGACTAAAAACCTGTATTTTACGAATTAAACATTAATATTCTCGATTAAATATTTTATTTTAATAATAATTAAATTTTTTCATTTAAGCATTTGAATTTGTTGAATTTTTAAATACATGCGAACAGACTTTGAATGTAAGAATGGCGGAAAAGGAATGAATGTTGGAATAGTAAACAGCTGATGGAATTGGAGTGAAAAACAAGAAAAAATAACTATTAAAAATATCGAGAAGATTTTAACATTTATATTTTTAAAATATATTTTTTGTTAGCTGACAAAATAATTCATTATTATGACAACAAAATCGTCCTTGGATTTAAGAGCTGAGCTAGCTGAGCTTGTTAAAAGAAAAGCAGAAATTGCGGTTAGTAGAATTTTCATCAATCTTTGACATTTCATGTTAAATAAACTTACTATTATTCTATTGTTTAATTGTTAAACAAACAAAAGAACATATTCTAAATATTATACTATAATGATAAACAAGTTTTTTATAAATAATTTGTACTTTAAAATCCCATTAAAATACCTTTTAGTTTTTATATTTTTAAAGGTTAGGTTTACACTTTGAAAGTTCTTAAGATGTTTATATTTTATAAATAAAACAATTATTATATAAAAATTCAAACAATAACTAATTGAGGATTCTATTCTTAAGTTAATATTGATATTATTTATATTTCAGGATACACTAGCGAATTTGGAGCGGCAAATTTATGCTTTTGAAGGAAGTTATCTTGAAGATACCCAATTGTATGGTAATATAATTCGCGGATGGGATAGATATTTAGCAAGTAATAAGAATACAAATAGTAAAGCGGACAAAAGAAATAGGAAATTCAAAGAAGCTGAGAGATTATTCTCCAAATCATCTATTACATCTATGGCTGTATGTATTATATTTTTTTTTTATTTATAAAAAAATATATTCTCTATTTAGAATTTTCGATGATTACTCTAATCTAAAAGTAATATATTATCAATATAATTGATATTTTTTTAGGCTGTCAGTGGTTTGGTGGAGAATACGCAAGAAAAAAGTAAGGACTTGAATGGATATTAATTAATTTTTGTTTATATAAACTGTAGCTGATGCTTTCATATATCTTTCATGGATTTTTCTTTTTATCATTGTATTTGATCATATTATTTTTTAAGTATAGTCTAGTCAATTGAATGGTATTTTATAATTATTACTTGCTGAAGTACTTTATCTACGTAATATCTTCCATTATTTTACTCTGGTAGAAAGTGCTTGGTAATAATATATTTTTAATTAAATATCTGTTATATTTATTTTGCATGATTTATTATTCACAAAAAACTTACCATTCATCTTTAGATTTTTCAATTAATCATTATCACTAGTTTTTTATTTAGATAATAGTTATCAAACATACTCAAAATTATCTTCAAAAAAAATTTGTCTTGTCGTTTTTTTACGGTTAACTGGAGCTACCTGATTTTAGTTGAACGATACAGTGAATCGGAGTCGCAGCTTGGAAACAGTGGAAGTGAAGATAATTGCAACTATAACAATTCTAGTACAGTAACATCAGGTAGTAGCAAAGATTCAAGTGGAAAAAATCATACTTCCGTACAATTTGGATACTCACAAAATAATGGTACTCTGAATAATAACACCGATAGCAATGTATCGTTTTCAAACGGTCCTTTGTCAAACGGTAGTTTAGAACACATATCTACTCCCGCTAAAGATGGACATAACAATAATTGTAAAGAAGTTAATAAAAATAGGTCATCTAATAGTGCTAAAAAAAATAACACAAAAAGATCGAGAAATAGATAAAAAAATTCATGAAACATTATATATTATTTCTTACTTTTTTCCAAGAGTTGATACGTACGTACAAATTTTGATGTATAAATTGCATTCTTATTCTTTCATCTATTACACATTGACAATGAAACATAACTAAATTTCGGAATATATATTTAAATCATTTTATAACAAAAATATTTATCATTAATGATAAAATAATATTAAGTCAAAAATTTCATACTTAGAAACTTAGTTCATTTATCATAATCATATCTTTTATAATACATCACTATATTTACTATTTATTTTGATTGGATACGTATCATTTAATTTTACTTTTTTTCGTTTAATTTAACATAAATATACTTTAATAATTTTCATTTTTTTTTTTATATATTTTTTATAACAATTTAATCTACAGTATGACTGACTAATTAACTCTTGATTTGTGTATTAAAAAGAAACAAAAATATTTAATGGAAATATTTAATATAAATAAATAAAAAAATTATGTAGATTACAGAACTAGTTTAAATTTGTAATCTATGAATTCCATTTTTTATAAATGAAGGCACAAATGTTGCTCCTTCATAACTGGGTGAAAGTGAAGGTTGTGTTTTTGTTACAACAGCATTAAAACCATTTTGATCATCAGCAGTATAAGTTACAGTTCTGATAGATCCATCAGCCTCCACTACTGAATATTCTCCTTTAACAGTGTCACCGTCACGTTCTTCCCAAGCAGATTTTGAGTCTCCAGTGTAACCATCAGTTACTCCATAATTGAATGAATACTTGGGATATTGCTTTACATTAATAATAAATTAAATCATCAGTAAACAAAAAAATGTATTTATAGAACTAAAAATGGATCATTTATTACTGTAATATATGATATTATTTTATACTAACTGTATATTCAGTATTTTTATCATTGAAATTATCTCTCACAAGATCGGCAGATTTAATAATTGGCGGTGCAACATAAACTATTGATGATGTTTTTGGTAGTGGAACATATGATGCTGGTGTTGATACTCTGACGTAAACTGGAGCTGTTTGATCTTGATTTTCTAGTGCTTTTGATATTTTAAGTCTGAATCCACATGCAATTGGTGCAGCGAAATTATTTAAACGCATAGAGTGTAATTCTTCACATGGAATATTTGGACGGAAATAATTCCCATGTGATATTGTATAACTACAATCATTTTTTTAATTTCATTATTATTATATTATTTAATTTTTCAATATGATATATTATTTCTGATATCAAATATTAAATTGTCATTTTTAACAGAAATAATTATACCTTTGTTGAACATCAGCTTGAATAAAATAGAAAAATCCTATTATTGTGATGATCTGAAACTGAGTTTAGTAATAATAGCATGAAACACGTAAAAAATCAACTTCAATTATTAATTAATAGTAAAGTTATATCATTTCATGATTATACGTTATTACACTAACATGCACTTAAATGTAAATAAATAATTATTGCATAGTAATATTAGCAATAATTGATATAATTAAAGGTGTAATTATTACAATAATTTTTATAAATAAATGATAATAAAAAATATTTTTTCGTCATGCCTGCGCGGAAAGTTCACTTTTCCATTGGAGAGGGGTTGAACTTTCCACTCAGGTATGACGAAAAATTATATTCAGCCCTAAGGAGGACAATTAGACAAGCTTAAACCACGTGTTTACCCCCCTCGTCTTCGGCTCGGGTTGTAATTTTACACGTGGTTTGAGCTAGTCTACTTTTCCTCCCTAGGTGTGAAATATACTATTAGTTTAAACATATTTTGTTTTACAAAGATATATAATTGAATAGAAATTGGATTTTTTTACCTGATAATTGAACATAGTAGTAAATAAATGGAAGATCGTTTACAAAATTTATTAGTACACCTTCTGTCCTCTATATTACACTCAAGAGTATTGCAGCATCCCTAGAGAGCAACTCTTCTTTATATACCACGAACATTCACTTGTAATTTTTTTACTCTCTTTCTCGCATCTCAAGTAAAAGAGTTGGTTTAGTTATAAAAGTAATGCGCAATCATGCTCTCTTATATTTGTTTGGACTGCATAAGCTGGTGAATTTACTTTACATAGTGTAGTTGAGAGAACTGAAGATTCTTAAGATACAAGCTCAAGATACATTGACAAAATGCATACAAAGTATGATGACAATACACAAGAGGATGTCAATAGTCTTAAAATTGGTTTAAGTTGAATTATTACAAGAAAGAAGCAAGAGATGTTTTATTTCTAAGTCAATTATTTTTCATAGAAGCATTACCAGTAAATAAATATTTAATTATTAGTTGGAAGATTTCCTGAAATGAATATTATTTTTTCTCACCACTAAACTCTTTGTATAATAATTATATAATTTTATTAATTTCGCAATACATTAGTCAATTCTTGGAGTGAAAAAATAATTTTCAATAACAATTACATTAAAATGAAATAATGATATTCAATTTTCAGCTAAGATTTGTCAAATGATTGACCTCATAAGTAAAGTAACAAACATGATGATTGACAGCATGTTATTGATTTATTACGAAGATGATATTTCCAAGTATCATCTACCTACATTATTCTGAGACAAAGTTCTAATATTTCACAAAAAAAAAACCGAACAATAGAACGATGTCTGCTAAGTTTTTTTTTCAATAATTAAAATAATTACTACATCAGTACATCATATATACGTAGTATGATTGTATAATTCTTTGTCTAGCATTTCATTTATTTATATTTATGACTAAAAACAAAAACATTGATGATGTTATCGCGATCAGACAGTACCTACTCATGGATCTTAGGAATAATTATCTTCATTTGTATCATCAATCAATGTCTCAAACATCAAAACGATTTAATATAATGATTTGAATATTAGACCAAGTGAATTAACATGTTGATTTAATATCAAAAATATAAATATCTACTTTTTATCCATTTTTTTTTTTAATTTTTATGCTTTCCTGTTGTTCTATACTTTCTAAGCATCAATTGCATACTCTGGTGTATTTAAACTCATGTAAGATGTTTCAAGCTATCAGTGGTCGTTCGACACTTGACCTACGATGTCAGATCTAAAAGTTCGCAGACTTTTGATTGATCTCTTCAGAAGTGTTGACTGTGCTTTGAGTTTTAGACACATTAGTTATTCTTTCTTTCACTTTTATTATTATGTATTGAATCATAGTAAAGTTGATGGTGATTATTTTCGAAGAAAATTCTATAAAAATCAAGATCGTAACGTTGGAGATTAAAATAATTGAAATTATATCAATAATCGGTGGCTTGACGGATCATCGAAGGACAAACGCATGTCCTTGTTATTCAATTCTACTAGCATCCAATCGGTCATCTGTTTAAGGTGAATTATACACTTTTGGTGTGTTTGAATAAATAATATGCCAGGAACTGGGTTTCTGATGTTAATCTTCAAACCTAGGTATGGAACCTAGATAGTACGTATTTATATTATTAATTTTTTCTAAATGAATTGCTTTCTTCAATGTATATTGTTATAAAAATTGCATACAAAACCACTTGTTATGGAATATAATTCATGATTTATAGCCATACAGCAAAAAAAAAAGATACGTTTGTTAACAAATCTAATAAAGTGTCAACTTTCACCTTGAATTATTAATGTGAGACAGAACCATGTGTTATTGACTCTGAGTATAATAATCCCAGTCCCCAAGCTCATTACAAATCGTACATTATTATCTCATCTTGACAAAGTGAACATTTTTTTGAGCTATTTTTTATGTCAAAATGAAAAGGATGATTTTTGCTATGGTTATTTAACAATTAAAATAACTAAAAAATATAACACACTATCACTCATTATCATTATCATTAAACTGACATTGATGATTGTTGCTTGAAATCTAAAATCTAAATATTATCTAGGTATTTTGTCTTTTATACAAATTACATTAGCATAAGATATGATAATCCTTCACCGTCATTATTTCTTATTATGTCTTTAAATTTATAATATAAATCCAATGCTAATAGCATTTATTTATTGTTAATTTAATCTTAACTGAATAAAAGTTAACATTATCATTTTACCATAAAAAATTGTTATCAGTTAAAGGAGAAGTAATTGGCTAAAATATATCATTATTTCTAATAAAAAAATTACGTATCATTCGAGAGTATCGTAATACTAGGAGTGATGTCATGAATGGACATCCTTGGCTATAAATGATGACTTATTGGATCCCTGATGCGTTTGTCGGACGTCTACATAAAAGGGGTAGCAAATTATAAAATTAAAAAAAAATAATGACCATTTAGTAAAAGAAGAATACATTAACAAGGTATTTAATTTTAACATGAAATATCAGTTTTCAATCATTATCAAATCAAAGTCTAATTTAGTTAAATTCCATCATAACATGTTGTAATCACATGCAAGCGCATGATTAAACAGATAATCAGTTAGAAAATAAACAATCGATGTTATGCTTTGTGCTTGATGCACTGCTTTTTTTGTTGGTCATAATACTTCAGAAGCATAGATATCAAAGTGAAAGTTTAGTTATCATTAGTTAGGTAGGATTGTTAAATATTATTATGAGAACAATGTTATCAGATGGTCATGGAAGTTAGTCTCATACTATTATTTTTTTGTCAGTAACGAAAAATAGAAGAAATAAAAGTATGTTTCAGAGAAATTAAAGTATATGCGCGGGCGCGAAACATCAGTTACTGATTCATCTCTGGGACTCTTTACTTTATTCTTCAGTGTTGACGCAAAAACCAATCGGCGAAGATATCTGCAAAAACAACCCCCGGTGAGATATTTAATAAATATGAAAAATTATTTAAATTTCTTTATAAATATTAATTAATAAAAATTTTATAATTATAAAATTTAACTTTCTCATTCACATAAACAACTTTGTTTTTTTAATTTTTATTATGAAAAAAAAAGTTAACCTTTATTTTTATATATTTATTGGATTGAAAAATAGATTTAAAATAAATGAAATTATTGACAATTATTATGTTATAGTAAAAAAGGAATTTAGTTAAAAATTGAAATTATTAATTAAGTTATTGGTTGTAAATGTTAGAAAGAACAATAAATATTCAAAATAACGTGAAATTAGAAAAATATAAAGTTTCATAATGTTGTCATAATTAAAAATATGCATTTCAAGATTTGTTGAAAAAATGTTTTGAATTTTTGATGAACGAGCCCTTTAATTCAATTGATATTTCCGGATTTTGTGAGTTTGTTAGACATTCTCATGAAGTGATGAACATCGGCATGTGAGTTCTTGAATAAACTTGCGAGTTAGTGATAAATATTTACTATTACCAATCACAGGGTAATTCAATTTTACTATTTATCGAATGATCTTTCGTAAATCATAAAATATCTCATATATTACATTCTTTCATTAATTTATTTATTATTATGAATCATAAATATTTTATTACCACATGAGTTAATATTCTTTTTCTAATAGGTGCAATAAGTTAATTTTAACTAAACGTAATGGAGACTTCAACAATGAATATAATTACGAAGACAAATGCTTCAATTGCCGAAGAACTTCCTCTTGACATGAGATTTAATGAAGGACACATCATTAGTATTGCAACTTATAGTGTTTTAATGGCAATATCTATCACTGGAAATACTACAGTTTTTGTATTAATACTTCGAAGACGAAGAATAAATCAATCTCGAATTAATACCATGTTATTACATCTTGCTGTGGCTGATTTACTAGTAAGTTATTTAAATATTTTGTGTAACACAATTTGTCAACTCATTAAATATTTTAAATAATGATTATTTAATGTTTAAACTCATTTTATAGGTTACGCTATTAATGATGCCATTAGAAATTGCTTGGGCTATAACCGTTCAATGGAAGGCGGGAGATTGTATGTGCAGAATAATGGCTTTTTTTAGGGTTTTTGGAATTTATTTATCATCTTTTATTTTAGTCTGTATCAGCATGGACAGGTAAATTTACTAAAAATGTTTCATTTAGAGTAAAAATATTTTCTTTTCCAAAAATAAACTATAATCTTTTGAAATATTATCCATATGGTATTAAAAAACCAAATAAATATCTTAAAATAACTTAAGGAAGAAAAAAATTCTAACAACAAATATTTTTAGGCGTCATTATTTTTTTCATATAATGGGGTGAACATAATTTATTAGATTAATTTATTTTGAGAATAATATATAAACTATATTTTTATTCTTGAAACTGACATTTTTACTTTTCAGTTCATTAAACGTAATTAATAATCTACAGAATCTATATTTATTTACAATTTTTCCTGATTTTTATTAATTATCACTAATTTATTTTTTGTTTATATTAAGATACTACGCCGTTCTAAAACCTCTACAGTTAATAGATATTGACAGAAGAGGAAAAATCATGCTTCTATCAGCATGGATAGGTTCAGCTTTTTGTTCAGCACCACAGGTAATTTTTTCTAATTTTCTAATCTAATTATTTTATTGTAGAAATAATATTGTTTTCTATTTTCAGGTGCTGATTTTTCATGTAGAAAGTCATCCAAATTTTACTTGGTACAAACAATGTATCACTTATAATGCATTTCCAAGTGACACTCATGAATTGACATACTCATTTTTCTGCATGACGATGATGTATTTATTTCCACTGATAGTCATAATTTACACTTATTCCAGTATACTTCTAGAGATTTATAGAAAATCCAAAGAATCAGCTGCAGGTGAATTGATTTTCAATTATATAACATTCCTTAAATATATATAATTATAGTAAAAATATTTATTCAAATGTCCAGATAGGATACGAAGATCATCTTTAGGCTTCCTTGGTAGAGCACGAATTAGAACTTTGAAGATGACGATTGTTATTGTCTTGGTATTTTTTATTTGTTGGACTCCTTATCATATCATGAGTGTTTGGTAATTATTTGATAATACAAAATATTTTCAATATAAATCAATAATGTTTCATAATCAATTTGGTAGGTATTGGGTTGATAGAGAAAGTGCAAGCAAAGTTGATTTGAGAATTCAAAGGATTCTTTTCCTTTTCGCTTGTACAAATTCTTGCATGAATCCCATTGTTTATGGAGTCTTTAATATCAGACGCACCAACAAAGTGAGTAAGTTTGATATTTAATTATTATCACTGATATTATAATTATTATAAATTCACAAAAAAATTTTTTTTCATTTATGTATATTTTTTTTTCTTTTTTTTAGTCGCTTTGCCACGTTAATAAAACTTTTGCACTTATTTTTAAATTCTTTTTTTACAATAGTACAATTTCTTTATAGAAATTCGTACGAGCACCCACTTTAGAAACTCGAGTTACACCGGTCTCCTTATCAGTGAAACTCATCGAATATAAATAGTCATCACAGCATCAGTATATATTTTTATTATTTATATAATTTATATATAATTATCTATGAAAAATCAAAACCAAAAATTCTTATTCTTAAGAAGAACTTAATATTTTCAATTTTTGTTATTGTATATTTATTTAAATAATATATTAAAATTTATTTATTTATAATTTTGATTGTGATATTTTCCACCTCTAGCATTATAAAAAAATCAATGTGCACATTATAAAATCGATTAATACAAAAATACATAGAAATGGAAGTACTCCATCCTGTCCACAGGAATCAACTTGTCAACAACTCGAAGTAGTTGGACCGAAGAAACTTCCTAATGGATTTATTTTTCCTATTAATTGGAATCGAACATTAACATATGTATCTAATCAATAAATCTTATTATTTTGAAATCAATTAAACAATGATGCAGCTATTGATGTTATTAAGAAGAATTTGTATGAATAAATAAAAAAGCTCAAAAATTTATTCTTTGAAATAATTGAAGTAATAAAAAAATTGATGAGCGAAGAAATTGATTCATAAATGAAATAAATAATTGTTAATATAATAATGAAGCTTTAATCTAAAGTGAAATTTAAACAGACAGATATCTCGTAGGAAGAACTACTTCCTACTCATTTTTATCCACTTTCAAGAACTATTTATCTATTAAATATAGGACTGTATTATTTTAAGTGTTTCTAAATGATTTTTTTTTCTTTCAAATTCATTTTTAACATCTCACGGAATCCCATTGCACTCATTTAATTTTTTTTCCCCATTACGGATATATTAAGACCGCGTTAACGTCTCTTTTCAACGTATCGAATGTTTGTCAGGCCTCTCTCCCTCGCTGGTGTTGGTTTAAAAAAGCAGGAGTCCGTGGGCGCTCTATAAAACTCCGCTGGTTGAGTTTCCCCAGCTCAGTCTGGACCACGATTTCTTCGTACGTGACAATTCTTTCTTAAAGACTTAGGATTATATTTTCAGTGTGTTACATTTTTTTTTCTTCAATAATTTTTTTTTTTTTTTTTGAATTTATAAAGTGAAATAATTTTTTTTTATATAATTGACAGTGAATCATTATTACATCATTCAGATAGTGAATAACATTGTTGAATTTTTCTCCCTCAAATCCCATTCGGAATATTGACAACCCGATGGCGGGATTTAGAGGAATTTTAACACTTGTTTTACTTGGAGTGCTTTCTGCAGTTGCTATCACCTACGATGAAGGTAATTTCCATCAACAATTTTTTCTCTTCACTGACTTTATTAAATTATGTTTCAATAACTTCATTGAGTATAATTAACGAAAAATAAATATTATTTAGGTTATATTTTTAAATTATTGAAAAATCTAATTAATGACTGGTTAATTAGTCAGAAAAGAAGTCAATTATTTGTGGAGTAATTGTCAAAAAATTATCCAAGTCGTTGACCCAGTTATTAATTCAGATGTTTACTATCATCAACAAGGATGCGTTTTATGAAACATGTATGATTTTTTAAAAAAATAATGATAATCTATCAGGGTCAAAATGATAACCCATCATCATCTAGACAAATAATTTTACAAAAATTAAATTACGTTCACAAGTTACTAAAGTTCCTGTTCAAGAGGCTATTTTAAATATATAGGTTATGAAAAAATTGAAAAAAGCTCACAATTTCCCAATGTACCAACAAGGCGATACCTCATTTATCCATGGAGTATTCATGTACAAATCAAAGACTATTTACGTCTTATTCATCATACAGTTTGTGATCTAGTGGCATTGATGACGACCCTTTTACACATTACAGCATTAGCTGTAACATTTCAAACCAGTTCAACAGAAAGAACGTGAACAAGAAACCCGGTAGTTTCCAAAGCCACTTCTGGTGTTGCAAGGTCACTCAACCCTGTTATTATTCCGATACTTAAAAAAAAAAGTTATCGTTACATAAAATCACTTATTTTACCTGCTATTAATATTTACATTGACATGTCAATCAATTATAGAATAATTCATAACGACATGAGAGTGTAATGAATCATTGGAAATATTTCTAAATTTAATCTGAAAATGAAAAAAAGCTAGAAATTTTTAAATATTGTTTAATTGTTTTACTAAAATGTATTTATTAATTAATTGTCAACAATTAATTGAAGTCAAGGATTGAAATTAATATTCGTTGAATGAAAACTTTATAAAAAATAACTTCAATAAGTAAATAATTATAAAAATAGTTAATCTATTTCTACGTTAGTGAACGTTTCATTTATCCAAGGAAATAAAATTTGAATCAAGTTGAATCATTGATATCTTTATACTTAGGTAGATTCTAACGGACAATCCGCAATAGGAAAATAGCCGTAAGCTCTAGAGTTTTTATTCAAACACTAAAAGGAAAGAGCAGTTTCTCAGTGGCATAAAATTTTTGTGAGGTAATTGCGTCAAAGTTTGAGAATTGGGGTCGTCATGTATATTATAAGGAATTTTTTTCGTTAAGTTGTTGAGTTATTAATAAAACAAAGAGCTAAAGAAACATGACAACCTACACACATTCGTTGTCATTATCATCGTTCTAATTACCATGGATAGTCAGAGTCTATGATAGTAGGGTTGACAAACAAGCGTTACTGATTTAATTCAATCATCATGATGCAATTCATGCATTCTATCAACTCTCAATTACTCTACCGGCATAGTTTTTACGCTTTTATGATTCTTTGCTTCTTAATTTTTATTTATTTCAAGAATCTAGAGCAAAATGACTAAGGTTTTTTCTTAAATTATTACCTCCATATATATAAACTTTAATTAATATTTTATTGGATAATTGACAATTTTTTTTTCAAGCTCTAAGCAAGTCATTAAAAAATGCAGTGCATGATGATGAGTTTGCTATCAGTGTAAAGCATTTTAAATTAAAAAAAGGAGATCATGTTGGGACAGACACAGTTCTTGCTACTAAGTATCCAGATCCAAAGACTAAAATATTACTTATGATTGACCGACGATCCAATAGGGGTAAGTTATAATTTATTCTATCAATACATCATATAGAGGTATTAATTTTGCTTTTTTTAATAACATTCAATGATTTTTTCCCCAGTAATGTTGGAAACGGTAGAAGAGCATAAAAAAGGAAGAGAAGATCTTGAAGTTGGTACTCTAAATATTACCCATCCAATGAAAAATATTATTTTTGTGGTACACCAAAATAAACCTAATTCAAGAATTGATGTTTACGTTGACTGCAATCTGCAAGGTACTATTCCGATGAAGAAAACGTTCAAAAATGTAGTTGAACGAGGATCAGATGAGTCGACACTTCAAGTGGTAAGATGTAGTTATTGCTAATATAATTGGAGAGTGATGAAGTAGATCTATCGAGATGTTTAACTACTAATGAGATGACTAAGAAATTTTATTATTAGATATGATGTTATAACACTTGAAAAAGAATTTTGATGAATCGATAATTAAAGTAAAAATTCTATTCTTGAAGTAATTAATTTTTAAAACTTTTTAAGTGTTTTATAAATATTCCTGAATATTCAAATGGAATAAAATACTTTATTGAGAATATTTACTAGCTTTTTACCACCTACACAATCGATAATTTCACTTAAAAATAAATTTCGTAATCAACTTGAAGATTTCTCCAAGTATTTACTTCTTCATGTTACTTCCATCGTTTTAAACATGCGTTCAAGCATATCAATTTTATTCGCATGTTTATTCGTACCAGTATGAATCCGTAGGTTGAAGTATCACCGAATATGGTTGCATGAATATATTTATCGTATTATCAAAGTATATTAAATATTTGCTAAAAAATTATAAATAATTAATAAAAGTTTGATTGACATTTACAGTTTAAAGAAAGAAGATACCGAACCAAAATCTACAAGAGCTCTGAAATTGATGAGTTATGGGAAAGAGAAGGTTGTCGCACAAATCTCCATGATGTTGAATATGAATTTAATCATAATACTACTTTGTCACGAGTTCGAAGGCGAGGAGACATTGGAATACATACTATTGATGATCTAAGTACTTTGAATGAATAAAAAAATATATAATATCAATTAAATAATTAATTATTAACAAGTTAAATGTTTTTAGATTGCATTGGAGAAGGCCAACTTATAAAAACTTTGAATGAACTTATAGAAGTGACAAGAAAAATTTGGAGTGAATTAGAACGAAATGTAAGTTTTTTTCATTCCTAAGACTGCTATAAAATACTATCATTACTATATAATTAATTTACAGACTCAAGAGACTCGATATATAAGAAAATTAGTCGAAGAATGTACAGCATGTCGTCCAGGATTTGTTGTAGGCAAGTTGAATTATTTTTATTATAACTGAAAACTATTATAAGAAAATGATCTCAGAATATAAATAATTGATTGGTAATAATAAATGATGTTTAGCTACAACACCAGCACCACCTCCAAGACCTTCTTGTAGACATCAAAGTCCATGTTTTCCTGGAGCTTCATGTCGAGATACTGAGGGAGGTCCTGAGTGTTTAGGATGTCCTTATGGTCATATCGGTGATGGACGACACTGTCAAAGAGTCAAGACTTGCAATGATAATCCTTGCTTCCAGGGGGTAAGATGTCAAAACACAAGGACTGGATACAGGTGAGTTTTAGTAATATCATTAAATTGCACATCAGTTTGAAGAATTAATTATTTTTTAGCATCTTCATCTAATTTTATATTATCTTCAAGATTATAATTATTTTTAATAATTGTTAATTTAAAGAAAAAATTCTAATCAAATTTTCAACAAACGTCGTGAATTCGCGAACGATTTTTTTCACATTATTCAGATGTGGTCCATGTCCTTCGGGTTACACGGGGAATGGAGAGCAATGTCAACGCGTACGAGGATGTGAGTTGAATCCTTGTCACTCGAGTGTTACTTGTCATCCAACCCAAGATTATCCTTACTACAAATGTGGCGCTTGTCCTGAGGGATACACCGGAAATGGAACCAACTGCCAGGACATTGATGAGTGTGACCTAACTCAACCCTGTGATCCAAGATCTCAATGTATCAACACCTCGCCAGGATACAGGTGCGAGCCTACTGACTGGGATTTATCTGATTAATCACACACACACACAAAAAAAATAATTAAAAAAAAATAATCGCGTGTAGGACGGATTGAAAATAATAAATTTTTTATCCAAATCGCGATTGTTTTTCACATTCACCAACTTTTGCTTTAGTCATTTTTAATCCAATAATCTATAAGCTATTTTTATTTTAATTTCTATTTCTTTTTCATTTACTCAACAAACTATATTAATTAGTTCTCGTGAATCTTTTTCTATTGTACTTAAATGTTGATTATACTGTATGATATGATAATTAATAATGATTAATTGCCAAAAAAAAAGGAAAAACCGATAATAATATAAAGACTTAATAAGGTCGAATAGATTTACATTAATCACATTCGTCTTCAACTTCCTTTTCACGTTCCTTTCTTCCCTTTTTTTTCAATTTTTCACTTTATTTTATTAATATTTTTTAATATTATTCATAAATTCAATTAAATAAATAGTATATGATAAATAAATAAACGTTGTGAAACGGAAAATATAAGTAAATTGGGTAAATGATGAAGATATTTACCCTCCCATCCGGTAAATGCCTACTGCCCATCGATAGATGTCTTCCATGCCCCGTGGGATTTACGGGGAACGAGACCGGAGGTGTTGGAGTCGAATTCGCTCTCAGGAACAAGCAGATCTGTCAGGATATCAATGAATGCGAAGATGGAAGGAATGGTGGCTGTGTACCTAATTCTGAATGCATAAATACAAAGGTAAATACAAATCTATAATACATTTTTTTTTATTTCAACATTTGATAGTATATTCATTTATTCAAAAACAATACTTTCTTCAGGGCTCTTTTAAATGTGGATCTTGCAAGTTCGGTTATACTGGTGATCAAAATCAAGGATGTCATCCAGCGCACAATATTTGTCCTGATAGAGTAACTATTTGTGACAAACATGCTGATTGCATTTGTATAGCTGTCAACCAGTACACTTGCCAGGTAAAAAAAACAAATATTATTCATCATTCTGATCGACAAATCGTGTCTATTTTTTTATAAAACAGTTGATTGAATTGATCATTTCAGTGTCATATTGGATGGGCCGGAAATGGCATTAAATGTGGAATAGACTCTGACAGTGATGGACATCCAGATGAAGAGATTAGACTTGAAAGCCATGAGATATTTGCCGCAGACAATTGTCGATATGTTCCTAATAGTGGTCAAGAGGATGCTGACAATGATGGTTTAGGTGATTCTTGTGATGATGATTCTGACAATGATGATGTGCTTAACTCTTCTGATAATTGTCCTCTTCATCACAATCCTAAGCAAGAAGATACAGATCGTGATGGTCGTGATGGATTTGGAGATGCTTGTGACAACTGTCCTAATGTTTTTAATCCAGATCAAAGAGACATTGACGGTGATGGAATTGGTGATGCTTGTGACAATGATATGGATAATGATGGTAATTATTTGAGTATAATTATTATTTGAGCTTAATGAATTTTTAACTATTATCAAAATAATTATTGATGATAACTCATTTATTTTCAGGAATACTAAATCACTTAGATAACTGTCCTTCAAAGCAAAATGAAGATCAAAGAGACTCTGACGGTGATGGAATTGGGGATGCTTGTGATAATTGTCCATCGATTCCAAATCATAACCAGGAAGACGAGGATAGGGATAGAGTAGGAGATGCTTGTGATGATGGCCATGATAGAGATAAAGATGGTATTCAGGATAATGTAGATAATTGTCCTGACATTCCTAATTCTGAACAAACCGATTCAGATCATGATAATATTGGTGATGAATGTGATGATGATGCTGATAATGACGGAGTTCCGAATAGTATTGACAATTGTCCTTATGTTTATAATCCACTTCAAGAAAATTCCAGAGGTAAATACGTTGTTTTAAGCTTTAAATTAATAAGAAATAAAAAATAATAAAATTTCACGGAAAAAACATTGCAGGTGGAATTTTCGGAGATGCATGTTGGAATGATTATGATAATGATACAGTATTGAATACTCATGATAATTGTCCCAATAATAGTCAAGTGTGGACGACAGACTTTAGGAAATATGAAATAATTGCATTAGATCCTGAGGGTGAAGCTCAAATCGATCCTAACTGGCAAATTCATCACAGTGGAGCAGAAATTGTTCAAACTATTAATAGTGATCCGGGCATAGCCGTTGGTAAGTTAAATTAATAATAATCAGTTAATAATAATTATCATTCGTTTTTCAATTTTTGTATACATAGATGATAATAGCAATAATTAAAAATCCTCAATTGAAAAAATTTGTTCAAAGGATTTGACAGTTTCACTGGAGTAGACTTCGAGGGAACCTTTTACGTGAATACAGAAACAGACGATGACTATGTTGGATTTGTCTTTTCATATCAAAATACCCACAGATTTTATGCAGTAATGTGGAAAAAAGACACTCAAACTTATTGGCGTGCTACACCTTTCCGAGCAGTTGCTGAACCAGGAATTCAACTGAAATTAATAGATTCTGAAACGGGTCCAGGAGAGATGATGAGAAATAGTTTATGGCATACTGGAGACACTGAAAATCAAGTAAAATTATTATGGAAAGATCCAAGAAATGTTGGATGGAAAGAGAAGACTTCGTACAGATGGCAATTGATGCACCGTCCTCGTATTGGGCTCATTAGATTGTGGATTTATGAAGGGCCACGTTTAGTAGCTGACTCAGGAAATATTTTTAACTCTGTATTGAAAGGTGGACGGCTTGGAGTTTTCTGTTTCTCTCAAGAAATGATTATATGGTCGGATTTACTTTACAAATGTAAAGGTTGGTATGAAAATATTTTTTAAAATAAAAAAAAACATTCGATCTATCAAGTATAAAATTCATCTCTACAACTTTAAAATAAAAATTTTAACTTACGTGACTTTAGACATAATAATTGTTAAAGTCTTAATTTAATTTTTAATTTCAGAATCCGTACCTGAAGCTGTTTGGCGTGAGCTGCCAGGAAACTTGCAGACTAAAATTAATGTTGACCCAAGTAGTCAAAGAGTTATGAGACTCGAGCGACCTACTTATGGTTAAATAAAAAATTATTAAAAATTAATAGCAATAATTCAAGAAAATATACATATAAAATTTCCTTTGTTATAATTAAATAATTTTAATCAGATTTGTTTTTAACATAAATGACTGTATTATTATAAATTTCCAAAGGTTTTATAAATTAAAAATTAAGTTATGTATAAAAGGCTAAAATAAGAGGTTCTTAATATTTCATTCAATAACACAAAGTATTAAATTCAATTTTTATTATTGTGACCATTTAATAATAATTTTATTTTTTATTATGATAATAATAATAATAATTAATTAATTAATTAATGAAGTGTGTAACGATCTCAATGAAATTGACATAAGCAGTCTTCTTACAATGCTTGCTCCCTTGCAGCTTGCAATTATTTAAAATAAAATACAGAATCAGTCATCCTATAATTAGGTATTATTATAATAATAATTGATAATAATTTCTGAATTATTCAGATTAAATTTCTAAACTGGTATAATCCATTCAATTATTTCACTTAAATTGCACGATATTATTATAGTATCACGAAAAAATTCAGTTTCTTGTCTAACTCATTTTGTCTTGAAATACGTCTTGCATGTTATTTATAATTACATTAATTAATAATTCATTTATTAATTAATTTAATTGTTCAACATATAAATATTCCTTAACTACAATAAATTATTATCATCGTAACATCCTGCTTATCTATATACACTATTCAAACAAAAATTAACCCGAATACTTTGAAGTTCTTGTACTAAACATCCAAAATACTAGGGTCGAACAGTAAACGTTTGTCTGAAAATTTTTTTCCAATTAATTATTTGTTAAAAAAATTTCTTTTTTTTCTAACTAAATATATTTCATACATACAATTTAATTTTTAATATGGCAGTGGTCATTCAAAAAACATTTTTAAGGCAGTTGGGCACCCTTAGACATTATATGAAGAATTCTTTCTAATTTTTCATTTATATAAAGACGAATAATGATATTATTAATTTCATTTAAATATAATGATGTGATTAAAAACTATAAAAGTTTATAGTAATAATATGTGATATGTCCAAGAAGGCCCATCTACAATACAATCGTACGATAAAAAACAATCGACCCTATGTAATAATTTATAATATAATAAATAATAAATATTTTATAATAAAATTATTTAATGAGAGACTATAATTATTAACATACTCCGAGCTTTGTGTATAATTTGATAGTTAAAAGACGATTATTGAGAGTTGAAATTTTACCAAGTAAATTTCGTCTTTTTTAAATGTCATTAACGCTATTATTGTAATAATTATTATTGTTGTTATTGTTTTTACTTGATGAAATTGCTCGGAGTATTGGCTCGGGTCACCAAGCTTCTGTATAACGTACGTCAAATTCTTGAAGAGCTGGCAAACGCTTTTTAAGTGATTCAAACGTTTGAGCTGATAATTTGGTGCTATTTAAATTTAGTTTCCTCAGACTTGTTAATGCTATTAACATAAAAATAAATAAATTAATATCAAATAAATAAAGAAAAAAACAGAATTGAAATAGTCAATAAAGATATAAAAGATATTAAAAGTCATTCATTAAATTTTATAAAATAGTATACTTACAAGCTAACGTAGAGATTCCTTTATCAGATACAGGTGTCTCACACAAATTTAGCACCTGAAGTTTCTGCAGATGCTCACTTATCATTTGGAGTCCAGCATCACCAAACTGGGTCGCCCATAAGTTTAGATATCGTAAGGCAGGCAGTTTAATAAGCTGTTCAGCACATGCAGATGTTACTGAAGTGAATGCTAAGCTAAGACACTCCAAGTTTCCTAATGCACCACCACCGAGAAGGAGAGCAACATCGGCATCCGTAGCACGAACAGGAAGAGTCAGTTTTTTTGGACCTCCTTTTTGTTGCTATCATAATAATATAAAAAATTTTTTACTTATTATTTAGAATAAAATTTTCAAATTCCTGAATTATTGTAAATAATTGAACAAAATATATTACCAGTTCTTGTAAATTTCTTTGTCGTTGGCACAAAGCAGCATAACGTTCTTTTCCAGAGGGTGATGATTGAAGAGCAGATACTACTTGAAGTCTAGCTTCCTCATTGGGTAAAATACGCCATTCAAGCATAAGGCAAAGAGCTTCTTGAGCTGCAGCACAACCTCTTACGGCCAAAAGAATACACGCACTTCCTGTTTGTTTTAGTAATGAACTGATGAACTTTTTCCGTCGACAGCAACATCCTAATGAAGTTGTTAACTGAAATGAATAATACTTCATTAATTAGACAAAAAAACGGTAATTGTTATTTCAATAAAAAACTATAAATACTTGATCAGCAAAGAATATTTATGTATAAGTGAATAATTTCTTTGTTGTATTACGTACTTTAACTTTTATAAAAAATGGCTTTCCCCACTTTTTATTGTTACGTATTATGAATAATATATTTTTTGTTAGGACAAAAAAATTAACTTTATTTGTATCATATACTTGGTAAGAATTAAAAATAATTTACGAGATATATCAGTCTCACACTAGTGCTTAATAAGATGTTAATTAATTTTTATTACCATTCATAAATATGAATATTATTAAAAAACTATATTTATTCATTAGAAAAGAAAAAATAGATCTTTTCTATCAAATGTAATCTGTTTTTACTAAATGAGTTAAACAGTTTATAAAATATTAGTAATCGTTTAAAAATTTTCAAGAATTATTGATGACGACATTACATAATAATTCGTGGGTTTCGAAACCTTATATTTATCTGATACTTATTGAGATATTTGAGTATTTTGGCAAGTATTCTAAAACTTGAACGAGATATTAATAAACAAGTGTGCATCAACAACTTATTGAAATACACTTACCATTTCTCCAAATAAAGTGCCGTCATCAGGGCAAGTTGGACTAGACGGAGCAGTGATATGAATCCAACCTGGTCTTGGTTCACGAACAGGTAGAAGAACTCTATGAACCGTACAACGAGAATCAGCAGTAAGCCTTCGCATTACACCCAACATAACAGCTTCCTGAACCTCTTTATTTGCTAATGCTCCTTCAGGGAATGGAACCGGTTGTAATAACGCACTAAGACCAGGTCTCCAATCTCCATATTCAGATCTAATTTAATTGATTCGTTAATCTATATTGTTCTCAGTTTGTACTTGTTTTAATTATACAAATAAAACTTACGTTATTGTTAATACTAGAAGATAACACTGAAGAGGTGGTAAGGATGGGATTTCACCAGATTCACAATTGCGAATTTCAAACCTAATAATTAATTGACAAGTATTTTTAAAATTACTGTTCGCTTTTTCAACTTGATTTATTGAAATGTTTTAATTACCTATGAAATATTGCAGCAACACATATTGATACTAAATTAGGCAAAATTCGTGGATGAGGACAATCACTTCCAGGCCCATGAATTGAACTGATATATTCTCTGATTGATTGTCCTCCATCGTCATTTTCATATAGTGCTGCAATAAACATTTGAATGAGTTTTCTCATATCTGGAGATTTTCCAAAATCTACAGTATGCTTGAGACATCGAGTTATTGCTGGTGCAAGAGCAGGAACAAGAGATGACCGTGGATATTCTTGAGTTAGATTGGCTAGAGTACGAGCGAGAATTGGTGGTGGAGCAGCTTTTTCTAAAAGCGGAGCAGCAACTGAAAGAACTGTTTCTGCCCATCTTCTCTGATCTCTTCTTAATTCAAAATTTTCTTCAGCTTCTAAAATTTTTTTCTCATCAGTCTCGTGAATCTTTTGTGTAATTGGGTCTTCTAAAAGCTTCGCTACTGCTTCTAGTGGTGCACCATTGACTCTTTCATCTTGTAAAGGAGTCCACAAAGCAAAGTCTACCATAGATTTTAATTCTTTCAGAATAACTTCTTCTTTTGTTTTCGTAGACACTGTATGTTGATACTTGAAAATACTTTTCTGCAAATTGAAAGAATAAATAAATAAATATTTACGTATGCTATTTTTAGTACATAGTATATCTTTTATGCTCATTTTACAATAAATGTCGAACTCAAATAAAAAAAGTTGTTTTCTATTCAACGAATAAATAAATAAAAAAAAACATTTCTACTTTTCATTTATTAGTTTTAGTTTTTACAAATTTTATTTTAAACTATTTATTATTGTTGAACATTTGTTCAATAGTAATTTGTGCACCTGATGGAATAAAAATGTTCGGAGATTTTTATTCAAGAAAATGAATCAATTGAAAATCACTTTGCGTGAAAAAAATTTTATTCCATCGACCAACGTTATTATTTCCATTCTAAAATGAAAAAATGAAATTGAATTTTTTCCTTGCATTGATTTCAGATATAATAATTTCTAAATCTATAGAAAAATTTTTTTTTCAATTTTCACTACAATAGATAATCACTATTTGCATCAATAAAGAATTATTCTTACCTTCCAAAGAATGGAATGGTACCATTGATTTCGAGTATAAGCATTACTTGCTTGAAGAAGCAGTGAACCATCTGGTAAAACAATTCGCAAACAATATTTATATGTTGGATCCCATCTAGCAACAGCATATACTTCTGTCATATTACTGTAAGGAACTGGCTGCTGAAGAAATCCTGTGAGCTGAAATTAATAAAAAAAAAGAAGGTAAAATATCTATTTCTTCAAATATTTTCAATTTAAAAGTTTTTATCATTTAAAAAAAATCACTTTTAATGATTGAACCATTAAATTGCTATCTTGAAGATTTGAAATAGTTTATTACCGAACAACTTGAGTGTGTCGATGTAATCGAGTATATGGTTGGAAGAGATCGTGAAACTTAATTGCATTGAAAAGTGATTATATTGAAACGATCATGTGACTAGCAAACAGTACTCCAGCAAAATGTGTTGAATATTATTACGGTTCTCTTATCAAGAGAATTACTAGTTTAAAACCATATCAACTGTTTCTCTCTTTCAGTTATATTAATCATAAAGTATCTACATGGTCTAATCTTTTTCAAAATTACATCGATATCGTTAAACACAATAGTCGTTGGAAATTATTGATGAAGAAATAAAAGAAAATCAGGAATTTTATCCAACATTAACTTATTCTAAAAATAGCAAAATACTATTTTTTTCTATTTCCTACATACAGACTTTTTGAAAGCAATTCACAAAAGATGAAATGGACTCAAGTATGTCACTAGGTCGTTGCATTTTCTGGCAACGTCCGGTATATTATGAATAACCCCTTTCTCTCCATCCTTTTACATTCCAAGTCTTATCGACTACTCCATTCATGTTCCTAAAGTGCACCAAATACAATCTAACCTCTAAAAATGCACTAAAATTTTTTTCAACTGACCAATTAAAGTAGTCTATCGAGAGAATAAAATGTCCAGATATAAAATCTATTTTATTGAAATAAAAAAAAAAGAAGAATTTAATAAATGTCAGTATAAAAAAAATATATTTCACTTAATTTTTAAAATAGTAATTGAAAATAATTTTATATTTAGATTACTGAAAAAGCTTTCAAGTGGAACAATGAAAGTAACAACATCAAAGTTGTATGTTTAAATTATTTGTTTTATATAAAAGCATTCACAACAGTATTTTTTTTCACCTGAAAGTACATTTTATATTAAATAATAATACATATAGTTGACAATTATTGGAGAGATATTAAAAAATGAAAACATTTACTTGGTGATTATAGTTGTACATAAACGATGAAAGAATAAACTTTAGCGTTAGTTCTATATGCAATAATAAAAAAAAATTAAAACGGAATTTGATTGGCCTAGTTGCATAAATGGTGGACAGGTGACGAGGGTAATGTGCTTTATTGAAACTTACTCAATAAGTTTTGAAATATACCTATCTCACATATGCCCGAATGCAAAGTGGAACGTTCAAGTAGAAACTACCTCAATGATCAGACATAAAGAATGTAGAGATGAAAAATGTTTGAATTATTACACGCTCGCGTGCTTTTAAGTTTTTTTCTCCCTTTTTCGAGTACTTTATCATAGCTCAACTACATAAAAAAATGAAAGAACACTAGGGAAGGTAGTATAGAAAACGTTTGCATATAGAGAAGAGATTGAATGACGTCAGAGATGAATCTAGGCCGTGGGTTGAACGACTGTTCGAGTGAGCTTAACCTAATCTCCCGTTGGCTTGTATCCACCCTCAATGAATGCCAACCACTATCACTAGCGTAATGAGGGTGCAAAGACAGTTGAGTTCTAGTTTAACCATCAGGAATTCTCTATCCCCCTTTTTCTTCATTTTTTCTTTCTTTTTTTTTTTTTTTATTGTCAATACACATAAATATTCACATAATTATTGATAGATTGTCTCTAATTTAACGATGAAAAGATTAATCGATAGGTCTGATACATTATTTGTATCCACTTTGAAGAGTTTAGTGAAACAAATTAGGGGGTTAGGAAAAAACAAAAAATTCATCAAAATGTTTTTTTAATCTGTCGATATAATATTGATCAGTGTTAGTTTTTGTTATAATTTGATTTATATTTTATGTTACATAGTTTAATATTCATAGAAAAATAATGAGTTTTTTATCGCATCATGTACACTCTCAATTGTTTGATGAGGTTATGTTAAGTTATTAGAATATAAAATTTATTATCACAAAATTTTTGTCAATGAATTAATCATTTTCTGTTTTTTTTTTTTTTTAATTAATTAATAATTACGTTTTTATCTAAAGTGTATATTATAGTGATAAAAAAAATATGTTAATTCAAATGCTGAATTTAATTCATTATAATTTATTTCGTATTTGCGATATTCAAGCTTTTACATTGATTTAATGTAAATTATTCTGAAAACAATTATAAAATAAACAAATTTTATCAAATCTCTCATACGAACGAACTTCTATTATCTTTAATACATAATTTAATGAGGTAAAAAATTCTATAATATATCAAACCATATGTGATGACACTTATTACAAAAGTATACTTTCAAATTTAACAAATTTTATTTCAAATTATTTAAAATGTTACTCGTGTAATAGGATGGATAATATCATCACCATTTACATAAGATATAAAAAAATATATTGTTAAATGTTCAGTATCTAATTGAAACACAAAAGAGTTTTTGAGTATGAATAGATTCAGCCCAGAGTATTATGCATGATACTCCAAGAAAAACAGATTTAATTAATAATTCATGATATTTTCGTGAATAGAAGTGCTACAAGAATTTTAATGACTGTTATAGTTATGTTAATGAATAATAATCATTATAACAATGGTTTAATTTAATTTAGAAATTTCTATTAAGAAAAACAACATTCTTATTTATGACATTGTTTTCACACTTTGTAATTCTTTCAAATTTTTTAAAACTTATTGTCATAAATTAAAAAATGAATTGACTTTTATCCACTTAGTTGCATCAAATTAATTACAATAATGATATACAATCAACACAATTAATATAGTATTAAACTGATTTATTAATTATGAGTAAATTTTTTTTTTTTTTCAATTTCTTTAGATTATTTATCTTGTAAAGATGATTTATAAAACACTTCTTTGATAAAAAGAATAATTAATATTAATAATTATTAAATAACGCACAAGTCACACCTACAATAAAGAATAAATTATCAACTACTTGAATAAGCTATTTGTCACAAAATTGAGCAATATAAAAACGTGCTCTTGTATGAATGTAATTTTTCTTTTATATCTGTCATTGATGTGTAAAGAAAATCTGTCATGATTAGCACAATCACGTGTGTTATTAACTTAGCTTATTATCTGTTAGAATAAAGTTCGCATCAACGCTATTACGTCTTGTCAGGAATTTCCGTCAGAATTGCTTGAATGACATCTGAGATAGCTTATTTCAAATAATGCATGTTTATGATTAATATGATACCGTTTATGTGTTAGGTAAATGTATAATGAGAGAAATTTTTTATCTATCAGATCTCTACCATTTAATTTATAACACGAATGCTAAAGTAATTCTGCTAAATAGACGATTTGATAAACATCTTTTTCCTTTTACTGACTGTTAATGAACTTTGTAAAATAGGATTTTATTATATAATGTCATTTTTGTTTAATTAAATTTTATTCAAAGTATGAATGAACTTGAAAATCCAAAAAAAAGATCATGGTATAAAGAAAATTGTAACGTTTTTTCATGCTAAATCATAAGTAAATTTCTATTCATCCAGTTTAATTCATAACTATTAGAGAACATGCTAAGATTATTGTAAAATATATTCTAGGCAGAAAAGCAAGTCTGTGTAATTGTTAGTAAAAATTTCTTTCATATAAGCCTATATAAAATATATGTTTAATCAGCTGATGATTTTTAGTTGAATTTTATTAACTAGTCAAACTTGAACGTTTCAAGATAAAGTTGTTTTTTTCAATGCTCCATTATTGTAATAATAGATAGTAAAAAATGGAAATTGGTAAGAAAAAAAAAAAAAAAAACATTGTAAAAAGCGTTTAATACAATCGATAAAATTTAGATAAATTCGATAAACTAAAAATAAGTATATTTATAATTATTCAAAATACGTCTGTATAGAGTAATAAAAAATATTTGTAATTTTTTTGTTAGTTTTTTAAGTTATAATATACTTAGAAATATCATTGATTAAAGTTCATTTAAACATAGCATGAAGATAATTATTTGAAAATATACAATATATCTAAAAATAAAACTCAATATTAAATATATCAAATTATAGATTATCGTTTACGTAAGTGATAAAAAAAATATCAATTATCAAGGGTTTCATTATTCTAATCTACAATAAAAATGTTATTTATTGCTTATGACATAGATTGATAAGTGAAGTAATGATGATAAAAAGACAAAAAGTATTGTCATAATGATATAAATGATGTAAGTCGAATGCAATAGTATCAACTAATGAAGCATTAAATTGATCGATTAAAATAAAAGACTGGTTTTATGATAAACCATACAATATATTCTATAAAGATAATGTTTGATTTTGTGACCATATAAACCACTTAATTTCCATATGAAGACTAAGACTATATCAGAGACAATCTGCGGTCTTCGTCTGCGGAAACTCATATCCAGGGTCAACTTTGACGTCAAGCCTGAGCACGCAAGACTCATGAGTGTTATATCCTCGATACAAACTACACGGGAAGTAGGTTCCTTATTTTCAACCAAGAACATATTCGACAAGGGTATAACCGCGAAAAATATGATATTTTATATTTATAATATACATTCATTTATCTCAACCCTACTTGACATCATATACACGTGCTCTATCTGGTCTTACGTCTTACATCTATGTATACATTAATACGCCCTATACGACACGTCAACTTGACGTACAGCATCATATTATCTCTCACATTGACTCATCCAGTCTCATGAGATCAAAGATTTACTTTTGTCTTTTCAAAAGAACGTACATGAAACTTTACTGACATTTAAGAGAGTCATAAAGTTAAGATGACTAGCATCTAAATGTTTTTGTGATGAAAACGACAAATGATCTAGCAAAAAATTTATTCTACACAATTTATGTGCGAAAATAAATCTTTTATAAAAGTCATCGTATAAATGAATTGATGAACATTTATTATTATTACTTTAATAATAAAAAAAAATGTTATTTTTTAACAAGATTTATTATTTTCTAAAATTTTATCTCACTATATAGTTAAATAAAAAAATAGTAAACAATTTATACTATTATATATATATATATTATCTAAAAATAAATCATTAAATATATACTCGTTTACACTGATTTATTTTAAAAAGTGTGCTTTTTAGAAAAATTAATCTATATTGTTGTTTAAAAAAAAAAAAAATTGTATTATTATTTATAATTAATTATTTGTTTTGAAAAATTAAATATTTGTATTATCAACAATGTTTTTATATAAATATTTAAATATTTTATTTTAACAACAAATATTTTAATAACAATGTTTTCTTAATAACGTTTGTAAAAATATTATTTTAAATGAAATTAAATAAGTAAATTATTTTTAAGTAGTGATTGAAAATAGATAAATTCCAAAAAAAAATAATATTATAATTCATTAAATAACACCTTACATTTATTAATTAAGAAAAGTTTTTTTTTTTAATTTGTTTTAATTTTCTTTAATTTTTCACCCTTAGAGAGAATTGTAACAAATGTCATTATAAACTCATGTTTAATTAAAATTAAATTAAAAGTTAGAATTTTATCAACGATACTTTTACGCCCCTTTTTGAACTCAATTTTATGATAGACTCATGCTAATATATGTATGCTTCTCTGTAAAAGAGGACTAATTTATTTCATTTGATTAAGAAGTTTGTGGTCAACTTGAGATGAGTTTTACTTTGAATAAATAGTAACATAAAATTGTCATTTCATAATGACACTTATCAAACATATTTATTTCAATTGATAAAAAAATTTAATTAATAACAATAATAAATAAATAAAATAAAACTTATTAAAAAAATTGATATACAACGGTTTAGTTTCAATTTTATTATCTTACTCTAAATTCTTTAAATTCTAGTACACTTAGACATAGACATAATATATAGATCTAAGATATTATCATCATCTTTCTTTTCTTTCATTGAAGTACATAGTGACTTTTTTATTTCATAGAAAAATGCTTGTACACATGCGAAGACGTCACATATCTTCAATATTTATTACATTCAATTTTTTCATCTACAGCTGTTTGGTTTCATAACACAAATGTTTCTACTCTACCAATTTATTGAATTTTCTCATAATAATGCATTAGTTGATACTTTTTTTTTTTAAATTAATTTTAACATTATATATTGTTATCAAAATAAATAGTTTTATCATAAGTATAATGACGTCATTAAAACTGCCATTGACGTCTTTAATTGATAAATAAATGAAGAAATTAGATGTTTATCAAACAAAATAATACATATTAGAACGTGTACTTTAAATGTAATATTTTTTTAAAATTATATTAGTGACGTTAATGATTAAAGTAAACTCAATATTATAGAGAAATGATTATTTATTGAGGTATGAATCAATTCACCGATAAATCATTGATCATATTGATTAATAATACAGTTCAAGTATAGATCCATAAGGTTGGAATGCCAAAATGATCATGCAAAATAATCTAAATACATTTTTGCTATAATTTATTATCCATTTGATTATGCTTAAATTATTTTTTGCTTCTTTCTCTCTTTTTCTTATCATTTATTACATCGACGTATGTATATATTCTTACGTAGTATTTCTTGATTCGTTATGAACTGTCGAATGAAAGGCAAATTTAAAATGTACATAGACGTCATTTAACCCAACTGATTAATTAACATTATTCCCTCATACTTTTCCAATAAATATTTTTTAATAGTTTCACTGAATTAAAATGTCATCAAATTAATAAAAGTATTCTTATTTTTTTGATCAATTAATGAGTAAATAATGGTAATTTTAAATTCTAGAATACAACTTTAATAAAAAAAAAATGAAACAAAAGACGAAATTTTAAAAAACTTTAACTGAGCACATTGGCCTGATCAAAATTTATTTTAAGACACAGCAAGTGATGCTAAATATAAATTACATTAGTATCAAGAAAACAATGAGCTGGTTAGGTGATCTAAATTAACTATAAACCATTCAATTAGAAAACAAGTGTAAACAGTGATAATAATATTCTAATGATCAGCATGATAAATTTATTCTATAATCTATTGAAATTTAAATACTTTTACGTCAATTTAAAGAACGAAATAATTAACACAATATTTTCAATATTTATTGAGACAGGCTATACTTGGCCAACCATGCAGCAAGTTTAAAAATAAAATGTAAATATTAATCATCACTATAACCATTATTAATTCATTAATGAAATGTTATACAATTATTGAGGAACAAAAGAGTTTACGATGATTTGACTTACCGTTTTAGATGATAAGCAAGCATCATTTAAGTACAGATGATGAGTTTCCCAACGTCGAAGGAATTTACTTGATAATATTTTGCTGACTAGTGTTCTAGTATGATTGAGATAGCACACCTGAATGTCACCTTCTTCAACGGGTTTGAACCTTGGGCCAGCAGGTCCAGGACTTGGACTTGGACTAGAGGATCCACTGGTAGATAAACATCCAGATTGTTGTTCAAGATTGGGACACGAGCGTGCAGCTGGTAAACTTGGTGGATCCAGGGTATCAGTTTTTTTAAGACTCATACCAACAGGCGTACACTTGCCAGTCACGGAACTAGTCTCGATCGTCGCCGAGGGCTCAGAGTCATTGGACCTCGTTGCGACGCCAGACGACAATTGGGGTGAACTCGTGCTCGTGGTTTCTTGTCGCATCGCGCCGCCATTCACAGATAGAAAAGAATAATATGGAACTTGAACGGGAGCAAGACCGACCGAAATCGCAGCGGCTGGACTAGACGGCAGTGAAGAACCTTCCTCAGTTTCTGTTTCAGCTTCACAGCAACTTTCGTCTTCCTCTTCCTCCTCCTCCTCTACCTCCTCTTCGCTGAATCCATCCAATGATGGTATGTCATTGGCGGAGCTAGCCTTGATGCCTCCCACCATCTTCTTCTTGATGTCAACGTCTTCTCTAGTCATAAGTGGAGTTGATAAAAGTCGCGAAGACCTTTGGCAGTTCTTCGAGGATGAAGAAGATGTTGAGATGTTGGAGAATGGTGAAGACGAGTTGACATCTTCATTAGAAGCTGATGAATCTGATCCCAGTAATTTTCTTCTCCATCGTCCGGTAGCTTCTGGCAAAGAAGCTTCTTCTATATCATTCGTTGTTACGGATATGTCCAGAGTATCCAGTGGTGTTGAGTCCGGTGATAGTGGATCAATTTCTAAATAATCTGCTTTAATTCCAGGAAGTGTATCAGTACTACTACTTGCAGATATTGAAACTTCGTTATCGATATATTGAATTGATGATGATCCTGATCCTTCACTAACAGCTTCTGAACTCCGTCTTGTTTCTGATCCACTTCTAGTTTTCAGTGTGTTACCACTCTTGGTCGTCTGTTGCGTGGGAAGTGCTGGGGTCGTGACCGAACTGCGAGGCGTGCGCGTGAATGGACTCTGGAAACAAAACATCGCGACTCTTCAATACGATCACGAAATCGGATAAACCTTGAATGGTAGTTTGATGATAAATATTTTAATTTTTAACGTCTGATAAGTTAAATGCTGAAAAAACAATCTGGTGACAAAGAATAGACTTTCCGGAATGCCCTGTTAAGCTTTCTCATTAACACCACTGAGCGTTCTTTGAAATTTACGCACTTGAGTTAATTATTAAATGTCATTGCGATGAGTTGATAAACTTTTTTGAAGAATCAGCAGAATAAAATAGCTCAAATATTTTTTTTTTTCTTTCTTTTTACGTTTCAAGTTATTAATTATATTTATATAACTATTTATAATATCTTCGAACTCAAATGAGTCTCATTTTTTTACGAGCCCTCCGGGCAAAATGTCTACACATTTTCGTTGTCAGCTCTACTTTTCCCAGACAATTTCATGATAACATTTCAAACTAGACACATTTAAAAAATCTTACTTTCAGAATAGATTTATACTTATTTTAGTCACTATTTTTTCTCTGATAAAAAATTAACTTTTCACAACACAATCACAATTGTTACAACACTATTCGGAAATCATTTTTTGTTTTCGAAGACCGTCTTTAGTTCTATTTTATCAACTAAATACTTGTTTGAATTTTTAAAAAATTGTTAAAAAATTATTGAAACTATTTTAAATTAACAAATTTATAATCTTTAAAATTTATCAGTTAAATTCGTGTTACTGTCGACGAGTTGTATTAGGACGGGCGTCAAATTCGAAGCTGAGCAGTAGCAGTGAAGCAGAAGCGGCTTGAAAAAGTTGGCGTTGCGGCGCACGGCGTCTCTCTACTCTGTGGATCGATGAAACTCGTGAATGTTCGAATATAACGGGTGCTATATACTTTTAGCCAATGAATTCAGAGGTGCAATATAGCACCTATATTGCTTAAGACACCCATGCCAAGGTATGATTATGACTCAAATACTCACATGACAATTGGAGCTTTCCCTTGTAACCGACGTCAATTGTTGATAAAATTTACTAACGTAATTTACCACTACAATTGTCAATTTTAATATCTCTACATTTTGCATAACAACTATATCATTGGTGCCATTAACGTTAATGTGTTTAATATCTTTCACGATAATTCTAAATGCTCTATTCCTGATCCATTGAAATTTAATTTTATCTATCTGATTGATTCAACTTCAACAAATATTTAATATACGGAAATACAAATAATTCTAAATTTGGCACCAAAGACATTCCTGTTAGCCAAAAATGATCAGAATTACATTTTTATTTGTAAATGAATAGTAAATTATTTTTAAGTGATGAAAATTAATCAATTACTTAAATTTTCTGGAAAATATTCCTAACTAATATATTATAAATTGTTGTAAAATTAAATTTAACATTTTTCTCTGATAATTTACTCTAATAGATATAGTTAAATTTAATTTTCTAATGTATATTAACTATTTCTAATTTTATATTAACTAAGCTGTCTATAGATAGCATTGAAGGTTTCATTCCACTGCTAACAGTTAATAAATAATCATAATTAGAAAAATTAACTTAATTAAAAAATAATGAAGGCATTCTAATAATATAACTTTTAACTCTATATTAATGCCTTTAAAAGTTATGTATTATTAATAAAATCAACTCTTAATTACCATTAATAGTAATTGAAATAATTCTAATTATAAACATTAATAAATTATCGGCTTGAAGTTCTTTGTCTTTATTTTATAGATCATAAAGACAATATATCAATTGTAATGAATGTAAAAACTCTAAAATATATAATATTATATATAAAAGTGTAAATATAAATTTTTTATTTATCATAGTGTAGCTTATTTTTTGCCTTCCGCCATCCAAGTCTCAATTTCTTCAATACTGGAATAGAAATAAAAGGAAAATGATAATAAAAGTACGAGGAAAAGATAATCATTCAATTCCTCTGATTGTAAACTTACGTGCGTGGTACTTGAGTCAAATTTTCAACACCTGTTTCCGTTATCAAAACGTCATCTTCAATTCTGACGCCTCCAAATCCACGAAATGATGATAATACATCAGCATTGATGAATTTGCTTTTATCAGGATCAGTTAAAGCTGAATCAAGTAACTGGAACAGTCATTAATTGATATATTATGTCTCTTATCAAATTCAATTGATCTATATTTCAAAAAATACTCTAAAAAAAACCAATAACATACAAATATTCATATAAAATTTAAATATAATTGTTAAATAAAAAGAATGGATAGAATGTAATAAATTTTTCAAATACTTACTGAATCAATAAAATAACATCCAGGTTCTACTGTCAATACCATTCCAGGTTGTAAAGTTCTTGCAGTTCGTAACTTTCTAATTCCTGGCTTCTTTGATCTAGTTGGACATCCTTCAAGATAACCACCAACATCATGAACATCTAACCCAAGTAAATGTCCAAGACCATGAGGTTGAAATGTTTCATTTAAACCAACTTCTATCATTTCTTTTACATCTCCTTTCAATAGACCACCTTCTTTCAAACAAGTCAGCATTACTTCATTGGCTAAAAGATGCATATCTGTCCAACTAATGCCTGGTTTAGCAGCTTCAATTACAGCATTGCGAGCTTTTAATACAGCATTGTAAATAAATTTTTGAGCTTTGCTAAATTTTCCATTGGCTGGAAAACTACACGTAATATCCGCAGCATAACCGCAATAGTTTCCTCCCATATCAAAGAGACTAAAAAAATATCATAAATGAATAAAAAAAATTTTTTAATTTATTTTAAATTTGATAAAAAGTTATTTAAACTAAAAAAATAAATATTTACCACATATCAGTAGCTTGTAAAACTCTATTATTTGGTGCTCCAGCATGACCATAATGTAAAATTGATGCATTATGACCAGTTCCGCAAATGCAAGTGTAAGAAACATGTCTACATCCACCAACAAAATAAATATGATGTTTAAAAATTGACTCAGCTTGAAATTCAGTCATTCCTGGACGAATACTCTGCATTACAACTTTATGAGCATCTGAACTGAGTTTGATCACATATCGAAGAACTTGAATTTCCAATGGTGATTTAATAACACGGCTAGAAAAAAAAATTTTTTATAAATATGCTTATTTTGAACAATAATTCTTGAATGAAAATTTGATAAATTTAAATTGATTTTGAAGAATTAAATTTTAAAGCTATGTAAAAGATATATTTGAATAATATTAATGTACTAGAGAGTATTATAAGATTTTGAATGGTTCTTCAGCATTTTGAAATCTTTCATTCAAATATTTTAGCAGCCAATTGTTATTATCATTCTTGAGTTTTAATAATGTCATATAATTCAGTGTCATCACACGAAATCCTAATTTTTTCAAGTGTCGTAACTTCATAATTTGTGGCCCAATTAAAGATATAGAACTTTGACAATAATGCTCAGGTAAATGAATTAGTACTGCAGTTTTTATTTCTTCTTTTGTATTGTAATTTAAAGAGAAAATAGACGAGGTCATTGGAAACGGATGTATAACTGCATCAATGACGTACAAATCAAGTGCCGATAACTGGCTGAGAATAACGGCTCGGCTTAATTTATCTTCTCCACCTGCAACTTGCGTCAATTCTTGATGAATTTGCTTTTCAATTTGTCCCAGACGAAGTTTTGTCGATACATTTTTATTAATCTTATCAACAGGGAAAATATTTCCGGTATATTTATAACCATACTCAATAGTCATTATTTTATTGAATAACAACAATTTCTTTGTAATCTCTTCGTTGAAGTTTTGTATTTTATTTTCACGGTTAATTTTATGTTTTGAAATTAATTGAAACACGTGGTTAATAAGTTTTGTTGGATAGTTTTCGAGATAAATACAAGCAAGTACAACATCAAGTGAATCATTAAGATTTAATTGATAAAACTTTGTACAGAGAATATCTTCAAATGTTTGCCAAAAATTTTTGTGCTGAATTTGATAATTTAAATAGCCAAAAGGGATGAATATTGATGCTATTAATTTGCCAGATATTTTATCAGCATTTTTAAGTAAATATTCACTACATCGATCGCATATAATTAGATTTCTTACTCGAAATTTTTTACAGTAATTCATTATATCTGAAATTAATTCAGGATTTTGGATATTATAGCTTTGAATTTGAATTAATTGCTCTAGTGATTTTTCTATTTCAGAGTTAAATAAATTAGAAGTATTCAAACTCTTTACAAAGTCTAAAATTTCCGTTTCAGAAGCCGATTTTATGTACACCATTGCCCATTTACTTATATAATTAAGACATTCTTTATTCAAATCTAAATTACTTCTAAATGATATGATTATTTGTGCTATCTGTGATCCATTTAATTTTTTCCAGTAATTTGATAACTTTTGTATTAATATACTTTGAATAATGATCTTGCTTTTATCAAACAATGGCAACAGTTGGAATAATAATACCAAATTTTCAGCGTTTATTTCGTGTTCATTATTTTGTATTCCAAACCAAAAAATATCCAAAGATGATTGATAAAAAGCTGCATCAGAAAATGATAGTGATTTTATTACATCGATTAAATATTTTAAAGATAATTCACCGTCACTTGCTCTCAACAACATTTCATTAATCAGTTGATCTTTGTAAAAATTTTTTGGTAAACTTCTTTTATCTTTCATCAATACATGTAAAGCTTCTATTATTAAATCATTGCTTTTGCTGCTGACTATCATTTCGATTAGTTCTTTCAATAAAATATTTCTTCTATTTATATCTGATATAAAATACTGATTGAATAAATAATTCAAATCTTTATTTCTATTATTATATTCATAATCAACGAGCTGTTTTAAAACTTTCAAAGCAATACGAGAATTTATTTCTTGAATAATTATGATTTCTAGAAGCTTAATAGTTTTATTAAAAATGAATTTTGATAGATAGTTTCGAAATTTTTGAGAATTTGATGAAAGTTCAAATATATTGAAATCTAATTCATTAAAAATTGAAACTATCTTTGCTTGTTCTTCTTCATCATCATTTGTAGCAATGTCTTCATCGATATTCTTTCTACGACGTTTTTTATAATTTTTTTGTAGAAAAATACTCATCGAATTTAATTTTTCATCACTGATAGTTGTACATAAAATTTTTCCTTTTTTAATTTTAATTTTTTCCCGTAAATAGTCGGTAAAAATATGCTTGAAGTTTTTTTCTTTATTCCTATCCAGTAAAACATCAATATTTTTAATTGTACGAACGATGATAGGTAATTCTTGTATTATATTATTTTTATGATAAATCACTGTAGACATTATGAATGGTTCAGAATTATTGATAATTTGTTCATGACTTTTGTAGTATCTTCCGTTGATAAATTGAAAATTTAATTTCAACAATGATGATAAATATTTCAAGTTTGATAAAATCATTTTTAACTTTTTTTTTTGGTAAATAATTTTATCTCTTGAGTAATTCACATTGAACTGTTTGATTCAAAATAATTAAATATACTTTATTACGATAGTAAAATGATGAAATTATCTGCGATTCATTTTTGTTTCTTTTTCATATTTTATAAAATGAAATAATCACTCATAACTTGATCGTTTTTTTATACTTATACTGTAAAATAATAATAAAAAAATAATTACTCATAATTTTGTTACCATTCACATATTTCCGGATACAAGATTGTGTTATTGACGTTGAATCTGATAACAGAAAAAAACTTAATTAATGACTGAAACCATCAAAGGATTTATATATTTAGAAAAGAAATTACTTGTTTATTACCTCTCAATTCCATCAAACTTGGCTTCTCTTGAAAATAATCCACTGTCGCTATTTTGACCATGCTATAAACCAATAAACGTATGATATAAATAAAAAAGATTATCATTATTATGTTACTATAAAAATTTTTAAATATATATCTATTTTAAAATACGAATCATATAATAAAAATCAAAAATACTTTTATTATTAAGTATAGATTATCAATTAAGCTTCAAAAACCCACGTGTTTTAAAAATCTAATGTCATTCAACATTTAAAATACTCGCATATATTTATTTGTGTCTACGAATAAATTATAGCAAATAATATCAAAGAGATTTATTTCCAATTCTTTTAATGAAAAATAAATTTAAAAAATTATCAATCAACTGATCGTTCTTTTTTTCATCAATTAAATATTAATTTCATTGATAGCTGATGCAATGTTAGGAAGACCTTATCCATTTCTATCGCCTACAAATAACTTTCATATGAATTAAATGAATACAAATTATTTGCTCAATCTGATCGGAATAAAATTAAATAAACGTATGATATTTCCGTTAATTATACAAGTATTTCTTTTCTAAAACTATTCTTAAATCAAAAATATTTTTTAAATCAACAATGTATTCAAAAAATTCATTTCATATCTTGAATGACCAAATTTTTGTTTTCAATAATAATACTTTGCAAAATTATGTTTTTATTTTGACAAGTTATAAGATAAATGTAGTAATTATCATCGAGGTCATGCAGAGTAAGGTGCTACTAATGGCGACCTAGCGATAGGTTGTTGTGTATTCATTCGGGTGGCTTGTTCTTTTGACTTAACAACCTTGGAATGAGCGACCTACATTTCGCATGATTATAATATAAACCTTTTGAGACATTGTCCGAAAAATTTCTACATCGAACAAATTTACATTAAACAACAAATAATTTTCAGAAAATATCACCGTTTCTTATTAATATTATTATATTAATAAAAAAATCTATTAATACTATAACAAACTTACAAGGTAGATATTTATTAAATTAATCAACTTACTAAAGTTAAAAGAAGCTCAGCATTTTTTTTTTCCAACACATCAGCTATTTCATCAGTATAATAAGCCTCATCTACGCCATATCGACTTTTAAATTCTGCTAACGTACTCAATTTACCACACCAAATTTCGTACTCTGCTGGTAATCTTGGAAAAAATAAAATAGATATCCCTGATGCGACCTCCAGTGCTCCAAAACATCCAGGCTCTTCAACACCAAAGCACCATTGAAAAAAGGATTCCTGAAATAAATTCAATGAATTAATCAAGTCATCTATCAATACATTAGTTTAAAATCTATCTAATAAAATATTTATATGATAATATAATAAAATAATGATTTAATCGTTAAAATTAATAACATTACTAACAGAAAATGTAAAACAAATGATCTTGTCACAAGAATAAAGATTTTAATGTAATTATTTGATAACATCAATCAGATTAAATGATAGTTTTCAAAGCAATTTCCTTTAACTGTTTTTAGAGGGGTCAGAGTTTAAATCTGCGATTTTGTCTTGACATAAACGATCAACCATCAGGTCAACGTGCTCTTCCTACACACAAGTAAACTTACTTATACTTGATAATAGACGAAGTACTGTAATGTATCAGTTGTGTTGTTGCTTGCCGGAAGTACGCAGCTGATTTCATTAATATAACCAGAACCTGTACAATCGACCTGTCCATCATATCTTACTTCCATTTCACTTTACGATGGTTTTGAAATTAGGAGGAATATTCTTAGTAACAAAAACAAATGTACAACATCAAAGGTCGAATTTCATGCAAAAGCGCCGATGATGAGTTGAGATGAAAGAGTAAAGTAAAATTAGACAGGTGAAGATGTTATTTTAATCTTACGCACCTGCCTAAACTCGTAGTTAACATCAGTATCATTAAAAGGTACATCTTCACCACCTTGAAGAACAACAAATGCTCCTTTAGTTGGCACTCCAGTTGTTATTTTCAAACGATTTACCAGACGTGCTCGATTGTCACCAAAGAGGGACATTGGCACAGACATTGTGTGCTCCCCTCTTGCAAAAAACGATTGTTCTGGACATCTGGAATAAGTTAAATATAATCAAAAATAATCATTTCAGTTCAAAAAATTAAGAAGCTGGTAAAGTGATATATCAATCTTTCATTAATTAAAAACAAATATTGTTTCAAGTATTTAAACTCTTGATAAAAGATTAATAATCTTACTTGAAGGATGAAATTAATCGTAATGATTTTTTTAATTTTTTAAAAAAACTTGAACGAAAATGGAAGGCCATTGGGAGTATGTTACTGTATTAATATGTTAATGTGTAATAGTATATATATAGATATTATTTACAAAAAATGTGTTATGTAATAAATATACAGTCATACGTCGTACAATGCTCCCGCAGACTCACAGTTGTTGAGGAATGCGACGACACAAGAAAGATTGCGTGGGTTCTCATTCAACATCCGTCAGTTTTAGTGTTTTAGAAAGTTGATAAAGAATCATACCATTATTATTACTCAAATAAAATATGGTGATTGATTTTACGTATCTTTAAATTTTACACCTAAGACATTTATTATTTTGTAATTTGTATTTAGAAAAATTCCTTCCCATAACTATTATATATGTTTATAACTCTTTTTTTTAATCATATTTTCATAAAAATAGATCATTTAAATTCCAATAATTTTCTTAAGGTTTTTAAATTTTTAGTTAAATAAATATTATTATTACATTTTTACTTATATAATATTGAGATCAAAAATATAAATGATTTATTACTAAAATTTATTTATAACTATTTCATCTAATCTGTAATGAAAAAAAAATATTTTTTTTCTGAATAATGAATTATTCTTGATGTATGCCAAAAATAATAACAGAATAGTTGAAAGTATTTGTGAAATAAGAAAGTTATCTCTTTCATTTATCACTAAAATCTAATTGTATTTTTTGATTAATTCGGAATATTTATCAATTATATAATGACTTCAGTTCGAAAAGTGATAAAGAAAGTTTATCAGAAGAAATTTAGTTACCTTGAAGATAATTAAAGTAATTACCGATTATTGATATAATTATTATCATTAAAACATGAATAATAAATAATAAATCTGACTGATGCAAGCAGTTAAGCTGTATTTATTGGTCAAAATGTTGAATTTATGATCCGTTACTTCATTATAAAAGAAAGATGTTTATGTAAATTGTATTGTATATAGTTAAATTGTGCAAAATACATATGTTTTCAAAACGGAAGCACTTAGATTCACTCGACAGGTGTATTCGAGTTATATTTAAGTAGTGTCATTGCACGCTTCTCAAGTATAACCAGCACAATTCTCTAGTATTCCCTTGATTCTATGAATAGTTTTGTAGTTTTGCTATTTTTACTAAATTCATTACGAAATTATCATTGGCTATTTTCTTTTTTTAAAAAAAAAGGCTTAGAACTATGTAATTTTAAAATAAAAAAATTCCAATTTTTAATGTTTATTTACTTCTCAAAGACCAAGTGTATGTATATTCATTTTTAAATAAAATATAAATTCAATTCTATTATTAAATTGATATAAAATATTTTTTAATAATAAAATTAACTATGTTATTTAAAGCTTCGACTAAAAAAAAAAAGATACATAAACAAGCACTGTTTTTAATATGAAAAAACATCAGTCAATTTCATAACCTCAAAAGTTAATCAAGAGAAAGTATTTGGTCAATGAGTGCTAATTAACTATAGAAAATAGTTATTATATATTCAAATATTCATATTTCATGAAATTACAGTTTTTAAGAAGTTAAAATGTAGTATTGTAAGAGTAAATATATGAAAAAAATATGATAAAAGTTGCACTGTCAAGATAGAAGTAAACTGTAAGATGACTGATAGTAAATAAAGTATTTCATGTAAACTAAATGTTTAGAATAATTTTAAAATTATACAAACATTTTTATATTGACATCGGTTTTAATTTACAAGACAGTCCGGTTGGTGAGGCCTACTTTTTTGGGGGCATCGACACGAAAATATCACATAAATACACTTACTTGTTTGTAGACTCGGTAGCCATATTGGAAGTAGAAACAGGCGGTAGATTGTTGTGTAGTCAGACGTTTACATTCACATATAGAAAAAAATAAAGTAATGTGTACTGAAAAGAATGAAGCACACAGTGAAAGAATGAGACACACAGGTCTAACGTATTACTAAGCGTCTTAAGACAAAAATGAATACAAAGTAAATTGCGATCGACGTGTTTGTCTGCAATTTTAGTTATCAGTTTCCTGTTAAATACTGATAAAATTTATATACAAATGTACAAGCAGCTTGATGTTGTTAGTCATCCAATTACACCCAAAACAGGCTTCTATCAATAATGGTTACTCTTTTCTCGTTCTTATCTAATATTAATTAAACCAATAACCTCATCAAATTACTGATTATTCATTCTATATATAATTTGAACCATCCTTTAAAAACCATATTTCAAAAAATATGCCAAGTACATTGATTATAAATATTTCTTTCGAACTTGAACTCATTATTTCTTAATATGTACCTGTGTTGCATTATTATATTAGCTAAAGATAAATTATGTTTATTTGATAATTGAATGATCTATTGTTGTTGTTTTTTTTTTATTTTATTTAACGGTAGACAAGGTCAGTTTATCCGTAGACTTTCTGTTGAGACAGACATGCAAGTGCAGGTCGACATAATTAATCTTCATGCATAATTTCTTATTGCCAGAGGCATAGATTCCAATGTTTAAATATAAGAAAATAAATTTATTCTCTTAATCGTTCGTTGTAGACACTAATATCTGTTCCAGTTTTCACGATTCATCCTATTGAATATTTACTTACGAACATGGAATAAAAGTTATCAATATGGTACTTTCAGTAACGATTATAACTCTAGAATCTTCTATATCAATGCTACGTCACGTTTTATTAATGTAACCATCTGAATCATGGAATACATTTGATTACGTAAGTCCTTCTATACTTGTTTATATACATGCATTGGAAATAGTATTATTTACATTTGACAGTTATTTTCAGAAAGTATGAAAGCATTCTTCTTCATTTCTATTTATGAAATATTTTTTCTTTCACTTTTATAATTTTTGGAGTAAATAATATTCATAATCTGAACACATGTTTGAATTTTTAACAGTCAAGGATCCCAATGGCTAACGGACCAAGTATCATCTGGGAACCCTATACTAGCTTGGGTAAATTAAACGATTCCCTTCTTTGTTCTGTACTTTTAGAGCAAGGGCGTAGGATCAAGGGGAAATCACAATTAATTTGTTTACAGATCAATTATCAATTGATAGACATCAACATTGACATTTTTATTTCAATGAAGTAGTTAAAAAAAAAAGTCAATAAATGTAAAATTAATGGTATAAAGTGTATTTAAAAAATTCAATTGATCTTATTGATTTTTGTTTGAATAGTTAAACCTTAAGAATAGCAATAGCTAGTAATTGATTTTTGTTTTCAGACCTTTAAATGTCCTCGAATTATATATGACGATCTATACTCGTTTAACACTTACAAGATGACTCGACTATTTTTGCAATCTTCATTGAGACAATGTCGAATCGTATAGTCATAGTTATACAGGTTGTTTAGTTTGATGCAATAAAATTGTATCTTGCTGTAATGCGAATTCTACTTCGTAAAATGAGGTCTGCTGGCGCAATACAACGGTTTTGTGTTCCAGTAATGCCTTTAAGGTATATCTGATAGCCACCGACTGTTTGATATCGGTAACCAGCTGCCGCAAAACACGTCTACAAAGATATATATATATATATATGTATATAAACCAGGATGAAATATTATTTAATAATAAAGGGCATAAATATTTCTAAAAATGAACGAATTGTTACAAAATAATGGTAAAAAATATGTAGAGAAATAAAACACAAATACATTATATTCAGTTTAGAACATGGAATTGTATTTTCCATCTATTATTACAAATATCAGGCGTGAACACGTCTGACGATCACAACGAGACATTGTTTTATTTTTCTAAGTTATTGTAATAATTATTCTAAAACGACTTAAACTAGAAAAAAAAAAATAAAAAGCATTCTTCTCATAAAAAAAGTTGATTCAAACATAGCACTCATACTTACTATTAACTTAACTTATATACATAAAAAAAATAAGGTTTTTCAGTTTTTTCACTCTTACAAAAATCACGTTTGCTCATTCGTTTAATTTCCGAGCTATTGAATAATAATGAAAACTACATATTCATTAATCCATCAATTAATGAATTAAATGTTGGATCAAGTTATTATGGTGCTGATGTTTTATGAATATTATTAATTTTGAAATTAGATAGAAAATTTTAATAATCATTATAATCTTTACTGTAAGATCATTTAAACAGCCATTTAATTTCACAAATAAATCATTATTTGGAATAATAAGTATATTCATTTTTTTTTAGAATACGCTTTTTGCCAGATAATAATAGCATTTATAGTGATAATGTTTTTTACATCAACGCCCTTTGAACTGATCGACAAATGATACATAATAACCTATGCACTAAAACATGCATAGCAAAATATGATGCTACTGTTTATTTATTCTCTCTTTAAATATCGCTTGTCTCAATCATTGATTGACATTCTCATTCTTTTTTGTTTTGTATATTAACGATTGCTTAACAATCTCGTGGCCGTCTATATGCCAAAGTACCTATGATTATAACTCTATATCTTTAACTGGAATAAAGTTATATTACTGCAAAGCCAAAAGTATTTCTGAGAACTATACATGCATAGTTTATCAGATCGGAGAAAGAATAAGGAAGTTGGCTAGGAATAAATATTGATTGCATGATACAAAGAATAGAACAACTATATTTAACTTCATAATTCTCATCATTAAATTCCATGATTTCATGATAGAAATTATCGGAGAAAATTACGAGAGAAATTTTGTTTAGATTATAGATAAAAATGATGACGGTAACATTAAGCGTTGACAAAACGATTGCCAGAAAGATTCGTCTGTGACACGAATGTCGTAAATGGTGTCGTGTGAAATAGAATTAGATTAAGTTAAAGTTAAGTTTGATGTTGTAAATCTTTTTACTTAAACAATTGTTATGGAGTACAAGAAATAATTGATATTGAAAAATATAAAAAATGAAATTTTTTTTTGTGTTTTATCAGTTATAGAGTATTTTTATAATTCAACAATTATCATTTTATAACAAAATTTAATTTTTCTGTAACTAGAAAGAACATGGACCATATTTGTTTTCTGTTTGTATAAAACTTATTAACTTGAAGAAAAAATACACATATGTATGATTTCAGTTTATATTAATAAGAACAATTCTTGACAACATCAATAAAATGAATATTTTTTTAAGTGATTATTTTTTTAGAATTCGATGTAATAATTGAGCTCGTATGAAAGTTCACGAATCTCACAAATTGTAATATGAGGATAACAACAATTAGATATTTACAAACACGACCATTTAAGGAAAGTTTCTTGTGGCTAATTGTGTTGCCAAGACTACTTGGGTTCCTTTGTATGGCCTCAATATATTCTCTACACTGTATGCTTCTACCAGCGTATATGTACCAATAAATCAATGTATGAGCGTATGTAAACGTATTACATATACAAGTGTGCGTTTGCAGAATACATATGGTACCAGGCATTCACGACCACGACGATGATGACAAATGTGTGTGAATAGACATCCTCTGAGCGCGATAGAATGACTGAGTGGAAGTGATGAGGAGAAAGGAAAGAGCGAGACAGAGTAAAAGAGAGAACGCTCTGAGTAAACGACAGAAACACGATTTCGTCAGCAACTTATCGTGCAACCGAGCCAATTTTCGTGCTTAAATAACGCCATTCTTCACAGTAACGCCATTCTTTACACGTCATCATCATCCTCTTCGTGGTCATCATCTTTTACTTCATTCGATAGTTCCACCAAGTTCATCGTTTGCAATTTTCTTACAGCTTCACTAATTAATCTTCCTTGTTGAATTAGCAGCTTTAACTCCAAATATGGATCTAAATAACTGGGCGATTTTTTGCTATTATTTACATCTGTTGTGTAAATACGAGCAATTTTTCGCGAAGGTTTTGAATTTCTGTCATAATATGGTGATGATCTGATGATACGATTATGGTTTGATTTCTCCTTAAAATTGGATAATTTTAGGCTTTGTTTGATTCCATGAACCAAGACGTCCACGTCTCGGGTTAAGAAATTTTGCTCCCCAGCACTAGGCATTTTGAACTATGTATTCAATAATAGAACTTTCGTTTCTCCTGAGTCGTTTTCACTAATATCTCAGGTATAAAAATATTATACCTGCTGTCTTAGCTACAAATTTTTGTAGCTCAATTCCAGGAATCCAAGGTAAACAGTAATTTTGTAGCCTCAAGTTCCTTGTGTTATTGTTATTATATCGACACAGACGACGCTGACCGACTAGTGGGTTCCCTGAGAATGAAAACAGAGAGAGAAAAGTAAATATGATGTATCTTACACATCGAAAATAACTACACATATACAATCACTAGATGATGACTAATCCACGTTTATTACATAGAAATTTCTCTGATGAACTCACCTCAATACTGTTTTCTCGCTGACTTGATATGTCAACAATGTATGATGATACTAATAAATAATTTCCACTTGTGAATGTGTAATCAATTATAAGTGCGCGTGATTCACCCGGCGAAAACGCGTGATACTCTCTTATTCCAAGTAAGCTTTGATACTTTAATCACAAACTGTAATATTTTTTGTACTCAAACATGTATCAATTTCAAAACTCACTTCACAACAATTGATATTGTAAATTTTTTAAAAATATTTTTCTATTGATTATTACACTTCAAGGAATTTTACAATTCCTTTATTTATTTACCAGTAATTGATACTGTTTCGTAATTTTAGTGTCAATGAATTAAAGCCGATTATATTGAGTAAAGCTTTCACAGTATAAATTCACCGGCTTCACTTGCATAAAAATTTCTTGAATCATAATAATAACAAATCTTTCAATATTTTATTTATAACGTTTACACAACTTCAACTGTTTGATTAGTTTATAAATATCCTTAATGAAGATTTTGAGGTTTCTTTTTTTTTTTGTTATTTCCGTGAGAGTCGATTCTCACGCTCCGTTTCACCAAACACACAATCGTTAACTTCTGGTTACAACTTGTTTTCTTTTACGTTTAATTCGTAAATATTATTGTTTACGTTGCAGTAGTTATTGATTTTGAAAAAAATAATTTTTAACAATAACTATTCTCCGAACAACATGTAATATTTTAGATTATAATTTGGTCGACTTGGTGAGAGAAGCTTACGAAAATGGAGCCAGCCATCGGCCGTCTGCTCTTCTGCTTCTGCTAGTGCTGCTGCTGCTGCCAGCCATGAACTTTTTTACTCCTCTGTTGTTATATTATTGTTTTGGTTGTGTAGCGCATGCGCAGTAAGCCACTGTTCATGTAAACAAACCGTTAACTCAACCCTGACGAATCGATAATACTTTTTACGCTCACGGAAACTAATCCACAACTGATACATACTAGGATTCTTCTCGCTAACAAACTAATCAATGATAAAATAAAACAATTGAGCGCAGTGCATAATAAATAACTTGGCGTCCAGTTGATAGGTCTAATAAGTAACAGTGCAATTTTATGTTTATTTATTACTGCTTTTTTTTTCATAGATTATGGACAAATATTGTAGTGGATGTATTGCCAGAGTAAAACAGGGACCAAGGGATCAATGAGTAAAACAAAGACAGATGAATCCACCGATGGATAGCAAGAAAGTGGGGGAAAGTCTGGATGCCTGGATCAAGGTTACTCTCGAGCATGGCCACTACGTCATTGTTCGGGAAGTATATCGTACGCGTGTGCAACTCTCCATGTGTTTGTTATTACTCTAAAATATACAAGTATATTCTGCCTAAGACTAGTATTAGTGAGATGAATGCTAGAACTTACTTGGTGTGTTTTTGTATGAATAAAATTTTTTGTTTCTGGACAACATATTTAGCATAGGTTCATATTATGTATGTATTAGTGTTAAGTATTATACTACACTACACTCATGAAGTAATGAGTAATATGATTAATGATTGTATGTAAAATTAAAAAATAATGATTATAAATACATTGTATTTGTATGTGACTATATGAGGTTTTTTTTTTATTAAATGCGAAGGCCAATTTTTGCTAATCTGTTAACCTCCTTGGGTATTCCGATATTTTTCTTGTTACGTGTTTTATTTTGATGACATTGAATATTTTTTTTTTTTCTATTTACATACAGACAAAATCATTATTTATATACCTTAATTTATTTACATGAAATAAGTAAATGTGTTTTTAAAAATTTTCATCACTGATTAAGTAATGTGGTCCAATAATTCAAGGAAAATCATTTTTTTTATTAAATATGAATAATAGAAAAGTAAAAAAAAAAGAACATTTTATTTACTCACAATTAAGAGAATTAACGAAAAGTGATCGCTCTGCGATACTTTGTAATTTTTCATATCTTTCTTTTAAGCCATCTGGATTTGCTAAAAATTTCTGCCATAAAATTTCTTTTTCTCGTTCAATTGGATCTTTACTGATTTTATCCTTAAGTGGTTGGAATAATTAAATAACCATTAAATTTACATTCAAATGCATTAGAAGATCATAAATAAATTTTTAAAATAATTACCGTAAAGTATTTAAATTTTTTTCTTTGTTCATTAAAAAGGGTCTGAACAGTTTCTGATTTCTTTAATACTGTTGCAAATTGAAGAGCTAAATCATCAGGCATATATCTAAAACTTTTTGTTGCTCCACTCATTTCTTTGTCATAAGCAATAATTAAACTGTCTTTTCTATAGAAATAAAGCAATTAATAACCAATAAATCATTAATAATAATAATTATTTACTTACAGTAATTTCAATTTTTGAACAATATCATCCAAGTCAGTCTTGACAATTTCTTTTTTCAACTTGTCATTTTCTTTTATAATATCTTTATATTTTTCTTCAGCTAAATTAAAAGCATCTGAAGTATTTGCATTATTTACTATAATTTCAGTGCAAATTTTGTTGTAAATATTCTGCTCGTTGAGTGGCAATGAGGTAATTTTATCAAACTGAGTTTGCAGTTCTTTCATAATTTCCTTTTAGATAATGGTATTATCTTTTATTAATATACTATATTATAGTGAAACTTATTTAGCTTAAATCTTGAATTACTTACAGTTCTTTTAGCAGAGCATGTATACTCCATTTGTAAATATGATCTTGCTGAAGTAGTTAAATTAATTATTTTCTGAAACTTTTGAAGCTCCAGTTGCATTAAAAGTATCAACAAGTCTGCAGATGAATGACCCAAATCTCTTGCAAAATATAAAAAATTTTGAAATTTTTTCAAACGCCTTTGTTTTCTTTCAAGACGATTTTCAGCTTCTTCAATTAAAACCTTTGTCATTGATAACTTAGCAAAACGTTCTACACTTTCTTTTAACTGGCTTTCTAAGATTAAATTTTCTTCTTCTAATAAATCTTTTTGTGATAACATCTGTGCAATTTCCATGCTTTTACATGAAAAAAAAATACATTATTCCAGTCCACTAACATTAATTATAATATAATAAAACTGAAGAGATTACTTTTTCTGAACTTGTGATTTTGGAAATTTCGTGTCTCCATCATTGTATATTTCTGCTGCTTTTAAATGTATTGCTTCACTAGATGCCATGTCCATTTCTGCTTCAATTTTATGTAGTGTTGAAGCTTCTAAACTAAAAATTGATAAAAATATTTATTTGTTTAAGCCTACTAATTAAATAGAGACAATAAAAAATTACTGACTAAATTTTAGCTTACTCTTTTTGACATCTCATTAATTCTTGAGCTTTTTCCATTTCCGTTCTCTCATTTTCACTTTCATCTGTTGTTACACTAGCATTTTCCGGAATCACTGAAGTTTCTTCTGATATCATTAAATTTTTATGCTCTTTTTGTATATGAATTTGTATGTATTTATAATGAGCTTCTATTTGATTAACAAATGATTCTAGAGGCATTTGAGTCCATGTAACAGGCGGTCCTCTCTAAAAATAATTAATCATACAATTACTATGAAGTATAATAAATATAATTATCAATACATTTTAAATTTAGATTGTTCACAACTAAATTCCTACCATTTGTGCAGCATCACCGTAAACTTTTAGTAAACTTTGAAGTGCATTGTATAACTCATGGTGTACAGTATCAAACTTTTCAGCATCTTTGCAACAATCTTCGTAAGCTTCATCTGATTGAATTTGCAATTTCAGAAGCATAGTTTCTTCTTTTTCTAAATCTTCGGATAATTTTGTATTGAGTTGTCTAAAAAAAAAAAAAACGTAATATGTAATACTTCATTATAATTATGTAATTAATTTATTTGAAGATACATACTAACTTTATTCGTCTTAATTCTTCTTCAAATGCTTTAAGATCTTTTAAATCTGCCTCATAAGCTTCTTTCTCTTGCTCATATTGTTTGGTAAGCTCCATTTCATAATTTTTATTGGCTTCAATTAAGGACATTAGTTCTGGAGTATCTTTTAAAGCTTCTTCGAGAGCATCATCCAATTCTTTTCCAGTGTGCCATTGCCCACTTGTTTTGAGATTTTCACGTCTAAATATATGTCAAGTGTTCTTATTAAATAATGCTCAACTATTTTAGAAATAATAATAAAATTGTAAACTACACTTACAATCGCATTTCTTCTCTAGTTAAAATATTGTCAGGTCCTACATATTCATAAAACCATTTAAGAAACGGCTGAGTTGATGGATGATTACATATTTCATTTAAAATTTCTGGAGTAATTTTTTTTAGTACTCCACCCGGCATCAACTCTTGAAATTTAGCGTATAAATCTTTGCCCGTAATTTTGGTTTTCATCTCGTAATTCATCTTCACACGTCTGAATAAAAAGAAAAAATAAGAAGTAATTAAAATATCATGAAAAATACTAATAAATATGGATAAATCCTTATTTCTTATGGAATGTTTATAAAATTTTATTGACGGTTAGGTTTTCTACTTGAAGTGACATCTATCGAACTAGTTGAAAACTTACTGGTTATTATCATTCACTGCTACCTCGTGTTAGCTTTTAAAATGTATTTAATTGTTTCGGTCGATAATTCTTCCTACATTATCTTCCGCGCTGAGTGGAACGAATAGATGAAAAAATATTGCAGTTGGGTTTCAGTTGATGTAACCATTCGGTCGAGTTGAAACGTTTGTGTAAAATGGAATTTATTATTAGATTAAAATAAACTGAGTAAGCATTTAAAATCTTTTTAAAGAGTAATCTCAGAAAGTGTAGTGAAAAGAGAATTTTTATAAAGACAATTGTCTTGTTATTAATATACACGCGTGTATGTATCACACGAAAAGGTGACGAATGTATACTACCGGCTCTCGAAATACTACATGTTTGACAACGATTCGACAAGGAGAGTAAACATATGAATTTAGTTGATTGGAAGGAGAGAAACACGCTACATGGCCTAAAAGTAAAAGATAGTAAGTGTTGCGGTACGTCGCCATATTGAATTACTCTCGTTAATTTTTGCGCGAAGGTGGCGCGTGTTTTTTTTTCGTGTTAACTGATTTTCAATCTCTACTCTCCCATTATACAGTAGTAAATTCGACTATTTGCGTGGGTGTGAATCAAACTTTCTTTAAAATAAGATTCTATGGTTGATAGCGGTGACAAGCATCATGTATAAAGAGAAAAAGACTCAATGGGAGTGTATAAAAATTGTGCATAATTAAGTAATCAGCCATGAAAAAATTAATATCGTTGTAATTATTGGCCATCGTCTTCAACTGTTTCAATAGTTGTCTAAAATACATAGTGATTATTCTAATACAATAAAATTTATCCGGCAAAGCAACATTGTACATATTGACAACGTGCTTCCAAATCTGCATGAGCTATAGAATAATATTTCAATGAAAAGCATCTACATTGTATGAATTTTGAATATCAGTTCTCCAAGAAATACCAAGGTGTTTTGCCCAATCAATTGTTTTTGAAGACAATATTCCGGATCTAATAAATCTTCCAGGTATGTTTTAGGATTTTTATGAACCCCTATTTACCGTATTCTTCATCCGTAGGTCTGTTGATGAAGTCAGTTGATTTTCCGGAAATATTTTCTTATAATGATGATATTTTTTTTTCTTAAGAAGAATATATATTTGTTGGTATAAAAAGTTTGGCATTTTTTCAATAATCTAATTTAATACTCTTAATGATTACTGTTCTATTAATATCATAAAATATCACTAATATCCATGATAAATGAAAAACATTTAAGGTATCATTCTAATGATTGACCTAGCGTAGTTTATGAAGGCTCTATGATAGTAAATCCCTGATCGAAAGATAAAGAAAAGCCACGTATGTAACAAGAGAGACAGTAGTAGGCAAAGCAACTGAAAAAGGAGGGAATGAGAGAGGTCATGAACGGTTGTCGGCCTGAAATGACAGTAATTATACGAGATCGACATGTAGAGATGTGAAACATCTATTACTAACTTAACTATCTTTTTCTATCTTCCAATTTTCATTTATTTTTCTATCTCACTTATTCTGTTCGGGATGGGTTGGAGAGGTCGCCAGCGAAAAATCGATTTTCCAATGTATACACGTATGTAGTCAAGGCATATATGTAAACGTCCAGCAGGGGAGAGGAAACACGCGAAATTCGGGAAAATCAACGAGTTGGGGGTGGAGAGACCAACGACGAGAGATGGAGGTATTACTTTCTGACGCGCCCCCGCCTGCACGCATGGCGGTCCCAATGGTTTGAAGCAGTCGAGGACAAGGGACGAGGGGAGAAGTAATTAATGTGCGACAGTGTCCCCTCTTCTACCTCGACTCGGCTCCACTCGCTCTCCCTCCCTTCGTCTCTCGTTCTTTTTCTTTCTTCTGGTTGCTTTGGAGCAGCCCTCTCCCTCCTCTTCGCCCCTTGCTTTTCAGTCCCGCTCTCTACACTTAGCTGCCATTGTGCGGAGACGCCACTTCCGAAGCATCAAATTTAATTCCTCGATACCGTTTGGAAGTGGCTTCGACGCGAATATCCTAGAGGTACGTCATCATCATACTGTCATTAGATAATATTCAACATGTGTCTGTAGTAAAGTTAAACATTTTACCAAGTATTTTTTTAATCGTTCGGAATGTGAACTAATACATTGGCGCGAAGGGATATAAATTAGAGAAACTTTACTCAAGAGGTTAGAACGTTATCCCTAATGCAATTGACCTCCAGGCTATGCTAGACGTGGAAGCAAATCTACTTACGATAGTTTTCGATTTGTTATATTTAACAGAAATGGAAATTACTCAATATTTCTATTCTTATCAACGCTAAACATTTGAAGAACATTTATGGATTATTGGATATCAAGTCATACATATTAAATTAATTATAACCAACATTTCTCTTTCTCATTACAGGGCAGTGACATCTAGAAGAATGGAAGCCATGGATTTGGACGGAGATTCAGTGGTTGATTTGAGCGTCAGGTAAACATATTTATTAGCTACTTTACTTATTTTCATTTCCTTTGTATATATTCGAAATTATCATTTGTAACAACATTACATACTTCGGTATACACAAGACCGTTAGAACTGATAAGTTGTTACATAAAACAACAAGTTTTTTATCTAGTTGTATCCGAATAACACAAACACTCTCACGAAATATCCAATTATAATAATTAACTTTTATTTATAGTAGTGTCAGAAGAGAGTCTCCGTCATTACCAACTAACCTCAGTGGAGATACTGGTGGTCCATTAAATTTAGGTCTACATTATCCGGTATCTAATGTGGAGAATAATTTACCCGAGCAGAGAAATATACAAAACTCTTCACGTGGAATTTTGGCTCCCAAGAGTGGTGATGACAGAAGACCACGACGAAATTTGAGACCTAGGATAGAACGAAGTTATGCTGAAAGTCCTGATGAACCTAGAATCAATGGCTATGTTAATGGAAATACTTCAGATAGTGACGAAGGTGAAATGCCACCACTTTTACCAATTAAAGAATTATCTTCAGATGAATTAGCAGAGCGAGAAAGAACATTAAGGAAGTTGCGTGAAGAATTGAGATCAGAAGAAATGAAATTAGTATTGTTAAAAAAATTAAGACAGTCACAACAACTTAAAGAAAATATTGCTGCTGTTCCGAAGATTTCTAATAAATTACCACCACCGGTAACAGTACAACAGACAGCACACAGGTAATTATTTTGTCAATTGATAACAATAATAGTATAAAAAAGGTATCAATTTTTTTAAATAATTAATTATTAAATAAAAAATTCCAGCCATAGAATGACAAAAGCTCCACCGCCGTTACTTCGAGGTCAACCTGCACCAAGTCGTAGCAGTAGTAGTCTTCATGCACCACCACCAGGAATGTTATTACCACCGAATGCAGGAAGAAGTCCTACATCAAGTACTGGAATACCACCTAATATGGTAATACCACAACCGCCACACCCACGTAGTAGACCCCCGAGTAGTACACCAACCGTACCTGGTTATCATGCTCCAGCTGATAGAACTGAACGATCAACTAAAGATCCTACACCTGTTCCTGCTCATCAGGTACATAAAATATGCCATTACAATAATTTTTTAATAAATATTAACACCAGTCTTAGTGATAAATTTATAAATTACATTTATGCCAAAATTATTATATAATTGTAATGCAGCTTGTCGGACCTCAAGAAAGTAAATCTACTCCTGTTATTAATACTTCTGTGATTCCCGAGCAGGTATTTAATTATTAACAATAACCTGAAGCTAGCTTTAATTCATTTTATTTATAACACGATTAACTTACGTGAAAAAGTTTATTTTTAAATGTAAACTAATTTATCATTCATGCTTATTTTACAAAGGAACGGCCAAGAGAAGATAGTCAAAGACCGGCACAACGTCAAGCAGCTGCTAAATTGGCTTTAAGAAATCAACTGGAAAAAACATTATTACAAATACCACCACCAAAACCACCACCTCCAGAAATGCATTTTGTTCCCAATCCATCAAATACGGAATTCATTTATCTTGTTGGTCTTGAACATGTAGTTGATTTCATTACTAAAGAACCGGCTGTACCGCCACCACCAGAACCCTTTGAATGTACTCAGTGTAAGACTGACTTTACTCCAGTATGGAAATGGGAAAAACCAGCAACGAATGGTAAAAAAGATGGACCACGTGGACAACATGCTACATTTCTTAGACCACCAGCTGGTCGTGATCCTCGGGTCATTTGTGAGCACTGTGTTACAACGAATGTTAAAAAGGCCCTTAAAGCTGAACACACAAATCGGTAAATATTTTTTTATACACAAAAAAAAAAAATAAATTAATATTGATATTTATCTATTTATCTAAACTTTTTCTGATTATTTTAGATTAAAAACTGCCTTTGTAAAAGCCCTCCAACAAGAACATGAAATGGAACAAAAATTGGCACAGGCAGCAAGTCCAAGTCCAGATCCACCGGCACCAAAGCCCGTACCTAAAGCAGTAACGCCAACCAGAAGAGTAGCAACACCTCCAGCACCTCCACCAACAGTTCAACAGGCTCCCCCACCAGCTCCAACACCACCAACACCTAAACTTCAAGAGCATCCGTTAGTAAAACTCGCTGAAAGTGGAAAATTCTCTCCCCATCATGCAGCAGCTGCAGCTGCAATTCAACAGCAATTATTAAGAGGTAAGCTTCTAGCTTAGAATAAATATAAAGATTCAAGAAATAATTATATTTTTAAGTATTAAATTATTCTGCAGAATTGGCAAAAAATCCAGTGCCTGGATTACCACCACACCAGCCACTTCCAGCACATATGATGCCACCATTTAATCCTATATTATATCCTTATCAACTCGCGATGGCACAGGCCGCCGGCGGCAAAGGCCTCGTTGAGCTTCAACGCCAGGCGGCTGATCTCCAACGTCAGTACCTGCTCGACATGATTCCGTCGCAAGCATCGCAGGGACAAGGCAGTCAAGCTCCATCTCGAGCACATCCTCATAATTGGAAAACGTAACCGAGTGCATAGCAAGAGGCTCGTGATTCAAGGGCTAGAAGGCATAAGTGAAAACATTACTGTAAAGAACTCACCAAGTCGTACTCTTCTGCTCAAGAAAATATCGTGTAACCAAAGGACACGCAATAATTGAACGATTCGTGTACTTGTATTGGTTTTCATATGTGGTGAAGATGGCACTAAAAAAAAAGAAGGCCAGTGAGTGTTTTATTTGATGCTGACTTCACAATTTCATTAAAGAAAATCTACTGTTACTAAAATTTGGTTTTTAAGTAATTAAAGCCCTTAACGAGCTTTAGAAATATCATTGACTTTTATACGAAATGATTCTCCTATCAAACTTGGTAGTTGAGAATTAGTCAATGGGCGTTTTAAAAGTATCTTTTGAGGCACTTTAAGATGATCCTTATATATATATATATATATATATATATATATATAGTTATATATATAGCTATCGGTCTATATTGTCTATTTGTCCGATGGTAGTACCTGTATTTTGTGTATATTCTCTTCTTAAAATTTTCTCTTTTTTGAACTGTAAGTATTGGTAAGGAAAATCCTTTAACGTCCAGGCAACTGCCTACAGTGAAGATTTTTCCTTCAATTAATTAACGTGTGAATGCATTAATTTTAGAGGTGAATGATTCTTGATAACACATTTTTCATTTCATATGTGCGTTATAGCGTATGTAAATACGCTTTATCATGGTCAAAGACTTAATTCACGCACAAATGGAGTCATTCAGTGTCTCCATGATACTATACGGACAAGACCAAGAATGATATTAAAAGGCAAGGTGCTTGGCATGTTTTATAAATCCCCAATATATGTATTCATATGAAGAATACGTTAACGTTATATTTCTGTTCTTTATAACATTACAAAATAGCGGGGAGGTAAAATTTGTGAATGTACCCTCATTGAAATAATTAATAACAAAAGAAACCGGAGGTCTTTAATTTATTGATCACCGAAGAATAAATCTATCAATCAATAATCATTATATTAATAACATTATAATCTTGATATTTCATATAGAATACAAATAAATAAAATAAACCATAGGCATAATATCATCTCTCTTTGTACGTCACAATAGATAATTGAGCTCGAAAAACGTGTCGCGTATTTTAATACGCTGTATTAAGTCCTGCAATCGCATAATATTAATGATAATAATAATAATAGATAACTTTCTCAATATTTTAGATAAGAAATACAGGATTGCAGAAACATTTTTCATTCTCCTTGCATACACATACACATTCGTCTTAAAAAAAACAAATATTCTTAAATGATTTTTAAACATTTGTTTGTCAATTTAAAAATTATATGGATCTTAAATTAAGTGTAATTTATGTATTCAAAAATTTCCTCTTTACATTAAATAGGATCTATACGGTGCTAAGCCTAACGAAGAACTCGACCGGAATAAGATTACTTATCCGAATGCATTAAACTTAGCAAAATTATAATTATTTTAATTATTAATTCTTTAATATATACATTATATTTTATCATATAATTTTTGGTAAACACTGACAAAAACAAAAAACAAAATTAATTTACATTTGAATAAATTAAAAATTACATTATTTAAAAACATCTTAATAGCATGAATGATCAGTGTGAAAATTTTTTTGCCTCCCCCTTGATTTATTTATTTGCTAGTATTAGCAGATGAATCATTGAATGTTACAAAACAAACGAAAAAATTCATGGAAAAAAAATAAAGCTTGTCAATAATTGTACTTAAGATGTAAAATTTCATTTTCCATAAATATTAATTAATGCAAATATGTTGTCATGCGAGTAAGTGAAATTTCCAGGGTACCAGTCAAACAAGATGGTGCAAACATATATAGAAATCCAGAATACGTTGTTGCGTAATGACATTAATTCAACATTGGGCTTTCGACATTATTTCATGAAGTTTACGACTTTTTTTTTTCATGAAATTTCTCTCTTAATACTGGTCCATAGTTTTGTAGATAGAATACGTTCTGTAGATAATATTTTTTAATTATTCTCATTCAGGCATTTTTTAAAATGCTTTGTACAAAATGGGAAAAGTGTAGGATGATCACAATTACGACAAGCAGCAGCTAGATGAGAGCAACATTTGGAGCTTTCACGACAACAAGCTGCCCATAATTCAGGACCTGCTACTGCACAATTATAACAATAGCAATCACCTGGAAAAAAATTTATTGTTATCATTATTATTCATCAGTAGAACAGTATGATTTTAAATTTAAGTATAGCAAGTTAAATCAATGACATAATTAGCAATGGAGATAAATATTTGATATAAAGAATACTACATCTGTACGCCTTCATAGATTCTTTATTAATAGCTAGATTGAATTACATTGAGAATAATAATTCATTGTTATTTATTTATTTATTTTTAATGAGAGCAGGATTTAACTGACAAAGTTGCTGGGGGAGTGGCTACTGTCAAGGACAAAAAACATTGTATGACACGAAGAGTCACGCTTCTATTAATTACAGGAAGCACTAACATTTTTGTATCCATAGCTATATTGAAGTATACAATGTTGCACTTGTGAAATAAATCATATTTACATATTATGCATTGTATTACCAGTAGGACAATCAGCAGATCTCCGAGCTTCATTTCTTCTACAATCAAGACCCTCTTCTCCAGTTGGACATGATGATGAAGATCCTTCTATTGTATTTTCTCCTAGAATTTCATTGACACGTTTAAATGCTCCAGGTTCAGAAAATATTTTAACTAATTTTTCAAGAGTATTTGTTCCTTTTTCCCTAGTATTTGTACTGACAGAATATTTTAACACTGAGATTAATAAATAGAATAATATGATTTTGTTCTCATAGAGAATCATGATAAATCACTTCTTCAACTGTCTATGAAGTACTTGTGATTGCAACTAGTTACTGGTTAGTAGGTGAAGTAATTTCTGATCCATCAGTGTGACTTTTCCAAAGAGTGGGAATGACTTAATCTAAAAGAAAAATTCGATGCAGTTAGATAAAGTGATTTGAATTTCCCGCGCATTCGAATCTGTAAGGCATACCAACTGCTGAACAAAACTCTGATCGAATTGGTATTCCTGTTGAATATCTGTTCATAAAATCGTAAATATTACGCAATAACGCGGTTTCCATGGAAAAATAAGTGTTAAAAAATATTTTCAAATGTGGTTAATTGTTTAAATAATAAATCAAAGTTATAATATTTCAAAGAAAGTCTTTAGATTTACTAAATTTAATTGGATAATTCTTGAGTATTACAACACAGTGCATATCTGTGATTGTCTTGTTCTGAACCTAAACGAGAAATGTCAAAATGGCGTCACAACAGGACGCTTGGTATCTTTCATTATTGGGATTAGCTGAAAATTTTCGAACGTCAAATCCACCAAATATCAAAGCCTGTATCCAATGTCTCCAAGCAGTTTTTCATTTTAAACCGCCTCCAAAAGTAGAAGCTAGAACACATCTTCAACTTGGTAACATTCTTCTAACGCACACAAAAAATACTGATCTTGCACGTTCTCATCTGGAGCAAGCAGTGAGTTTTTATGTTTTTCTTATCATATTATTGACTTATTATTGATTTTTATTGAACCTATTTATAATATTATTGTTTTAATTAATCAAAATAATCCTAACCTACAAAAAATTTTCAAATTAATTTTATCAACTTTTTAGTACTATTATCTGTCAATTAATGTTGTCATTTTCTTTTAGTGGGGGTTAAGTCAAAATATTCAAACTTTTGATGATGTTAAGTTTGAGGCTGCTAGCGTTGTAGCTGAATTGTATGAACAAAATGATACAAACATTTGTAAAAAAATACTCATAAAAGCTATTGAAGTATCTCAACATCATGTGTACTGGCATTGCAGACTTATTTTTCAATTGGCAGTAAGTTTTAAAATATATATATATATAAATTATGGAGCATTAAACTTTTGACGTAAAATCAAACTAAATAAATAATGTGTTAATTTTCAGCAAATACATGCATCGGAAAAAAATATTAGTGTTGCAAATAGTTTATTAGAAATCGGTAGTGATTATGCACAAGTGAACAATGCAAACTATACTAAAGTATTATTTATATTAAGTCGGTGTATGTTGTTGCTGATTGAAAAAAAATTCACGGAAGTACATCCGCTGTTTAACACAGCAAGCCGTCATGTTGAAAGCTGGGAAGGAAATCATTTTCAAAAGGAATATCTTAGAGTATATTTATTGGTTCTTCAAGTGTGTTATTTTTTAATGGCGGGCCAAGTAAAAAGCGTAAAATCTGTTTTAAAACAATTACAACAAAGTATACAAACGATAATGTCACCTAGTTGGCCATCAGATGAAGTAGTTACGGGATCAAATAGCGGTGATATGTTTATATGGATGCCAAAGGAACATTTGTATATTTTAGTTTATCTTGTTACGGTGATGCATTCAATGCAAGCTGGATATATGGAAAAAGCGCAAAAATATACAGATAAAGCTCTCTCACAAATTGAGAAGCTTAAAAGTACTGATAATAAACCAATTCTTTCGATATTTCAACTTATGTTATTAGAACACATAGTGATGTGTCGATTGGTTATGGGAAATAAAACTACAGCTCTTGCAGAAATTGCACAAGCGTGCCAATTGTGTAGGCCATATCCAAAACTTCTTAAAAGTCATGAAGCACAACTTCATACGCTACTAGGACTCTATGCAATGTCTATGAATTGTATGGAATCAGCTGAAGCTCAATTTCTCGCAACACTTCGAACCTCGTCAGAAAAGGAACTTTGTACTTTCGCTAATCTTAATCTCGCGATAGTGTATTTAAGGAGTAAACGAGATAAAGAACTTGGTGAACTTATGGACCGAATTAATCCAGATTCCTTGCAACCACATTCATTACAGGCAGCTGCTTATTATGTACAAGGACTTCAAGCATTTTTTGGAGCAAGATACAATGAGGCAAAAAGATATCTTAGAGAAACGTTGAAAATGGCAAATGCTGAAGATCTAAACAGACTCACATCATGTAGCTTAGTTCTTTTAGGTCATATTTTCCTATCTCTTGGTAATGAAAGAGAGTCTATGAATATGGTCACACCAGCTAATCAATTAGCATCTAAGATTCCAGACGTTCATGTGCAATTATGGGCTACAGCGATACTCAAAGGTACTTTTTTTTATTTATTTGCAATATTAAAAAAAAAACAACCATTAGATTTGATAATTGATACATTAATTGATTTTTGTTTTAATAGATTTGTACAGCAAAAATGGTGATCATAATCATGAAACGGAATTTTATCAAATGCATCTAAACTTTTCTCAAACACTCTTGAAAGATCATTTTCAAAGCACGCAAATGCCTGAACATACTTTAATACAATGGATACAAGGACCTATACCACCGATTTCTGCCAATCCTCCGCCTTCTACCTCGCGGGCTATTCTATAATTCGCAAAAATACTTTAACTGTGGATCTACTTAAATTTCGTATTGAATTTTCTAGTTGAAAAAAGGTAAACAGGCAGTTTCTTTGTATTATTTATTATTAAAAAAAAAAATTCAAATTTTAATGAACGTACAAAATGTATAAAATTAAACGATTCACTATATTTCAATGGTACAAATTTGATTATAGTCGAATGTACGTGCTGACGATCGAAAGATGAATATGATTCAAATGAATTTTTATTATAAACAGAGTATATTATGAGTCATTTCAGTAAAGTCATTTTTTAAAATAAATTCTAATGACGGAACGAATAATTTTAGTACTAAATTTTAGTACTGATCTCTCTATACTGAAATGAATACTCTGTAAATCAAATTTAAGCAAATAATAATTTTAAGTTATAGAAGTAAAATAGTTAATAACAATATATAATAAGAGGGTAAAAACGTAATTATATAGCCTGACGCAATTTTTACGTCTAAGGGGCCTTAATGTGAAAATAGTTAGATGTGAGAATGCGATTAATGAATGCTAGTCTAATATAAGGAATTCATTTTTTTTTAATTTCAAAATTAAATTGAATGTATGAATGTTCTATGAAATTCGTAGTTCCTGATTTATTAATCTTGTACAGGCTGTTTTATCACAAATATATGTATTTTTTAAAATAAAAAAGAAAGAGAATATAATTTTTATTCTTTAACTTAGAATAGAAAATTGTTTTCAATGATCAACTTAAAGTATTTTTATTAACTTCTATACATCTTTGAGTACTTGTCTCTCAAAAATTGAAATAAATAATTACAAATCTATAATTGCGTATCGGAAAAAATATGTTAAAGTTGCAATTACACATATATTTTGACTACAAATATAAGATTTATTATCATACAGTTTTTTATGTTCTATACCATGCTTGTGCTGTTTGCATACGTTTTATTTTTTTCTGAAGCTGAAGAATTCCATACATTAAAGCTTCTGCTGTTGGAGGACAACCTGTGAAGTACATTTTTAATTATTTTATTATTATATAAACAAAAATTAATCAATTATTTTAAGAATCTACTATTTTTGAAATATTTACCAGGTACGTAAATGTCCACGGGTATTACTCTATCACAACCTCTGACTACTGAGTAACTATAATGATAATATCCACCACCATTTGCGCAACTTCCCATTGAAATCACCCATCGAGGTTCAGGCATTTGATCATAAACTTTTCTTAAAGCAGGAGCCATTTTATTTGTAAGTGTTCCAGCAACAATAATTACATCTGCTTGTCGTGGAGATGCTCTGAATACTACTCCATATCGATCCATATCATATCTAGGTGCTGCAATGTGCATCATCTCAACAGCACAACAAGCTAATCCAAATGTTAAAGGCCATATTGACCCCTTTCGACCCCAATTCAACAAATCATCAACACGAGCTAGTGCGTATTCTGCTTTATTACTTGGAGTAAAAGGACTGTAAGGTTGTTTTTCTTTTGCTACAACACTAGATGCTTGTCCTTTAGAAGTTTCAGTGGATGCATCACGAATCTGTGTTAATGCAGGTAACAAAGTGTCATTCTTAATAACATTCTTGAAGCTATGCCCCAGATTACCTGAAAAAAAAAATTAAATTTTTATGTGTAATTTTTAATCCAATTTGCGCATTAATTGATATTTTAAGCAGTTATATAATTGCAATCAAAATAAATATGTATCATAAGACATGGAAGAGGTTAATTATTATGTTTGATACATGTCACGTAATTAATATTCAAATATTTATATGTAATTAAGATCATTTACTATTAATTAATAAATACTACATAGTTTAATTCCTTACGGGCAATGATAGCTGGTGACAGCATTTTTAAAGAAATTGCGTACTTTTCGTACGCTGTTGTTCTGTTTGGAAGATCAAGCCAGCTGTATAAGAGCGAGTTTTCATGAGTTCTAAATTGAAGATCTGAAGTTTGAGATCAGAAACAGTTTACCGTTTTGGCGGTAATGAAAATTGATTTACTGTGTATTTGTTGATTTTTTTTATGATTTTTATTATAAGTAGTATTCTTTATTGAATAAATTACGTACATTTATGAAATTTTGTTTTGTAGAATAATGGGTGACGAAGATAATCCACAGTTAATCGTAAGTCTTAAAAAATTTTCTAGTAAATTATTATTTTTAACCTCTAAATTAAGCCGGTATTTTATGGATATAATAATTTATTTATTGTATACTCTTTAATTAAGTTAATTATAAATTATTTTCTTGATTTTTTCAATAGGGAATACCTGATGATCTTTGTAGGCGAGCAGGAATTTCTGCTACTTGGAAAACTGGCAATAAATTAGGAATAATTGCATACAAACATGTTAATGTCTATTCTGGAGGTTTGTGATGATGTATAAATTTATTACAATCTATTAAGGATGTATTTATATAATTTTTTATTTGTAGATAAAAAAAGTAGTTTCTTTCCTTGTGATACACGAGTACATTTTCTTGGACCAGAAATAATATTGTTTTCTCCTATTCTTCGAAAATTAGTAAATGAAAGCAATGGAGTTTTTCTTTCGATTAGAAAAATTCAAAAATCCAATTCAGATGAAGTACGACCTGAATTAATAAAGCATAGTAAACAATACAGGTCAATTTTACGAGCTTGTGTTGAAAGTATTCAAGATGCTGCAGAAAAAGCAGAAAAAGATGAAAAAACAACTTTGGAAAATTTTTTAACTATTTTTTATAATATAGAGTGTATATGGCATTTAACAGAAATTTTATATGTTGATACTCTTCCAGGTAAATAAGTGATTATCATTATGAACTAAATAAATGTATGATTAATTTATTAATTATTTAAACGATAATTTTATAGGAGATGTTGTTCTTCCTCAATTATTAGAATGGGTACGATTTCATTTTCCATCACGAGAATTAATGGCCATGAAAATTTTAGCAAAAAAGTCAATTGGAGCGGAATTAGAAAATATGAATTATTGGGAAGCTGTGATAGGATGTGCATTACATGGCAAACTTGAAATAGTTCGATCTCTTTTATCATATCATACCAAAGCAGATCATCCAGCATTTGTAACTGCTGATAATATTCTTAAAACAATGCCTGTATATAATGTTTATGGTGGTTACTCCGTTAATGAATTTACAATGCGATGGAAACATTGGCAAATGGATTTAGCTTCTAATTTGGAATATAAAACATTTATGATTGATCATAATTTAGAGGAATTAATGCGGGTAATTATAATTGAATAGAATATAACTTTTTATTCAGCTCATATTAAATTAAAAGATATTTTAGTTGTTTGCTGGTGAAGAAGGAATTCTCTGGGATTTTTCTAAATATACTGAAGCTTGGTATGAACTTGTAGCAGCTAAGTTACTTTATTCATCACCGTGTTGTAAACAAGCAGAACTTGCTCGTCATGCAAATAATATCGCAGAAAGATGGCAAGCTGGAAGGCACTTGGATCATATTATTCTTGCCTTAATGGAGAATGAAATGTATAAAGTTATTGAACAAATACAACACATGAATGATAGTGGATGGTTTGCTGCGCATCTTACTGACTTACTTTATAATTGTGAAAAACTTAATATTATGGATGAAGATCAAACAAAGTATTTTATTTCATTAATTTATTATTTTTTTATTTGATAAAAATTTACTGAATATTTTTTAATTTCAGTGTTACTGATAAGCTTCATGAATCGCTTCTCTTAGAGTACGGAAGTACATTATTTGGACACTCATCTCTTTGGCAATGTGGTGCAAGCTACTTGGAACAATGTCCTACTCAAGGTATAGCTCGATTAGAAATCTTACTCCAATCGATACCGTTAAATAATGAAGCAAAAATTAATAAAATTATTGATATTGCTCGTAACAATAATTTAACAAATGTCGGTGAGTTGATGGTACCATAAAAATATTTCAATTATTTTATTTATGTTATAATAATAATAATTTTTTATTAAATATTTTCTTTTAGTAACGAGCATTTGTAAAATTCAAGGCATTAAGAGTATAAGGAGAGGTAGATTAGGTAATGCATTAGCTTGGGCTATTAAAGCACAAGATGGTGCATTTGCAACTTATATTGCCGATCAGTTTCTCAAACAATATGCAGAAGAAGGTATTTTACAATGCGAAGATCTTCTAGAGAATTTAGGTGCTTACATGTTAACTAGTGATCGACTTACATTCTTGGGGAAATATTGTGAATTTCATCAAATGTATGTTATGGAAGAATTCAGTGAAGCTGCTCAGTTATTAATATCTCTTATAACATCTAATTTAACTCCCAAATAGTAAGTAAATTAAAATTATAAAGTTTAAGATTATATACATATGGAATACAATTTTCTGTTGAACTTTTTTTTTAGTTTCTGGCCAATTTTATTGACAGACGCTATACCTCTATTAGAAGCCGAAGATATTTTGTTATCTAGTAAAGATACATTTTTGTTGATGCGATCTGTTGAAGAACACGGTGATGATCCGGCTTTTCATGATAAAACTGAAATATTCAGGCTATCAGCAGCACGTAATTTAGCACGAGCTTTAAATATTGAAACTGGTCAACCAGAAAAATAAGTACAATTAAGTAAAATCATTAAGTAATTTAAAAATTACGTTTTTCATTTTAATAATAAAATTAATAATTTTGTAATGATAATAATAATCATCATATTTCATATAAAAAGCTTTTCCTTGAAACCTAAGAATAAAAATTTTATGTAATCATAGAAAAACGTAATACGATACATGTGAGAAATCAAATCCATATATTTTCCGGTTGATCGACAAGTTCAGTGAGTGATCATTCATTGAAAACAAAATAGAGTTTAGTATAAGAGATTAATTTAATGAATAAACATTCAGAAATTTTTCTATAAGAAATATTTATAATTAATGTTTTATAGAATAATATTTTAATATACTAACAAAATTATAATACGATTCAGTGGAATGATAACACTACAAATATCAGTAATTTAATGATTTAGATCTAGCTGTGCCCTATGATGGGGAGGAAATTAAATTACATCATCACGTGCATTCATTCTGTTTTCAATTTTTCATAGAATTGATTTTATTTACTACTCAATGTGTAATGGGAGTGTAATAGCTACTGTACGCATGAATTGTCGATACTGTAGTCTTCTGTGCACAATTGTGGACTACTGTCAAAAGTGTCATTTACAAAATGGAATCTTGATATCGCGCGAAATAATTAAAACAATTCATAAGTAATTATAGATTTATTATAAATTAAATTTTTTTATTAAATGTAATAATTATTTAATTTTTTAACTAATTTTTATAGCCAAGGATGAATGACAAGTCATTCTCTAGGATTATTTGAGGTTAGATTGGAGCTTTCAGTAAAATAATTGTATTCAAAAAAATTTTAATCATTGAATAGCTAATGAGAGTGTTGAAATAGAAATGATTTTCACTGATAAATATAATAAGAAGAGATTATACTGCTTCTGTGAATTACTGATAAAAAATAAATCGAATTATCAAGATATTACATGAAATTTTGAATAATAAATCATGAAATAAACAACAATTTCATTGATTTTCAAGTAAACAATTAAACAGTAAGTGTTTTATGAATTTCAATTGTTAATTATTATATCATAGTTCTGGTTTAGAATGACAGTATTTATTGTTATTGTCGGTTGTTTAGAATACCGTTATGGAAGATTATACTCCAGTAGATGAAGACTTTCCTGGTCGTTTACTACATCAAGCTGCACTGTGGGATAATGCAGAACTTTTAGAAGATCTTTTAAGAGGTGAGCATGCTCAATATATCAATAGTCAAGATTCCTGGGGCCGAGCACCTTTACATGCAGCTGCAATAACTGAGAATTCAAGGTGCTTAGGAGTCTTATTAGCAACAGGAGCTAATGCTAACATACAATGTGGTCCTCGAGGTCAACACAGAACACCTCTTCACGTTTGTACTGATCATGGACATAGTGGAAATATTCAAAAAATGTTGGAATTTAACGTAGATTTAAAAATCAGTGATGATAATGGATTAACTCCGTTAGACATTGCCAAAAAAAATGATGATAGTGAATGTGTAAATTTATTACAAAAAGCAGCTGAAAAATATGAATTAGCAAAGCTAGCAACTCATGCATCTTTAAGAGCTGCTTGCATGCAAGGTGATACTGTGGCAGCTAGAAATATTATTCAAACTACTTTAGATCATTTAGAGTATATTATTAATATGGCTCCAAACGGTGCTAATACTCTTTTATTTATTGCTTGTGAAATGGGCCATAAGGATATTGTAAGGCTACTATTAGATCATGGCGCTGATTGTCGAAGTCATCCTGTTACTAAATACTGTCCTTTATACATTGCTTGTTATAATGGAAAACTAGAAATTGTTGATCTATTACTTCGTCATTTTCCTAAACAAGTTCAATCATTAACAGTGGAACGATGGTTGCCAATACATGCTGCGGCTATTAATGGTCATTCTGCTATTGTAGATTTCTTGCTCAAATTTGAATATCCTTCACATCTTAATCAACGTTTCAAAGATCCGTCCGGTGAGTTAGAATATGAACTACCTTTCGACATTAATACTCAGGATGTAACGGGCCAAAATGTTTTATACATTGTGAGTATGCTTGGTAATATAAAAATAGTAGAATCCTTGTTGAATTATCGAGTGAAATCAAGAAAAATAAAAAATGAAGAGGTTGGAACTAATCAACCAGTAGCCGTGTCCAAGCGTAGAATTTCAAGTGGGATTCAAAAACTCATGTCAAGTCTCAATTTTCGTAGTAAAGCTGGTGATAAAAAAGATGAAAATACAATATGTCCATTAAATTTAGATATTTATTGTAATAATAATACAGAGACAGCACTTCATGCTGCTGTTAAAGCAGGCCACACTGACGTTGTTGCTATATTACTTCAAGCTGGAGCTAATCCTAATTTACCTATCAAAGTGATTGATAATTCTGATGGTGAAGGAAGCACTTCTACCGTTTTAACAATAGCTTCTTATAATCGAGATATTAAGATAGCTGATTTATTACTTAAACATGGTGCAATTGATAATGAATGTAGGGCATTAAAAATTGCTGCTCAAAATCGTGATGAAGTTTTAACAGCTAAATTGCTTTCAATCAAAGCTCATCCTGATCCTGAATATAAAATAAATAAAAAAGCAATGACAGAAGGTACACAAACATCACATTTTTCTGCACTATCTAGTTTTGGAAATGTTACTTATCCTTCTTTATTTCCTAACACTCCAACGATGATCAATTGGCATAATCAACAATGCCGATTGTCTCAAATACGTGGTCAATGGCTTATTGATGCTGTACTCCATGTAAATAAAAAACTTAGCGTGAAAAATAATGATCTTGCACTCTATGCTATTACAAGGATAGATATTTCTCATAATTCAATAACAACTATTCCTTCAATGGTTTTTTATCTTCAAAGTTTAAAATACCTTAATATGGCACAGAATAAAATAGATACTCTTACAGCTGAACCAAGCAGTCCACGAGACAAATTATGTCCTGTTCTGGAAGAAATTTATTTACAAGACAATCGTTTAGAACAGCTGCCCAATTTTTTGATGAATCTACCAGCATTGGAAATCATGGATGTGTCTAATAACAAATTACAATGTCTACCGGATAATCTTTGGCATGCTCCTAAATTAAAAGAATTGAATGCTTCATTTAATCTTTTAAAAGATTTGCCTAGTCAAGTATCACAGAACATTTCAAGAAAATTACAAAGAGATGATGTTCTCAGTAGTAGTCCAAGTAGTCGAAGTATAACTTCACAAATTGGTATCCCTCATGATGATTCAGTTGAATTTGATTCTTTCATAAAATTGGCCAATGCTCAGGTCATTGAATTGGAAAGACCGCACGTTTGGACAGAATCTGTTCAAGTGACTGAGAAAATATCCGATGATACGGAACCAGGAACCCGTTCTGTATTGACTTCACTCAACTTAGCACACAATTTATTCACAAGTATACCTGTAGCTTTACCTTGCCTAGCTGTAAATCTTGTCCGACTTAATATGGCTTACAATTCTCTACGTTCAATGAGTCATATAACTTCATACCCAACTAGTTTGAAACAGCTTGATCTATCAAATAATCAAATTTCTTGCTGGCCTAGTTTACCACAAGTGGACGGCGCCGATGTAATGGAACAAGCTACAACAGCTTGTTATTCTCCTGCCACTAATATTCAGTCTTCTATGGTACCCAACAATAGACAGACTGCTACTTCATTGAGAGATGTTGTTCTTATGTCGGTCTGCACTCATCGAAGACATTTGAGGCTTGAAAATTTACGAACTTTAGTATTAGCAAATAATTTACTCACTCGAATTCAACTTACTTCAGTTGATGATGGTGAATCTTCGAGTTTTGAAGAAGAAAATATTGATAGAGATACCAAAATTACTTATTCTGGCTCCAAACTTTATCTTCTTTTTCCTAATGTCAGTATGTTAGACGTTAGTAATAACCAATTGAAAGAAATTCCACAAAATATTTATGAGTTAAGTAATTTGTCAGTATTAAATATCAGTGGAAATAGCGAGATTATCGAGCTACCTCCACAAATGGGTCTTTTATCACGATTATGGAATTTAAACACACAAGGTTGTAAACTACAAGAACCACTTAAATCAATGATTGAATCAAAAAAATATAAAACTATGGATGTCGTTGGTTATTTAAAATCAGTATTAGAAGATGCAAAACCTTATGCAAGAATGAAACTCATGATTGTTGGCATTCAAGGTATTGGAAAGACGAGTTTACTTGAACAACTTCGACAGGAGGGTGAAGTACCAAATAAAAAGAAAGCCTCTGAACATTGGGCCAAACGAATGGGCAATAAAAATATTAATACTAAGACTGCTAGAGGTACGACCATTTCAACAGTTGGAGTAGACATTGGTGATTGGATTTATGAAAAAAAAGTGCGTGGTCAATCATCGCATGGACCTGTTTACTTTAGAACATGGGACTTTGGTGGACAAAAGGAATATTATGCAACACACCAGTACTTTCTCTCTAAACGAAGTTTATATATTGTTGTATGGAGAATAACTGACGGCTTTAAAGGAGTAAGTGAAATTTTTCAATGGCTTGTAAACATTCAGAGTCGAGCTCCCAATTCACCAGTAATTATTGTTGGGACTCATTACGACATTTCTTATGAACAAAGTGAAGCTCTTCAGCAATACATTCGTGAAAAATTCATTAATGTCGTTGATGCTGAAAAATGTGGACTTCCTAAAGTAATGGAGACTATAGAAATCAGTTGTAAAACAAAACATAATATTAAAATGCTTTGTAATCTCATTTATGACGTAGTATTTAGTTTAAGGTCACCAGGAAGTAAAGAGTTATTATTAGAACAACGTGTACCAGCTAGTTATTTAGCTTTAGAGGACGTTGTGGTTCAATTAGCTCATGATAGAAAATTGTCAGGTGCTGATCCAGTTCTTAAAGCTGATCAGTACTATGCAGCCGTTAATAATGAGCTTCAAAAACTTCACAGATCATTCCGTGATCCTGCAGAATTACATCAAGCTACCCTATTTCTTCATGAAAATGGAATAATCCTTCATTATGATGATGCAACGTTGCGGGATTTATACTTTTTAGATCCTCAATGGCTTTGTGATATGCTAGCTCATGTAGTGACAATTCGAGAAATAAATCCTTTTGCAAGATGCGGAATTATGAAATTAGATGATATTCAACATGTTTTTAAATCATCTACAATTTCTTCAACTGATACACAAGGTTACATTGTTAGTTTACTCAATAAATTTGAAGTAGCTCTTACTTGGGATTATCGAACACTTTTGATACCTTCTTTGCTACCAACTGAAGAAGATATTTTACGTAATAATCTATTAGTTAAAATTCCTGTTAAAAATCGAGGGTGGCATATTAGATCTAAAAAAATAACTTCTCCTATTCAATCACCTTCTGTTGCAGGTGATAAAGGAAAACTACAATATCCTTTAACATCAAGACCTCAACCTGATTGTTCAGTAACAAGATTATTACTTATGTCTTATTTTCCAAGTGGATTTTGGTCACGATTAATAACAAGGATTCTGGCAGACGATACAATTGTTGAAATTGTCATGTCATTTTTAACTCCCTTTAAAGATATTGTTGATGATAATATTTTTGCTAATCTTATGGAAACTAATGCTGAATGGGTACTATGGCAAACAGGACTTGAACTTCGTTATGCTGGAATAACATTATTGAGATTAAAAGAAATCAATTATAATTTAAAAAATACACCTTACGATTATAGACAGTTTAAATTCAAATTGAAACAAGATGGAATATGGTGTACAGTTGATTTAAAAAATTCAGCAATACTTGAAATATGGTTTCCAATTGATACATTAGTTGTTAAACAGCCAATCATGTCAGATACTTCAGATGATCCAATTGGTTATCAAGCAATAGTCGTCGAACCTCGACCAGAAAGTATGCCTCAACTATTAGCTCTTATTGTCGATCATATTGATATTTTATTGGAGGATTGGTATCCAACATTAGGAACTCGATTTGTTCATACTTCAGAAGGAAAATTACTTGTAACTCGTTTAATCCCATGTCCACGTTGTCTTTTAAATAACGGAGATTTCGAAGGTGAAACAAGTGATCAAGAGCATCATTCAGAAGATGACCCTAAATATTATATGAATCATGAGAGACAAAGTCAAGATAGCTATAAATCTGATGGTGACAGTGGTGTTGGGTATGATAGTTCAACATCAAGCAGAATGCCATCTCTCGAAGGTCATCCTGATGTAATACGACAATTTTCGAAACCTGAAGGAATTTTAGCTTACTCTTGGATGGTAGAAGAGTGTATTTTATCAGCTTATAGCAACAAGACAATTGCATGTCCAAAACATATGGATATTCCTCTCTCACATGTCGCACCTGATATTATATTTATGGATTTAGGATCAAAACATCTTATCAAGTCAGAGGATATTAAAAGAGGCAGAATGTTAGGTCGTGGAGCTTTTGGTTTTGTTTTCAAAGGAGTTTGTAAAGCACCAGGAAATACAACTAAAATAGATGTGGCAATGAAAATGTTACAACCAGTACCACCAGGACCAAATTCGAAACCATCAGCAGTTTTAGCATACAAAGCAGCTCAGAGTAAATGGGATCGTGATCCTCTTCAGTATGCTTGCAAAGCGTATTGCACAGCAAGACAGGAATTAAATATTTTATTAACTTTGAGGCATGCCAATATTGTACCTCTAATTGGAATTGTTATAAGTCCATTAGCACTTGTATTAGATTTAGCACCTGAAGGAGCATTAGATAATGTTCTAAAGAATTATCGACGTTCTGGAGCTAAATTAGATCCTTACACTCTTCAAGCAATTATTCTTCAAGTTGCAAAAGCAGTAGAATATCTCCATCAACAGCATGTTATTTATAGAGACTTAAAGTCAGAAAATGTTTTAGTATGGCAAATGCCAGCGCCTTTCAGCGATTATCCTGACAATGTTCATGTTAAAGTAGCGGACTATGGAATATCTAGGCTAACTCTACCTTCTGGAGCAAAAGGATTTGGAGGGACTGAGGGATTTATGGCGCCAGAAATAATAAAATATAACGGCGAAGAAGAATATACTGAAAAGGTTGATTCTTTTTCATTTGGAATGTTTATCTATGAACTTGTTACCTTGCGACAGCCATTTGAAGGCCATGAAGCTGTGAAAGAGTGTATTTTGGAAGGAGGCAGACCACCACTGACTTATCGTGAAACTCTTTATCCATGTTATTTGTTAGATTTAATGGTGATTTGTTGGGCACAAAATCCAAAAGATCGTCCAACTGCTAGCCAAATAGTTTCTATTGCTTCTGCTCCGGAATTCACACATTTGATTGATGTTACTCTTCTTACTGAAAGAACTCATGTTACAGCTATTACTGCAACATCACGGTCTTTAGAAGATAATGTGAATGGTGATGAGATATGGCTGGGACATAATAACGGCGAGGTGGACATGCTATTAGGAACAGAAAAGGGCTGGTTGCAACATGTAAGAATAGAGACACCCGTTATTCCTTACGCGATGTGTGGCGTTGATGGCTATATCTGGATAGGAGACAATGCAGGACAAATACATGTTTATCTAGGTAGTAATTTTGGTTGTGTGGGGAGTTATAATCTAGAGTCAGACCATTATCGAGAGTCTAAAGTTGTTAGTTTGATGCATCTTGAACAGCTAAAACAATTTATTGTTGCTTTACATAGTGGAAAACTGTATCTCTTATCAAACAATTTTACGCAAATGAAAAAAACTGAAATAGAAACTAAAATTCGAGATCATGTTAGAACTTATTCTTTGGCAGTTGTTTATCGAAGAAGACGAATTATTGAATTATGGACTGGTCAAAGTTTTGGAAAAGTAACAATTTATGTTTTGAAAGATGGTAATTTAGTTGATACTTGCGAGTTAATTCATCTTACAAATGAAACAGCTAGTAAAAATTTATTTGCAACGTATTTATTGAGTGCTGAAAGTTCAGTACTTTCATATACTTATCCAGGTTGTATTGTTTATCAATGGGATGTAGAAACTCGGCAAATAATAAATAAACTAGACATGTCAAAGCTCGTACCATGTTCAGAAAGTCTTAAATCAATTTCTATTGAAGAAAACTTGACTACAGACAGATGCCAAGTCACTGCATTAGAAGTGTGCATGAATCAGCTATATATTGGAACAACATGGGGATGTATAGCAGTAGCAGAATGCAATTCATTACGACCAATTACAGTTTTTAGGCCATTTGAGGGTAAAGTGTGCCAAATTATTGCTCTCAAATCGACAGACAAAAAGAAATTAGCACTCGCAACTGTTGGTCAAGGATATAGAAGCTTAATTTCAAGATATACTGATTATCCACTAGATTGTTTAGTGGCAGAGGATTTAAAACATAATATGTATACTTTACTTTGGCGATCGGAACATTGGTCAGCTGCTTAATCACTTTATGAAACTCTTAGTCATAATTTCAATAGATAAATCATTTTATCTATATTGATATTTAATAATTGGTAACAAAAATATATTAATCAGTGATTGTGAATCTATACCAGGAGTGCTTTAAGGTGCAATTAACGCTACATTACATTAAATTTTTATTTTAAAAATAAAACAAAAATTATCTACTTGTTTTTATCATTTAGAGAAACAAACAATACTTCAATTACGTTTAAAAACACGAATATGATGATGATAAAAATTAATCTCTTGAAAAGAAAAATATTTTTTGCAATGTGTTATTTAAATACAATAGCTATTATCAAAATTATCATTTAAAATATTTTTGATGATGAAAAAATCTCTGACTAAATTTTTGTTTTCTTGTTGATAATAACAAACTCGCCAATGTAGTATGAATGAACATTTTTATATCTTATATTAAACGTCCAAGCTGATAAATTTAATGCAATTTATTCCGGTATTTATCAATCAAATATTTGTAATTGTATTGTTATAACTATTCGTAAAGTCATTTATCATGAATTAGATGAATAAAAGTCACTGAATGATCTCGCTCTAAAATTCGGGTATTTTCCGTAAACTTAGAAATTAATTACGTGATAAAGTAAATGTAATGAAATAAGAATAATTGAATTTTATTACAAAATAATCTTCCATTACTGAGTATAATTAATTGATCAAATAACTAGTGTAATAAATTTAATCCTATAGTACAACAAAAACCCAAGGCCACTATGATGAATATTAGAATTAAGAAATCACTTGCGTCCTATTGAAAAAAATTCATGTAATTTCGAACTTTACATGTGATATGTTTTTATTAAGTTATTTTGCAAATTCATTCGTTCATTGATAATGAATAGAACTGTTTTAACTCTATGGCTCGAAAAATAATTTTTATATTTTTTTCACTCCTCTACACTCAGTATGTTAATAATTTCCACCATTTTTTGGGAAATAAGTAATTAGTTAATACGTAAAATACATTTTATATTATGAGTTTATTTAGTCATTTTATTATTTTAAAAATAATTCTTTGTCTTATCATGCTGAGAGGAAAAATTAATAACACAAATTAATAAAACAATTTATTAAAAGAAATATAACCTAATTACTTATCTTTAATAGAACGAGTTATTACTTATAACCTATATGTAAGTACTTTGTTATGAAAATCTCAATTTTTCCTCTCAATACAAACTTTATATTACTATAAATTAGCACAGAACATTTTCTGACTTGATTACTCAAAATATTTATATATATATATATATACTAAACGCTTGTATATTATCGATAATGAAATTTATTATATTATCCAAATAATGCAGATCTTGTCGAAAGTAATTGTTAAATGTAACGATATTTATTATTAAAAATGTTGACTGGGTAGAATGAGTTTTTATTTTTAAGAAAATATTATAAATTCCATTGTGTTCGTCATATTATTTTGTAACATTCTTTTGTTAAATAAGTGACGTTAATATGGCTGTTATATTTGACATGTTAAAACCGAAATTAGAATTGAGTAAATAAAATTACTATGGACTATGTACCACCTCTACAAGTGGCAGATAGCTACAACGGTGCAAGCCATGATAACTTCACTTGGTCCCAAAGTATAAATGACCTTGACGTGCTTGTGAACATTCCTGACAGTCTGACGAGCCCTGGTGACCTCAAAGTACAAATATCAGTAAAGAAAATCAAGGTCGAGATTCGCAAAAATCTTCTTGAAGCAGATGTTGATACTGACGAATGGTCGGTAACCTTTGAAGGTCATTTGACCTTTCCTATCAAATTACATGAGTCTCTTTGGAGTTTATTACCTGGGAAATTTGTACATGTAATTACAATGTTCTCTATAATTACAAGGTGTTTATTATTTATTTATTTTTTTATGTACATTTAAAAATAGATTCATTTAGAGAAAGTGTCTGAGAGATGGTGGGAAGCTTTAATTATAGGTGAACCAAAGATTCAATTAGACAAAATGGATTGTTCTAAAGATTTTAGTGATCTTGGAGAAGAGGAACAAATGAAACTACAAGAAATGATGTGGAAAGAAGTTAAAAAATTTTCTGAATTGAATAATTATAATAATGCTATTAAAAAGAAAGAATGAAATAAATTATCTCAGTGTATTTATAAAATAACAACTACTTAGGTATTGATTTTATCAATTAACTGCAAGATTATATTTCATTTTATTAAACTGCCTACGTAAGAATTCTAAATACAGGCATTTGGTAATTCATTACACGTTATACCTTGATAAAAATGTATCAAGTGTGTATTATAATCAACAGAAAAGTGAATATCTGATCCGTAAAGTTAAAACCGTTAATCTAAGAATATCTAGACATTCCACTTTTTCATTTTTCAATCAACTTGATGATAAACTAGAATGATAGTTGATGCGTACAAAGACTCTGGGTATACTTGAGTATACTCGATTAGAAAGGAAAGAAAGTCCAGTTGATTGAGGAATCGCCAGTGATGTTCAATTACAAAATTAGTCTTATGTTTCAGTTGAATACTTTTTATTGTTTTATGAAAAGAAAAAATTCAAAAAACATAAAAGAATAGAATGTATATTCAACAAAAGATAAAAATGTTAAAATATTCTGATATAATTCACTTGATGACTTGGAGGAACCAGCCTACATATAACAGAAGTAGATGCGTGAGAAATCATCAGAAACTCTACTCTGAATCTCTTCAAGCATTTCTCTCATTCATGTTACGGTGTAGTATTTCAGAATTAAATTGATATCAATTTAAATTTATTGTGATTTAAGTACAATATTGTTGTAATTATTAGTTTTTTTTGATAAAAAGTGAAATTAAAAAGTTCTTGTCATCTTCTTTGTCACTTACTATGCAGTCAGTGCAGCTGTTGAACGTAAGAGATTGGCATTCCAAATACATGGAAATCCCTGCTTTTCCTCAGCATTTGTACAATGAATTTATCTGAGTGTAATGGTTACTCGCTGAAGAGGGACATGGGAGTGAAGTCTCATGGAGCAGGTAACTGAGACTCATCTTGATTGTTGTCATTCTCAGGCTCTTTAATTATCTCATCATATTTTCCTTTCTCCGTTACAGGTTTAATTAGCATTTTTTGATATGTTAAACTATAAGAAATAATGCTGAAACAACTGAGAGCTGGAAAAATTACAACTTGATGAATTTCTAATGGAAATAATGTTTTATAATAATTTTATTGTGGCATTTAAAAGTAATATTGTTAACAAGAGAAGTTGAGAACCTGCATAGGTAAAACACAGGCAATATACCTGCTTCAGAGGACTATTCATCCCCACCTGCAAGTTCCCTCGCCTTTCTTCAGTTCTCCTTCGCTTCTCCCGTATGGACGAAGTTGAGTTTCTGCTTTTCTCTAACTAGTCGTGCCGTTAGTGTTGTTGCTGAGAGAATGGTATAATGTGCTACAGCGTGTTACAACAATTGTGTCAGATACCATTTTATTGACGACCTCTTTAATTAATTTATATTTATCCTAAATTATAATTTATTTTACCAAAAAATAAATCATAACAAAGGTAAATAAATCGTTAGTGATATAACTCGTGTAGCCACAATCTGGCAACTGTTCTAGTGTTTACGGATGCTCCACTCGTTACGATTTCATTTCTTCAACATCGTTGAGTCACCAGGGCCAGGAAGAAATAGTGTGGAAGGTGCTAAAGTTTGGTGCTATTCTTGATTATATTGTTTAAGTTGAAAAATAGAAAAAAAAATTCAAAATGCCTTGCTCAGCGGTGACATTGTCCCTGGCGACTATAACCGGCATCATTGCTACAGCTCTTCTTTCAATTGCCTTTTCCACGGATAACTGGCTCTACACTGAGGTCAAACGTGCCCAAATACAAGTTAGTTGAATTTTTTATACTTTTTAACAATCTAGTTGATAATAGAAAAACAATTCCCTGGAATTGTATGTTACTTTGTTGTTATTATTATAAAAATAATATTCAGCATGCTCGAAAAATAAAAGAAACAAGTAATAAAATCTTGAAGAATCTTAAAGAAAATTACCGGCTTCCTGGATTAAGGTGGGATCTACAAGCGTCCTTGCAACGGGTTAACGTCCTGGGTCGCAGGGCTCACGAGCTAACAATCTGCTCCCCTCGATATTAAAGCTCCTTCTCTTGTCTACACTTGTTCTTATCCCTCACTCTTCAATCTGCAAACAATGAGTCCTTTATAATTACTACCTTTGTTATGAATATTTTCACATCATTTTTTCCTTTTTTTTTTTACTCAAATGCAAGCAATTCAATGAACTTGAACCCTATGAACTTGATTGATCTATAAAAACAGATCATCATCGGCCATACAACACAGGAAAATGTTAACAGCATATATATATATATTATGCTCATTAATGTAATCATAGTATTGCTATTAAAAATGTGTTGAAACATTTTATGAGATTTAGTTCCACGATTAAGAACCTTTCCAAGTGATCGGCATTCCTCGCCGCGCCCATTTTAGCGCGTTGACTCGACAAGTTTCGAGTTTAGAGTATGTTTAATACTATGAAAGACTCTGATGCAACAATGAAATGCTTCATTAATGACAGTTGATACTCTTGATCACAAAATCATATTTTTTAACATTCAACTAATTATCAGAGTCATCAACATAACCTTATTTTATGACTCCTTATAAAAGTTAAACACTTATGCAACCTAAATGCTCACATATATTATGAATTACACTTGTTCATCTCTATATGAGCTAAAGATTAAACCAAGGTATGCTTGTGTTACTTCAAGAGTTGAATAAAAATGTTGGTCGATGTTGAAAGGCTCAAGTGACGGCGTGGCATGCGTAAATCGTACAGTTATGTTACCAACACGTTAAAACTGGAGATATATGTATTTCTGAGAAAGTTATAAGGATTAAATTGTATGGAATACACTTTTTGAAAAAAATAACCTCATAATGACAATGTAGCATGGTAGTATAAAGTTGTCAGCCCTTTTTAATGACTACCTATCCTAAGGTAATTTATATTACGTGTTAAAAACTAACTAATTGTTTTATTCAACGTTCAAAATGATTCTTTTAATTTATAAGTAACTCTTCTAGGTAGACAAACTAGATCTGGTTGTATAAAAGAAAGTTGATCAGTTCAGGTTCTTCAATTGCCATTTGATTATCATGCTAAAAGTATGTCCACCTGCGGGTTGTAGCACATTAGAGGTATACGAAACATATGAGATATGTAACTCTGACAGTTGATAATTGATAAAGTAAATTTATTCCTGAACTGTCAGGATATATAGAGTATGTATTTCCATACTATACTATTTTATATTATTCATGTGTGTGAGTTATTAATGTAAATCTGGTCACTTAACAACAAAAAATTTGTATTTTATTTCAACGACAAAACTTATGCTCTTATCTATAAGTATTTTCTCAAAGTTCAATTAATTACAGTCTTAAATGACAGCAAAAATGATTTTATTAGCATGTTTTTCTTAAAAATTTAAATTAATATTTATAACGATTTTAAGTCAATTGCCTTTTCTTTATGTTCAGATATAAACATTCAGAATAAAAAACATGAAACTTTGCTTAATGTTTGAATGAGTAATATAAATGCTCCAATTCTTTATTCAAATTTAGTTGCTGTCTTTTTTTTTCTTTTTATTTTAATTAATCAGTCTTAATGCAATCATTAAACATAGATATACCAGAATATACTTTCATTTTACCATAAGTACAAAGAATTTCGTTTCATGTTTGGTATTTCGAGTAATTCCATGAAAAATAAATATCTCATCAAGAAGTCTATTCAAATGACTTTAAAGTAATAGGTACTTCCAATGAATTGTGACATTTTTCTATAATATATAAGTAGAATGGAAATTAGAATATTTTAGAAATCGGCATAAAAATAGTATTGAATAATAAATTGACTCCTAAATTAATGTATGCAGGCGTGGTAAATGTGGCAGAATTTTCCTTTCCATGCAGTTAAAGAAATCGTCGTCGTTGCACTGCCGGAACGGTAATGTGAAAGCAGTTGAAATGGTTTTAACCTGATGGAACTCTGTTCTAAATAACATACAGGACGCTCGTTAACGAGTAGATTATTTACGCTTTGTAGATAAGATTACTGACGAACTTACTAGTTCCTGTAATGTTTGATGTGTTTGTTAATGTATGCATGAATTTGGAAGAAGTTTCTACTCATAAATATTTCCCTTGAATATACAAGTCAAATATAAACCTATACATTTCTATCTATTGACTGATTCAATCGATTCACAATGACAACAGTCTGGAAGAATGAAGTTATGATGCAAGATTTAATTTGCAGCTTTGAAGGACATCCAACTTGTAACATTCTTTTTCCGCTAGATGAATATTCTATGTGATTATTTGCTTGTTCAATATCCAATTTTTTATCTACTGCATAAAAATATAATCCAACAGAATGGTAGTTAATTTAAATGTTGTTTTTTTTTTGCAGCAATATACTTCAAAGAATCCAGAACAAAGTGACTTGATAGAGAAAATGAACACAAAATATTATTATTATACAAGGACTCAGGGACTATTCAGGATATGTTACCCTAAAGAACGTCCACCAACTGGTAAGCTTATTTTAATGTGTCAATATGTTAATCAAGACATTTTAACTACTTTCCACTGTGGTATGTTTATAATGAAATGCAGGTTTATCTCGACCACGTAATAGGTGAAGAGTTAAATGAACTGTTGGTTGAGATATCGAGTGAAATTGTGTAGACCCCTGATGAAAGTAGGCAACATTAAAGACATAGTATACTTGACAATTCTAATTTTATTGTTGTTAAGTAGAATACCTTCAATTGCTATGATTATATTTATTTCAACTATGTTAGAAATGTTTTATCCATTTAATAATATCTCAACAATTAATTTATGAACATTTTTTTTTTAAATATAAAGCTTTGCTTTTGTTTCAATAATTTTTTTTATTAATAATAAAATTGTGCTTTGAATATAATTAATCCAACGGTATCAATGATAACATGCTAAATAAAATAAAATAGAAACAAATAGTCTATAATTTCCGGTAGGATGTTCGTCAGGCGAAAAAGAGAATTCCGTTAATTTTTTTCGCTCGAAATGTGCACCTAGATTGCTACCGTTAGCACAAATCTTAATAACTTAATTGAGTTCATGGTTATGGCACGTGCTTTGAAATATTATTTTTTGGAAGAAAATAATTATATATTATGAAAAGTATTATTGATAACGAATTTCATTATCAAAGTTTTCAAAATTTCATTAAATTATACATTTAACAATTAATGTAGACAATTTACATTGTAATTAATTACTACAATTAACATTAACATCTAACTAATAATGAGTTGTTAAAATTGTATCTTTTTAAATTCTATTGTTTTTTTTTTTTGTTATTTCGTTAACTAACGAAATTTTATTTTTTCTCATCATTATTTCATTTATGACAATACAGATTTTTATCTAAATTAGCTTAGAAAATAATTTTTTTCTATCAAAAAATATTAACAGTATTTCTTTTCTCTATATTATTATATAATACTTCTTTTAGTACTTTCTAATACTTTAATTATCATATATACATTTTTTTATAAGCTTCTTACTAGAAAAAAAATGAGTTGTAATGGTACGTTTAATATCCAAAACATGTTCTCATGATTCAACAACATTGATAGTTCAATCTTTGGAATCATGAGGTAAAAAGAAAAAAAAGGTTCAAACTTTGATACTCCAATGATTTGAAAGTCTTTTTGAAGGATTTCTATGAAAAACATTTTTTTTAAAATTAACAGTAGCCATTGAATTGAGAAATGATTTTAGTTAGCTTTTAAATAATACATATAGCTATTAGTAATCGGGATAAGAAAGCACAGACAAATCATTCTCATGACATATAACTGGAGTCAGGTATGACTACGATGGCCTCAACACTTGGGTCATCGTCGATGTATGTACCGTTTTCTGTGACCGAGAGTACCTTATCGGGTTTCGACATTCCTTTATAACTTCCGGCGCAGGCCTTCCGATTCTTTTACCGACAATTTTTATTCATAGAACGTGATTACTGATGAAGAGACTTTGAATGTTCATATTTTTTATATTACTCAGCTACCTTCCATTAAAATATCATTGATAAGAATTTCAATAATTCCAAGAATTAGTAAAAAGTTTACAGAATTATTGGAAACAAATGATTTGACCCAACTAAAATCCAGTTTTACTTCAACAAGACACATGTAACTGTATAAGCTCGTTCATCTAGCCTTAACGATCCTCCTTCTAGACATGATCTTGAAGAATTTTTAAGGCATTTTGTTAGGATGGAAACTCAATACCTAAGTTCATTCATTTATCATAAATATACCAGCTAGAATACTAAATAACTTCAAACTTTTTATTATTTCAATCACGTAAGATTATTAATAATCAATCCATAAACAGTTTGGAATAAATAATTAGTCTAACAGTAAACTGTATGTTATATCATTATGATTTTTCCTTTGTTTCAATTTTACAAATAGTCAAATTTATTACTGTAAGACTTTTTGTTTATTGAAATTAGCCTTTCAGATAGTCCGCTCACACTTGATCAATTGCCAAGCCTACTTGTCATTGAAACAAGAGAGAGATTTCCAACATCTCCTTATAAAGTTCTCTGTTGTGAGACTCGCGTTTTCCTATACGTAATGATAAACCACAACTTTTCTTTATCTTTCCTTATTTGTTAGGTTTGAACTCAATGAAGAAATCATTTTAAAAACTAAATTCCTTTCAAGAATTTTTAATCCCTTTAATTTATTTCAATTTAACAGCATAAAAAATTCTTGATCAATTGTTTACTTTTTTTTAATAATTTGTTTATAAATAAATTCAGGTAGTTTTAATTTATATTAAAAATTTTTAAAAAGAAAAAAAAAACGTTTAAATAACCAATTACTGTTTACTATTTTTAGTTGTGACTTATCTCAGTCCGGTGGAAACGCATTGTATGAACATCGATTACTTCATCCCAGATGAGGACAATGAAACAAGAGGATTTTCTGAAGACGCCATGGCACGACTTCGTAAGTATTGAAAACTATTTAATTATTTTATATGACGTAACTTGATTGATGAATAAAATTGAATATGTTGATCTTTTTTATAGATATGGGAAGATCAATGATAGCACTCTTCATGGTTGGTTTTTTAGCCATTTTCTCAGCATTTTGGACAGGAGTCGTAGGATGTTGGAGAAGATCACCAGGCAATATCACTGCTACAGCCATTCTTATGCTTTTTGCCTGTAAATATTATTCTATATATCTTTCGAAATGATTTTATTACATGTTAGGAAACAATTGTATATAATTAAAATGAAATTTTCTTTAATAGGTCTGTTGAGTGCTGGTGGAATGGGACTTTGGCATGGAGTCGAATATTATGAAAAGGAAAAAATCGTAGGCGAAGAATATTATCAACAATGGAGCAATGTGAGTCACCATGACCTATATGTGATTTATTTGAATAATCTGCTAATAGGTAACAGTTGAGAGAGAAATTATCCGGGAAGTTAAATAGTGAAAAGAAAAAACTTGTGAACACATCATTTGTGAATTCTAATTCAAGTCAGCATGAAAAACAATATGAATATTGAAGTTTCTCACGATTCATTGCACGTCATCCCGGATATTTTCTCTGATTTCATCTTGATACAAACGAACTTTCGTACTCGATGCACTTTTCATGTGCTACTTTCAGGTGGAATCTGAGCAACAGTTATACCATCAAATTACTGTTGACTGAATAATAATTTAATATTTTATTGTAAACTTTAATTCTACAGGTGTTGAAGAATAACGTATCACAGTGGTACGACTGGTCATTTTATTTAGCTTGGCTTGGAGTTGCAACTTGTCTCGCAACGATGACACTTTTCCTAATAGCTGCATCATGCCTTAGAAAAGAACGAGCACGTGAACAAGCAGCAAATATTCAATATATCATGCCAGGTGAAGAATATTTTATATAATGATGGCTAATCGATGTCGTTTTTTGTTGTTTTTTTTCGGGATGTCCTCTCACGACCTGGGACTGTAGATCCTCAAGGAAAGCTCGCTAATCTCGTACGACTGGTCGTACGTGGTCGCTTGGGTCGGCGTCGGTTGGTCGCTCGTCAGCGCTATACTATTTAGCGCTGCTGCGATTTGCTTGAGGGGCGAGAGAATGCGCGACGAGGCGATGAACATGCAGTACCTCATGCCTGGTACATACGTAACACTTTTGCTTCTACTAACTTTAATATCAATACATTGAGAACCAAATCTAATTTTTACAATGAGGATATCAACTTTTTTCAATCCATTTTTCCATTTTTCCATTTTATAACAGCTATTATTGTTTAAATATTGTCGTCAAGGATATGACAATTTATTTTAAATTAATTATTTTTCAAAAATATATATTTTATTTGAAAATAATCTTTCTCAATGTATCAAACAAGATTAATAATTGTAGATAAGAAAAAAGGAATGGGCAATCCCTTAAAACAATCAACCAAATATTTAATTGGTAATTTTATCAAGCAATAATATAGAAATATAAATTTATTAGTGGATATAATGCATTACTACTTCTATATAGCATGTAATTTGCAGTGAAACATTCCGGTTCCGTGTCGACACTTCCGCCAAGTTTACCTCATCAATTTACGGTTCTTAAATAAGCAGTGTTTTTATTTTAAAAAAATCACATTGTACAGTTTACTTAGACATCAAAACGTAATTAGCAATTAATCTCATTGTACTATTAACAAATATTTTTTTTTTTAACAAAATAGAAAATAATATCGTGTACATAAATATATAACGTATCATTATCATCATTATTAACTTAATCATTTTAAAAGGTATAAAAAATATGAGAGCTCAATATTCTTCCTTACAGATACTTTTACTTTTTTTTTTCTACAGTCACACGCTCTGTTTGCCTCGTGGATTAGTATAATTTTGTCACGCTCTAACTGTATAAGAAGAAGGTTGCACCAAACTTTCTATGTCATCTTTCTGTGCGCAATCGATCGATTTATCAATTTGTTGCGGAAAACTTGTAGTACAACACCCCTTCTAGTAGTCAGAAATCAACTCTCTCAGTCAATAAAATAACATCAGACACTGCTGCGAGGCAAATGGAAAGTGGCATACTTGCCTAAATAAGAATAAATATATACTTATATATATATATATATATATATATATATATATATATATGAATGATAAAATGTATAAGTAATGGAATGCATATTCGTATACTTGCGAATTATTTTTTCTTATTTTCTTTCTCCGACAGTATGCATACGAGGAATTGAATTACTAAGTAGCATAATAGTTATTAAATGCATCTTGTAGCAGAAAATTATTTTATAAAACATTATTTTTTACCATTGAAATAACTCAACTATAAGTAATTATCATTAAAAAATTATTTAGCTCAAAATACTGATATTATATTTTTAATTGAATTTTTTTTTTAACAATTAAAATAAAATCTCTTGTTAAAAAAATCGGAACAATTTACGTATTACTTTATAATTTGAGTTTGTACTAAATTCCATTTTCTCGTCTAAAAAAAAAAAAAAATAGATTTATTTATCGTGATTCTGAATCGTTGAAAAATACTTAATCATTTATGATGAATAAAATAGTTGAACACGAATAAATATTGCCCATCCCGTTTTGATACATCTTATTTTCTATAATATAATTTTTATTTTATTTTTTATTATTGCAAAAAATTTATATTTAATGATATATGATTAACAGATAAAATAAAAATATGATTACAGTGTATCCTCAGAAACAGCAGTACGCTTATGCCGGATATCCTGCTCCTGCAGCCTATCCAGGACCTTATTATCATGGCTCTCAATATGGACCGTATAACTATTGAAGGAAGACTGTACAATAAACTAATAATCAATTAATTGACAAGAAACTGATCATATTCAATCAACATCAACATTCAAAATAGTTAATAAAATTAATTGTTTGAACGCGAATGTCATTTTATTTGCAATAAATAATAAAATACATCGTAGTATTCTACCGCAATCAAACAGTTAATGAAGAAATAAAATAACTTTTCTATATTAATTTTTTGTTATCCATTCCAATGTGTAAACTTTTAAGCAATACTGTCGACTAGAATAGTTATTAATGATTATTTAGATTTTAGTATAAATAATATTGTTAAGAATGGATGGAATGAATGTAAAAAAAAAGACGTGTATTTAATCGAAAAATAGAATCAATTTGTATTTTTATGATGAATTACATGTAAAATTTTTTATTTGACATGAAAGATGAAAGAGTCAAAGTTTATGTAATAATTTGTGAATCTAATGTTGCTCAAATTTGATACTTTGATTCTCTTAAAGACGATTACTATAATATTTTGAATTAGTTATATTAGAAGACAACTATCTTATATTGTATTAACCATTTTTTAATGTGTAAATCAATGTCATTGATACTTAGAGGCACAGAAAAAATGCATAGAAAATAACATGACTAAGTACTGTGCTCATAAGAAGAATTTGTTTTTAGAGAAATAATTTTTAAATCAAGAGATCATTGTGTAGTGCAATACTGGGCCATGTTGTTTTTAATGTACTGACAAATTTCAAAAAGAACAATTATATATGTGTAATAATTTTACTCACGTATTGATACTTTTGTAGTGTCATTATCGGCTATCTAGTAATAACATTGGAGGTTCAATTCTCTTCGAACTTAATTAATTTGGTATTTGATAGACATAAGTAAGTCGTAAATTGTAGATATAAAATAAATTAAGACTTATTACGTAAGAAATATATAATACTTAACTTGAAAAAAAGGACTTTAATTTAATGTAATTAAATCAAAATAAAGCAACAATATCCATTTTTGATAGCTTGCATATTAGGACAATAATGAGATGGATTTTATTGAGTAGCTTATAATTTAACCGCAGTATATTTTGAGAGTTTATTATATGCTGCTATTTAATACAGTACTATGAGCGAACTCGTTCAACTCCTTCATACTGTTTTGCGCTGTCTGTACATATTCGGGATGTTGGTGAATCTACATACTTTTATATATACGGCCACAATTCCTTCTTCCTTTTTCCATTCACTTTAAAAAATAACCCAACTTTGTCTTCCTTGCAATATAAACCAAGAACGGTTGTAGTCATTTACTCAGTAACACGGCCCCGATTGTATTATCTTTTAGTCAACAATGTTTCATCAATTTGGACCGTTTTACCTTCGCCACCAAGTACCAAATCACTGTGTGATGCGATTACTTCAGCTATTTCTCGGGAATAGCTGAAGTAATCAATTACAGTATTCCAACTAAGCTCGGGACAATCTCGATGATTACGCCAAGCATTGAGATGATTGTACACATCAGTGACTTGCATCTGAATCGCGAAACAAATGACGATTGCAAGTACATCGCGCACTTCGATGCGACACGCATTTCCTTTGAAAAACGTATCAGACGCTGGGTTTATAATCCTTCGGCACGATTTATCTCCTCTTTTCTTTGATCTTTTTGAAGAACACCTCCATACCCATTTAAGTTTTTTGTCTCCAAAATCCTCAACGAGCATTGGGAGATTACAACATGTCAGTGGTGTCGATTGACGCGACGGAATTAAGCCAATTTCTTCGAGAAAAGAAATTGGTAATTCATTTGTTGTAACAAGATCTCCAAAAGAATGAGAGAATGAAAAATTTTCTAATTTACTATGTAATTCTGAATGCATACCTGAAATTTTAAAAACTTGTAGAAAAGAAAAACAGCAGAAAGAAAATCGACAAAACAAACGATAACGAAGAACAATTGAAACTGATACAAATAAATAATCAAGCAATTATTTCGCCGATAGAGATTGTTAGTAGATCTACTTTAATTAATTAATTTTATCTACTCTTTAATTAATTTTTCCGCCAAAAGATTTCGTGACGTCGTCCAAAGTATTAATTTTTCCTGTTAGATGGCGTAAGAATCTTATTCCAATCAATGATTATGATATCTGTTGCACAATATGAAAATATGGAGAAAATTAAAAAAAAACACTGTCAAAAAAATTGTTTTTAACACTTAATGTATTCATATTTATAAGAAAGTACGGGAAAATTCTTTTATTTCCATTGCTACAAATGATTAATAATAAATAATTATTAAGATATCTTATAAAATACGTGATTCGAAATTAAAAACTTTGAACCTCGATATCTCGAAAACAAAGCGAGATATCGAAGAATTTTATACCTCATTTACAACTTATTTTTGGTCGATCTATCTGAAGACATCCTCAAATGGTAGTGCCACGAAAACCGTAGTCGTGCCATTTGAAAACCCAGAGAAACGAAGGTGAAACCGGAAATGGCTATAATTTTAGCATAAATTATGGTTGGATCATAATTTTGACTATATCTATGGAAAGCTCTTGCTTCCAGGAATCTATTGATATGCTCATAACCTATATAAGCCTCGTAGATCGTGAGTTATTTACAGAAAACAAAGCTATGCTACAATGAAGCATAGAAAAACCTTTAAACGCTCATAACTCGAAAACTAAGCGAGATACGGCATTTTTGACGGGGATATCCTATAGGGGGGATCAAATTCTTTACTTGGGTCCAGATCTATCATATGAGCCCTCGATCAACCCCGTAGCATCATTAGCATAGAAGTTATGCATATTTTCTATGTATCGCAGTTTTTCAGGAATATCTCTTGATTTTACTTACCAAATACAGTCGATAGCCAGTTTTTTGAAACCGTCTCGTCATGATCTTTCTAATGGCATCCTTGATTTTATGATCTGGGCATAATTACGATTTATTGCTATTTTTGAGGTTAGAAGTAAAAATGCTCCAATTTTGATAATCGAGGAATATTCTGTACGTTTCAATGCACAGAAATTTGAAATTCAATTACCTTATATAAAAATTTATTCCAATGCCCGCAGAAACGGAAATAAAGGTGAAACCAGAAATAGCTATAATTTTAGCATAAATTATGCTCGGATCATAATTTTAACTTCATCGATGGAAAGCTCTTGCTTCCAGGAATCTATTGATATGCTCATAACCTATATAAGCCTCGTGGATCGTGAGTTATTTGCAGAAAACAAAGCTATGCTACAATAAAGCATAGAAAAACCTTTAAACGCTCATAACTCGAAAACTAAGCGAGATACGGCATTTTTGACGGGGATATCCTATAGGGGGGATCAAATTCTTTACTTGGGTCCAGATCTATCATATGAGCCCTCGATCAACCCCGTAGCATCATTAGCATAGAAGTTATGCATATTTTCTATGTATCGCAGTTTTTCAGGAATATCTCTTGATTTTACTTACCAAATGCAGTCGACAGCCAGTGTTTTGAGACTGTCTCGTCATGATCTTTCTAATAGCATCCTTGATTCTATGATCTGAGCATAAATACGGTTTTTTGCATTTTCTGAGGTTAGAAAGAGAAATTCCCTGATTTTAATGATTGGGGGTTATTCTAAACGTTCCGGTGCTCTGAAGTTCGAACTTAAATAACAATTTATTTCAACGACCTTCGAACTGGAAATGGAAGTGAAACCGGATATGGCTATAATTTTAGCATAAATTATGGTTGGATCATAATTTTGACTATATCTATGGAAAGCTCTTGCTTCCAGGAATCCGTTGATATGCTCATAACCTATATAAGCCTCGTGGATCGTGAGTTATTTGCAGAAAACAAAGCTATGCTACAATGAAGCATAGAAAAACCTTTAAACGCTCATAACTCGAAAACTAAGCGAGATACGGCATTTTTGACGGGGATATCCTATAGGGGGGATCAAATTTCTTACTTAGATCCAGATCTATCATATGAGCCCTCGATCAACCCCGTAGCATCATTAGCATAGAAGTTATGCATATTTTCTATGTATCGCAGTTTTTCAGGAATATCTCTTGATTTTACTTACCAAATACAGTCGATAGCCAGTTTTTTGAAACCGTCTCGTCATGATCTTTCTAATGGCATCCTTGATTTTATGATCTGGGCATAATTACGATTTATTGCTATTTTTGAGGTTAGAAGTAAAAATGCTCCAATTTTGATAATCGAGGAATATTCTGTACGTTTCAATGCACAGAAATTTGAAATTCAATTACCTTATATAAAAATTTATTCCAATGCCCGCAGAAACGGAAATAAAGGTGAAACCAGAAATAGCTATAATTTTAGCATAAATTATGCTCGGATCATAATTTTAACTTCATCGATGGAAAGCTCTTGCTTCCAGGAATCTATTGATATGCTCATAACCTATATAAGCCTCGTGGATCGTGAGTTATTTGCAGAAAACAAAGCTATGCTACAATAAAGCATAGAAAAACCTTTAAACGCTCATAACTCGAAAACTAAGCGAGATACGGCATTTTTGACGGGGATATCCTATAGGGGGGATCAAATTCTTTACTTGGGTCCAGATCTATCATATGAGCCCTCGATCAACCCCGTAGCATCATTAGCATAGAAGTTATGCATATTTTCTATGTATCGCAGTTTTTCAGGAATATCTCTTGATTTTACTTACCAAATACAGTCGATAGCCAGTTTTTTGAAACCGTCTCGTCATGATCTTTCTAATGGCATCCTTGATTTTATGATCTGGGCATAATTACGATTTATTGCTATTTTTGAGGTTAGAAGTAAAAATGCTCCAATTTTGATAATCGAGGAATATTCTGTACGTTTCAATGCACAGAAATTTGAAATTCAATTACCTTATATAAAAATTTATTCCAATGCCCGCAGAAACGGAAATAAAGGTGAAACCAGAAATAGCTATAATTTTAGCATAAATTATGCTCGGATCATAATTTTAACTTCATCGATGGAAAGCTCTTGCTTCCAGGAATCTATTGATATGCTCATAACCTATATAAGCCTCGTGGATCGTGAGTTATTTGCAGAAAACAAAGCTATGCTACAATAAAGCATAGAAAAACCTTTAAACGCTCATAACTCGAAAACTAAGCGAGATACGGCATTTTTGACGGGGATATCCTATAGGGGGGATCAAATTCTTTACTTGGGTCCAGATCTATCATATGAGCCCTCGATCAACCCCGTAGCATCATTAGCATAGAAGTTATGCATATTTTCTATGTATCGCAGTTTTTCAGGAATATCTCTTGATTTTACTTACCAAATGCAGTCGACAGCCAGTGTTTTGAAACCGTCTCGTCATGATCTTTCTAATGGCATCCTTGATTCTATGATCCGAGCATAATTATGATTATTTGCTTTTTTTCCAGGGTCGAAAAAGAAAATTTTGCATTTTAATTTTATTTTGGGATAAAGGCTAAGTAAAATTTCAGGGAAAGTGTAAGATTTGAACAACACAAGTCATTGATAAGAAATAATATTTATTATACAGTATACATATTTGTTAATTTTATTCATATTATTTAATATAAATTCATATTAATAGATAATTGTTATATTTTTATTACCAAACGACGAATGTTATTATCATTATGCTCAACTGGAACAGTTCTTATGAAGTAACTAAACTTAATTCTTTTTTCCTTTAATTTTCAATTACTTAATTTTCAATCCTTTTTCACTGGACTTTATAAATAAATACCGTTTCCTTCGCGTTTTCTACAATAAAAATAATATTTTTCGTTCAAAAAATAATTTACTAATTGATAAATAAATGAATAATACAATGCAATATGATATTTCATTCGTTCGTTGGCACGGATCACCATCTTTCCATCAAGTAGGGTATACTTCTGCAGGTGCATTTTATAAATTGTAAGTTTTCTTTTTTATACCTACTGT